CCCATTGAAAGAACACTGTTTGTATCAATAGTACAGTGTTTAAGAATCAACTGAAAATTAACCAACAGAAATGTTCATATTCGTGTGAGTCAGTTATCATGTAAAATGCCAAATATTCTCCGGCTCGAGCTTCTCAAATGTGAAGGTTTGTTGCATTTATCTGTTTAACATTTAACTGTAAATTGAACAGCTTTGACTGTTGGTTGAACAAAACCTCATCTTGAGCTCTGGGAAAGTGTGACCAACATTTTTCACTGTCTTCTTACAATTTATTGACTATTAATTGAGAAATAAATAATCTGATAAAACAACAATGGATATAATCACAAGTTGCAGCCCTATGTGAAAGTCTCCAAAGATACTCCAGTGATTTTGCACTTTCATAAAGTCGGGGGACTCACAAAACAGAAATTAAAAACAAAATGCTCAGCGAAGCAGCAGTAGTTAAGATATTCTGACATTCAGTCCCTAGTTTGGGTCACATTTCCCATAATGCAACTCAATGATTACACCCTCGCTGTCTGGTAAACACCCTCATAACAAACTCCATGCCTCCGGGTTGTAAAGCAGGACTCTGATTAGAAATCCCCATTCAGACCTACAGAGAACAAGTGGTACTCATGAGAAGTAAACTGATCTTCAGGTGTAAAATCAGTTGTGTTCCCATCTCCAGTTACCAGTCTTTTTATTCATCATCATACTGTATTTTTTATCCATCGGTGCTCTTATTTTCTAGGTGGTGCAGCAGATTGACTATCTAACTTCGTCCATTGATCTGAATGAGGAGGAGCAGCAGGGGACTAGAGGAGGCGACGGTGCCAAGCCTCCCAGCGACAGCAGCTCCAGTTCGGGTTCCAGCTCCAGCGAGGTGACGTTAGGCAGCACCCATCAGAGGCCTTCAGAGCCTGAAGACCAGCCAGGAACCACACACTCATCTGGCACCCTCAGGAGAGATCATCATAGCAGGGGCCAATCTCCACCAAGTGTGCAGTTGTGCCCGGTGTCCTCTGGTGTTTCATCAGAGAGGAGTCGAACTCTCCGGTTCACCTGTAGTCTCGGGTCTCCTCCCAGACAAAGTGGGCCGATGCCGTACAACAGTCTCCCTTCATCTAGTCCACCTCAACCTCAAAGCCTCACCTCCGATGACCTTACACTGCCTCCCCAAAGAATCCTCCCTGTACGGCCTCCCACTCCTGGTCTCTCCCCTCTAACAGTAAACCTTCATCCCCCCAACAGCCCTGGTTCTCAGCCTCACTCCCCTGCTCCATCCTCCCCATTCAGGGTCAGCCCTGTCTCCCCTTCTTCCCCTCTGTCTCCGAAGTCTCAAGCACCCCCCGCCCTTAGCCCATCTGTCATCATAGAGACCAAAGTTGGGTCCTATCAGACCCCACAAAGTGACCACCCATCTGCTGGCTTGCTCTCTCCATCATCGACTCAGCCTCCGCGTGCCAGCTGCCCACCCACCGATACAGAAACTCAAGCTGTGTCCAACGCTGACAGAGAGAGTCGAGCGTCCTCAGAAGCACCTGCTCATACAGCTTCACAAGTGTGTGCCGCCTCTGCAGCCACAGCTAAACCACCCGTAGCACAGAGCCGCAGAGGTCGCAAACCTCCACCTTACCCCCACCACAGATTCTCTGAACACACAAAGAGAGCGAAGGAGCCCCGCAAAGCTCCTCCGTATCCAGAGAAAAGAAGGCTGCTCTCGACCACAGTGTGAGACATTGCAGCAGGAGGGAGGAGGCTGATCGAACAGAGCCATATTCACAGCACCAGCCGCGAGTCCGCAAGAGTGGAGAGTGATTTAAGGCTCGCCAAGTTGAGCTGAGACCAAGTTTCCAAGGTGACAGGACGTAGATGCAACTTGGGGTGAGTATGTCTGGAGGAACAGCTTGACTCTGCTGACGTCCTTTTCCCTCTCCCCTTCCAGACAAACCTCTAGAGTACATACACTGAACATACACAGGGCATCATAACATCTGTCTGGGTTACTGCTCTGGTAACAAGAGCCTCTATACAGATGCTCATTTTGCACTCCAGCTCTCAGATTCCCACAGATTGCACAGTTAAAGGGCAAAGGAGAAGGGCTAATTAGATAGAAATATGAGGGAAATTGTAATTATTCCAAGATGACAAGACAAAGTAAGAACTGATTGCTTTTGTGCACTTCATCCTATGCAGCCAGACACTTCCATTCACATGTATCAGTAATGTCTGGGTCAGATAATTGCTGTCAGGACTCGTAATGGTGTAAGGAGAACTCAGAGCTCAGTGGGATACTCTGGCTCAGCGGTGAAAAAGGCACACACACAGGGGCCCGAGATCTGTGATAGATCTGGAGACGGAAAAGGTCTCATATTATGAGAAACTTAGCAAAGCCCGATAAGAAGCGAACAGGCCGAGTGGTTCTGTGCTGACTGGGTCACCAGCCTGGCGTCGGGGTGTGCGTCAGGGGAGACAGGGGGCAGCTGGCCATTCGATGTAGCCTTCACCGGGCCCCTGGTGTTACAGAAATCCCATCTCCTTTGCTGCCTCTGGCTTGACCGACCCGGCCACAATCTCCATCTGTTCCCCTCCAAATGTCAGGAGATGCAAAGAGAGAGAAACAGGGGGCAGGTGTGTGTGAGAGGAAAGAGAGAGAAAAAAACAACACTGCAAGGCCAGTCAGATTGATTACATGAATACAGCACAGCAAATCGATGGCTCATTCATTTGGCTCATACAATGTCATCCTCTCAGAAAAATGTTACTCTAGTGCATTTCAGTGCCTTGATCTGTCTCTTTCTGTAAGGATTAAGCTAGTGTTATTCTATGTGTTTCTGATTGTAAATGAATCAAATGAAAATGCCAGCGACCAAAACCATTAATGTGTTAGTCCGTCTCTCATTACATTCTGCCTTCCTCACTCGTGTCTGGCCTCAAGCCCATTTGTTATTAAATATAGATATATTGTTGTATTTATTTTTAAGAAATGCTCTGTGATTTCCTAAAAACAGGCCCCCATTTTAGAAAACGTTTCTCAAACAGGAGTAAATGGTGCGTTTGTTGGGTCTATTTTCAACTTTGGATTAATACACATTCGATACTCTTGTGAGGATTTCTGGCAGCAGGACGGTGTATGTGGTATTGACTCAAAATTAATCACAGTGCTCATGTTCGAAGGGAAGCAATATGCAACATTGCGGCTCACTGATGTGTTTTTAATAGTTTTTGGACAGCAGTGGAGGTCGGTGGCAAAGAGGAATGAGCTGTATCAGGCACCGAACAACAAAAGATGCACAAAATAACACTTGTCAGAAGGAGCTATTCATTATTAGTCCTGGTCTTTTCAGGGAACTTGTCGACATTAAGAAAATTATAGAAAATTATAGAATATGTTGTTGCTCTTCCAGTGTCTTAGGCACAGAGGTGCTAAATGCTAACATTAGCATGCTAACATGCTTATGTTAAGCAGCTTCACCAACTCATCTTAGTGGGTTTCTAACATTTGTTAATTAGCAGTAGACATAAAGGACCACTGAGGCTGATGGGAGTGTTAATTTTTACATGATGATGATGATGATGATGATGATGATGATGATGATGATGATGGATCAGAAGGTAAATCTGTGGAGCTGTGAGATGATGAACAGAAAAGGAAATGCCACACAAAGCTGTGCATATTTTTTCAGACTTCCAAACGCCAAAAAGGTTATGAAGCATTATACAACAGGAAAAGGCAGGGAATCACCAAAGTCAGTAGGACTGGTCTTCTGGGAATAATGAATGTCAGTATAAAATTTCATGGAAATCCATCCAATAGTTGTTGAGCTACTTCAGTACGGACCAAAGTGGTGGACAGACCGGCTTCATGCTGGTAGCATTGCTAAAAATGTTTCTGATCAAAGCTCTTTAATGCTTGCCATCGTAATCTAAGACCGCAGCATCAAGTGTATGTATTTTCCTAACAGTCCTGCTGTGGGGGGAAAGTTGAAAGTAAGCATCTCTGCTGACACCAGATGGTTAACAGTAGTGATATGTGTGTTTAGGGTTTGGATGAAAGCATAGAGGCAGCTCTGAGTTTCAGAGACAGACTGAACTGATACTAAACAAAGAACTATTATGCTACAAAGACTTATTACTCAATGGAACAACCATCTTGAGAACAAAGTGTGAAATATTCTTCCACAAGGTCACAAAGCTGGAAATGAGAGTCTGAAATAGTCACAGCTTTGCTATAAGATGCTTTAATCACAAATAGAAGACTCTGTGGGAGTTTCTTGGCTCAGCTTGTTGTGATGTTGTTGAAACTCACAGATTTTCTCGACCTAAAATTCATAGTTTTATAGTTACAGTCACGGCTACATTTTACATTGAAACACTGCTAAATTGCGTGTAGTTGCTGTATCATAAATTCCACGATGCCAATTTGAGAACAATCAAGAATACTGATTTTCTCTTGGCTTAACATAAGATGAATAAATCCCTCCTGATTCTATATCTCCATAAGCCCACAAAGATCACCACACTATACACTCCCATATGTGCCTCTGGATTTAGTATATCCTCCCTGCAAAGCCTTTCTCCCCAGAAATTAAGAAGAAACGATGGAGGCGCTTTATCGCATGCAAACATTTATCCGAGGACAATATATGTTAATTGAGTACGCTTGCAGAATACGTTTTCAAGTGAATTCTTCATGATGTTTATTTTAATGTTAAGTCTCATATGAAGACAACCTGGCTTTCCTTTACGCTGCACACAAACTGAGTTTAACTTAGGAATACATTCGTGCTGGTACTAAAACTACAGTTATTTTGGACAGATATGACAGGGGCAGAAAAATGCTCTCCGCCATGTTCGCTCTGGCCCGGCTCTGACAGTGCTCAGAATATTTAATGCCTCTTTGCTGGCACTCAGATTTCTCCTCTCTTTTCATGTTTACCCTTTAACGAAGATGTAGGTGGTTCAATCAGATTATGACTGACATAACAAGACAGAAAACTCTGACTTATCTCCAGAACGGTGACAACATGTCTTTATTGAAACATCCATCACATTTCATCATGAATCAGAACAATCAAGAAGTAGAAAAAAGAAAACATGTACAAAATAAGTAACATCTCGTGTGTTTTTTCCACTCCGGGTCAGGATCTGGACGTGCTTATTTCCTGTTGTGATCCCGGAGGAAGCCTCGATGGTGACAAAAGGGACACACAAACATCCCTGCTGAGCATTTCCCAAACTCCAGGGGATCACATCTAGACAGATGAGAGAAACCAAACCGAGACCAAACAAGGTACGAACCTCAGAAAGTAATCCGACCGCAGAATCAAATCAGCACAATCCTCAAATCTGAAATCAATCCCCAGAACTCATCCTCTGGATCTAAGCGGGTTGGATCAGTGTAAGGAAGATAAAGGCAATCCTACTCGCTACATAAGAGCAGGGAGAGGAGGGAGGGGGGAGGCCTATAATAATGATGCACTTCTGAAACATGCACAATATCCTCGCTGATCCACACGTGACTGTGAAGGATGAAAGTTCAAGAGCCACGTCTGTGCACTCACTGTTTTAGCTTTTTGGTCACATTGTACACAATGCCACTGAAGGTTCACTAAAATAACCTAAAATTAGAAAACAGTACCCAAGAACATGAAAGAAATAAGGGATTTTTGTGAACACTGTTGCCAGCTACAGGTGTGTACTGACGGTGATGATATTTCTAATAAAATGTGACTAATTCAAGTTATTTCTCCCTAAAGAGCTCCACATGTCCAAAACATTGATGCATTTTTGTCTAATGTGCAAGAAGCAGGAAATCAGACACTGTTGATCACTTGTACTCACTTTATTATTGATTTTTGGGTCCTCAGATGTTCATGTAAAATCTGCATATTACTCGATAAAGGTCTAAGGACCAAAACATCAGAAAATGAGTTCAAGTGATCGACTGTGGGGTTTATTTCTTGGTTCTCGTGCAGACAGAGTCTTTGATCTGATTTGCTGATCAATAAGACTTTCTGATGTGTGTGAACTATGTTCAGTTTGTTGCACAAAAAAAAGATTATCTCTCGGGACTTTGGAAACTTCATGCCTTCTTATATTTTCTATTTAATTTACATATTATTTTACACTTATTATATATTCTTTGAGCTTTATCCAAAAATGCCATACAGTGTGTTCAAAAACATGATCTTCAGTGTACACTATTTATTATTCTCTTAACACCATATGATGAAGCTGTTATCTGCTCAATTACAAGTATTGCTTCGGGCCAAAAACAAGAACACCACAAAAACTTATCACAAATAATACTGATCTGTGATTTTTTTCGGGGGGATCGAATGTGGTGCTTTCAGTAATGTGGAACAGATGAAGAGAAACAGAGAGAGAGATGACGACCTCTCAACAGCAGCTCACAACAGAACGAGACTGAGGAAAATGTAATTGTTTATGTTTGTGCAATGACGATATTTGGGATTAGTCACTTTCTTCTCAGGATTACACAAGATGGATAAATCCCTCCCTACTCTAAATATGTTATCTATACTCTACAAACCCCCAAACACCGAACCTCTATACATTCACATTCGTCCCCAGTGGATCAGGGCAGATTTATTCTCTGGAAATCTTACAGCCTCAGAAACTAAGAAACAACTATGGAAGCACTTTAACTTATGGCAGAATTTAAACTAGGATATTATGTAAAAACAAACAAACAAACAAGATAATCAACTGTCACCTCGCTGTTTTATTCTTTTTGTCCCAAGTAGCATAAATCCATTATGGTACAAAAATACCAGGTAATTATTGTACTGACACACAGTGCTGCAAAGGTGATATCAGTGTCATCCTACTTCAAATTTTGGTTGTCACTCGGGAAAAAGTCTCCGACATCCATCCTTCATTGACCGCTGAGCTGGAACAGAGGACCGACTCAGCTCAACAAGTTGCTCCGATTGGTCGAAACATGACCAAAGCCGAGTCCAACTTCTGATCAATTACAGCTCATCGTGTCGCGTCTTTCCGATGGCGGTCAGTTTGGAGAGTTGAGCGTTGAATTTTCCATCATTGTGGGTCACTAGAGGTCAGACGGGAGAACAGACAATATATTAACAGAAATACAAACACACAGTGTCAGTGATGCAAAGCACCTGAACCCAGCCAGCATCATATGACCGCAGACCTGCAGAGCTAGCGCTTTCAGACCTGCAGATCCAGTCCAACCTGCACTGCCTGTTGGGGACATTCGCCCAGCAGATGTACTGTAGATGTGCAACATCTAAAAGCGAGGAAAGTACTAGCTGCTGCAACTTTGACACTTGTGCCACCTGCAGGCAATGAACGCTATGACTGCATTTGTTTTCTTCTTAGGGCTGCTGATTGTGCGATTGAGGTTTTATGGTTTAGATATTCATTGTAACAGTTCTGTTCACTAGAGCATATTTTCTGCTGACTAAGGAAAAGCTTTGTGTTTATTCTGCTCACAGTGTATCTGCTCTTCTCCAGATAACTTTGGATGAAAGGAGTGGGAGGTCCTCACCAGATTTTATTTGTCCAAAGATAGATAAACAGCGGTGTGATACAAAGAGAAAAAAGTTATCAATGCAGGCTGACAATGTTGTTCTTAGTGCTTAATATTTTAATGTGAACATTGGTGTTAACTGTATTAATTTATATACATCTTTTGTTGAGTAGTGGAACTGAGTAATTAGCTCTGGGTGGGGTGATAATTTCTCCAGTCCAACAACACCTGTCTCACGTTCATGTGTCTGAAAATGTTCAGAATAGTTCAGCATTTTGGGAGATTTCCACAGTGTTATCACGATACCAAAATATGACTTTGACACAACGCCTGCCTAAATATCGCCATACCACCAGCATGTGTTCTCATTGTCATCTTTAAATCCAATTTGACTAAATAGAAACTAGAAAATGTGCTCAGTAGAGTGCAGACCAAGGAGGTGTATTGAGTCGTTTGTGTTTAGTCTACTTTAGTGCACTACTGCAGAGTGCAGCCTAATAATCCTGGGAGCTGCCAGAGTCCCAGACGTACAGTTAACATCATTTATGTTCATTATGAGTGTGTATGTTTTTCATACACGTAGGTGTGTTTTTAACAATGAATTAGTATATTTATAACATTTAATAATTGAATTATTGTAAATAATTAGAACAGGATCATAATGTTATGAAAGCTTTTACATGGTATGTAGTAATCTGACGTCCCCTATCCTTGAGTTTATGTGATCTCTTTGATATTTGAGGCCAAAATATCCCTTTTTAAACAGCATTTAATACGACTCAGTACACCTCCTTGGGGGAGGTCTGTGCTCTGATGAGCATGTTTGATAGTAACAGAATAATTACTGACGAAAATGTGCATGCCATTATTGCCATTACCAGCACTCACTAAATATAAACTGATCATTTCGCCTGATTTTTAGCAGCTTGCATGTTATGGTTAAGTTAACGTTACCAGTTACTCTTTATTGATTCATCAAACTGTGATGGTTAAAAAAAGGTTTCTTGTCACAAAATAAATCACTTGTTTGACTTATACTTGACGGCATGGACATGATGTCATTATGTTATTATCACATTCGCTAACCTGTCGCTCTTTGAATTCTTTAAACAGGTTGGCATGTCTCTCTGCGAGATGCTTTGTCGAGTTGGATGTTTTTGGCTCCTTTTGGTCAGCGGAAATTTAGAATATATTTTACAGACAGGAGGGCTTTGTGGTGTCCGTGGGCTTCGTCTGACTGTCAGCTATGTAACTGAAACAATGCCATGTTTCGTTTTGTCGACAACCCATGGACCGTCAGCAAGAGCACCTGTATTTGCACCCATGCCTCTCCTTTTGTCACCTTCATGGTCAGTGGAAGCAGAGCGCTGCGCACACACGCACGCACACACACACACACACACACACACACACACTGCCCCACTGTCATACACTGATGCAAGAAATACGGCTCCTTTTAGAAAACTTTCATTCTTAAAGAATCAGTATTAATAAAATAGGGCATAGTACCATTTCTAACAGCAGGGTAATGTGATACCTGTCTAGTATTCGTATACCGTGCAACATTATCCAAGAATGACGTGAAAGGATCGGTTTCAATCTTGTGTCTATGCGTCAAGTACAGAGGTGGAGTCAGGACGTGGTGAGCTTATCTTACCATAAAGGCTAGGGGCAGGTGAAAACAGCTAGCTTGGCCGAGGCTACCAATTCCTTCAGTTCAGTAATTAACTTCACATGACAGCAGATATAAAAAGCTTCAGTTGTAATACTCATCGCCTGCAGGTGGCACAAAGCAACAACTGTTACTTTCTTTGCCTGTAGGTGATGCTGGTTTGTCTGTGGAAAAGCTGGTCTGTCCATGACTGAACAGCTCCCCCCTTGTGGAGAATCTGCAGCCTGCTAAACGTGAACATATTAATAGTTTGTGACCGAGGTCCCTGAAGTACTTCTACGGCATCTAAAATCCCTAAAAATTATGACTGGAATTGTTTTCCAGAGACGGGATTATCCTTATGCCTGTGATAGTTGGTGAGTTTGTAAGTATGTAAGCCTCTGCACTGTAACGTCTAATCTGCTGAAAATGGAAGTTACAGTAAATTGCTCTTCGGTGTGACTTGTTGCTAATCACAGTCTGGAACCGAAGCCACCGTGGGGATTTTCTGTAGGAACTGAATAACAACAGATAATGCTACAGGGACAAAATGGCAACCCACTCACAGCTGGAGCATATGCTTTAGAGGGAAATCAGCAGGGAACTTGCAACGTGACGGAGAGAAGGAGGGAGGCAGAGAGAGAGAAAGAGTGACAGATCGACCCGACAAGCAGAGAAAGCTGATTGAACACTTGGAAATACAATCAATTTCTCACCTGTTGAGTCTCCTACGGTAAATTCCTCCGGCTTCAAAGGCACATCACTCTGTCCTGCCGCCGCTGTCTGTGACTGGAGACACAAACAGCAGCAGTGATGAAGAGGAGGATGGGAGAAAGAAAAATAAACAGAGGATGAGAGGCGGCACAGCAGACGACAATTTTTTTATTTTGGTTTTTTTTTTGGTTTTTTTTGCAACAGACCAGCCAGGAAAGCTGGAGGATGTGACGACAAGGTCAAGGAGATGCTGTGTGGGGGTGGCAGGTGTCTTTGTTTGTGTATGCGAGGTTATTCCTGTCCCGTCATTTAGTGAAGTTATTTTCTGTGTGTTTGTCTTCTACTTGCAGGGCACGGAGCCAGAGCAGGAGGAGGAAACATGTGCTCTCACTAATGGCAGAATGTCAGGACTGTCCTTGCTGGGGGAAGGAGGCGTGTCAAGGTGTGCTTCACTTCACCGACGACCACATCAGACACGGCAGACCTCCGCTAAGTGACTGAGCTCAGACATTAACCTTCCATGAAACATTATGTGCAAAGACACGACGATTCTGAGTCTGACTTCCAGGACAAATAAAAGGTTTTTGTGTTACTTTGACTGTTTCTGTTTGCTTGGGTTTGTTGTGACGGTACGAGTCGGAGTGTAGCTCAAACCGTCCAAATGTACAAGGACATGTGGAGTGCGTGATGGGTTTCCATGGAGACATGGAGTATGAGAGGAGGGGACGTGTAGTAAAGCAAGTGACGGCAAGTTTTAATCACTTCTGCTCAGGACTTTACAGTCAGCCAGGTTCTGCACTGCTCTGTCTCTGAGATGATGATGTGAAGTGACACTTGGTGTTCCACAGCCAGACGTCTGGAGAACATTTAATCAGAATAATTTGGGAAAATGAAAACTTTTAGAAGCAGACACTTTGTTGGCTGTGAGTTTGATATCGCTGATTTATGGTTGGGTAAAAAAAAAAAAAAAGCATACATTTAAAATTAAATGAATATTAAATTTAGAGCTGAAACAATTGATCAATTATTAATCTGCAAACATTTTGACAACTGATTAATTGTTTAATGCATTTATCTGATTTATATCATCGTCAACTGAATGTCTCTGGGTTGTGCACTGTTGAACACACAAAACAAGAAATTAGTAGAGGTCTGCTTGGGCTTTAGGACATTGAGATAACAATTTTCCAATTTAAGGGCTTAATCAGATAAATAAGCAATACATTAATCCTTTGCTGTCTCAGAAACCAAGATAACACGCTGACAGCTGTTTCCATCCGTTTAGTTAGGAAACTGCAAGACGGAAAAATCTGCCTCTAATTTTATCACTTACCCTGGAAAATATATTCCTGTATTGCTGGTGCATAGGTGGATGGTTTATTACTTGCAGGCTATGCAAAAATGATCGTCAAGAATATTTTTCCTTGATTTTCTGACATTTGTGCAGACACTTTAAATTCTACCCCCTAAAATTATTTGGGGCGGCTAAGAGAAGCTTTAATCTCTACACTGACAGGGTGCCTGAAACTGCGAGGTAATATCAAGGAAAAACGCTTTACTACACTTTGTCTTTGTTAGGTAGTAAAAGTCCTGTGAGCTTTTTGCTGTCCAACACTCCAACTAATCACTCAGTGGGAGAAAAGCTGAGGAGCGAAAACACAGGAGAGGGTTCGTCATGTCTTACACCAGGAGTATTAATAACTATATTGTGCAGGTCGTGGTGCAATTTGGCTTCCAACAAATTACAACATTGAGGACTAGGGATGTGCAATTTTTTAAAGATACACCACATAGCAGTGACTGGATTAGGCCCAGTATTTCACAAGAGGAGCCTGCACTGAAATTGGAGTTTTAAGTTTGAGTCAGCAGAAAGAGGCAAAGACACATGTATAAGATTTCTGTTTATGTTTCGTTTACATTAAACTTGTTTTATGATATTACTGTATGAGATCTACATAACAATGGTGCTAATTCTAAGACATAACTGACTAATATACAAGCCATGTTGTATGTGGTTACCTTAATTCCTATACTGAATGGTTTAGATGACATTACTGGCAGTTTTTATAACATTAAACAGCAGCAGTTAAATTAAATATCCACCAGTTACCCAAACTAAGTATTCAGCTGCTGACGGTCAAACTGGCAGTTGAGAACCAGGACGCCATAAAAACATTTGCATATAACAGGGTTTCTTTATACTTACATATGCGTTGGCATATTCAATTTTGGTTCCCTTCAGTTCAGCTTTGAACTGGGTGAAAAACAGGTACGATTTCCCCTGAGGTCTGACAGAAACAAAAAAATAAATATTTGTTATCAACTTTAAGTCATTTGCATACATTCATCCACTTATTAAAGCCGGCATGAATACATTTGATGTTGGAAACTTTGTTGGTTTATTTCTCTTTTTATAACTCCTGTGACTGTCACAATTAACCAAAATCAAAGAACTCAACTCAGTGTAAACAGAGACAGATGGGAAAGATTTTCACTGAAGACACTGAACATCAGGGTCACTGAGCTGAAGAGGAGTCTCAGTTGCCACAGACAGCTCTGTGTGTGTGTGTGTGTGTGTGTGTGTGTGTGTGTGTGTGTGTGTGTGTGTACACGCGTCTCACCTCCACACAGAACAGGAAAACAGTCTGTCATCATCACTGAGACCTACACTCATCAGCCATTGCTGTTTGGCACAAAAGCAGACGAACATTCGTGCTTAAAAGCTGCTGTAATTAAAAATCAATAATATGATGAATCAGTAATTGGCTGACAGTGAGAGAGAGACTCACCTCATTGGTTCCCCCTTGTGAAGCATAAGTGAATGAGCATTCATAATCCCTCTGTAATAAAAGAGTGAAACATATTGGTAGTTAGTGCATAGTTGAGCCTGCATATTACATTCATTATTAACATATCAATTACTTTGATATTGATATTCATTTACAAGTTCCATTAATCTACTAATTGTTTGTGCCACACAGGTTTACCTTAACAGGAGGGACAATGCAGACTGCTGTCAGTGTTGATTTAATGGTTAAAAATAACCTAACTTACATAACTACTGTCACTATACATGGCTGCATTTTCTTGAGAGATGAAACGATTAGTAAATTAATCGTTCCACAGAAAAATAATTGGTAACTACTAAGTTATTTTTTAGCCAAACATTCGCTGATTCCAGTTTGTCATATGTGAAAGTTGTTTTAAAGGTTTTTCATTTCTTTTATGTTTTGTAGACTAAATTAATTATTGAATAATTGAAGAATTATTCGGCAGATTAATGGATAATGAAGAAAATCTCTAGTTGCAGCCTAAATTTACATGTGCCAGTTTCACATCCCTGGTATTGTGGATGAGGAATCAGTTCTAAGCTAGGGTTCAGCAATAAATCAAATTTAGATTCTTATCCATCACACAGTGCCATCAGGGTGGCGTCTGATCAGTCCCAAATTCATTTTACGACATTACAATGACCCCAAACACACAGCCAGAGACATTAAGAATCATCTTTAGTGACAAGAAGAACAAGGAGTCCTGCAGCAGATGGTCTGGCCCTCACAGAACCCTGATCTCAGCAGTCTGGGATCACATGAAGAGACGGAAGACACTGAGACAGCCAGCCTGAGTCCACAGAAAAACTGTGGCAATTTCTCCAAGATACTGGAACAACCAACCTGCCAAGTACCTCAAAAACTTTACACAAGTATACCGGGGGGAATTGGTGCCGTTTTAAAGGGTAAAGTGTGGTCACATCAACTTGATTTGATGAAAGTTTTTTTTTTTTCTTGTTACTGCGCTTTGTATGAAATTAACTGAAACCTGGCATTATTTTCAAAAGCATCCCCACTTAACTTTTAGTGCCTAAAACTTGTACAAAGTACTGTAAATAGTTTAGTCTCATGGGTATGTAGGGCACTGCTTTCAATATCAGTTTGATTATTTAATGTGATTTTGCATACATTTGCCTTTCTATTTGCCTATGAATATCAGCAAATATCCTAATTACCGGTAATATGATAATAATGGCTTACACCAGATTATGCAGCCCTACCCAGAGCCACTCTACTCTACCATTAGTAACACCTGTGCTTTTCCTGCACTGAAAAAAATGATTTTTTGGTCTTGTAATTATAACCTTGATTATTTGTTTAAATTTTACAAGGAAATATTATTTCAGTGCTTTTACTTTAAAATGTCACCTTTTATTTAATGTGTTACTTGATGTTTGTTTGTAATTATGTATCCTCATTTTGATAAGTAAATATTATCCATCACTCCAAGTAATATTAACTTAACAACTGTATTGACTGTACATCCTGACATAAGCAAGTAAAATTTACTTGGGTAATGGGAGGTCAGCTTGCAATATTGCGCATGCTCAGCAGGTGAGGTCAGAGTGCGTGTACTTTTGACTCCTGAGGCAGCAGCAAGAACAGGGTTACTGGACAACACACCTCGACTGGGGGATTATTTGGGTGCTCATTTGATGAGAATTGATGGACGTGGACCCTTGGGGTATGTATATGATTAATTTACTTTTTATTTTTATGTTGGCTCGTCAGTGTTTGAATATTTTAGCCTGCTATCTAGCTAGCTAGCTAAGGGCTCCTCCGCTCTTCCCGCGTCCGCGGACCGCTTTGGACTTGAGTCATAACGTACTTTTTCTGAGGTCAGCGGACACAGACACGCTTCTGAGCACAGGTAAACATGGCTACAGTGTGATAACTGTCCAGTGTGTGTGTTACACTGAACGTGAGGTGCCACTTTCGTCAAACGTAGGGCGTTCCTGTTGTGTTTTGAGATCCGGTAATGTTAACGTTTACACAGAATGGAAGCAACATTTTGTTTGTTGATATTAGCCTGTTGGGTGAACTGACAACACAATGCCTGCTTTGTTCAGATACTTCTCTTAAAACCAGTAGAAGTTGTTGAGCTTTTAACACTACTGTGGTAGAGACTGTATCACTGTAATTGGTTTAAAATGTTTGAAAGATCGTTAAGGGTGTTAGCCGCGAAGCTAACGCTAATCGCAAACGGCGCTAGCAGCTATGCTAACACAGGCATTGTCTAACATTGAGGCTAGCCAAGCTGAGTTGCTATCACTGCAGTAACATTAAATGCAGTTTGTTAGTGAAGCAGTGATGGCACAGTTTACTTAGGAGTCAGACTTAGGAGTCAGTGTGTTATAAGAGTATTCACTCATAAATTATTGTGATACAAATACAGTCTGATTTATTTAATTTTGTTCATTAAAACTCACATGATGATTTAAAACAGTAATGGCAAGACAGTTCATTTAAATGTTTTGAAAGGGAAATATATTAAAATAAGTATGTTACATGTATGTTTAAAAGAGGAATAAGGTATATTACAATTAAAAAGGGGGGCTAAAAAGATAAATACTAATTGGAAAGTTGTTAAAAAATATATAAATAGTGGCTTTATAAAGGTAAATAATTTCATTTGTGTTATTTAAAATACAGATTGTGAATAAATAATTTTAAAACAGCAGATCAAGAGTGTGCCTTTTTATAAGACTGCTATAGATGGTGTTTAAATATGTTCAATAAATGTCTTACAATAACACATGATTACATACTTTAAAATTTCCAATCAACTTTTAACATTGATGTAATGCAAGGCCATATGGAATCACAGCTTCTAAATTCTACTCCAATTCTAAATTGCAAAGATGTCTGAATACTTTTGTACATATAATGTAAGTTAATTTTACTTGTCTACATATTTCACAGAATAAAGGACATTGACTCTGGACATTGGCCTTGACAGCTTACTCAAGGTAAGATCAAATTAGTACTGTTATAGGTTAACTTAACATAGAAATTTAGTTTTGAGATATTTGTGTATGTGTTTATTATTTTCCAGGTGCAAGAACATGAGATGGGTGTGTAAAATATGTAGCTTCAAATCAGACAAAAGGATAGAATTGTTAAAACACTACAGGCTAAAACATGGAAATGGTGGCCGCAGCCAGTCAATCCCTTGTCTTCACACTGATTGCCCTTGTTCATTCAAAACATTTAATGCCCTTCGGACCCATTTGACCCGGCAGCATGTGGAGTTGGTGACACAAAGGGAAGTCCTTTCATTTAGTTGTCAACTATGCTGCTCTGGTTTTTTTAATTCAGAGAGGCAATATTTTGAGCATCTTGGCGGCCACCTAAGAAGGTTTGAAGTAGTTTTTGCACTTTATGGTACTTGCAGTTGTTTGACTTTAAAGTGATACCTTTCATTGGACATTTTCTTTGTAAATGTTCTTGTCAAGGCTCTCTGACATACAAAACATCAGAGGTCAAATGTCCCATTTAAAAATGTGTCAGAGCACACAATAAACAGCCACACACTGATGGCTTTTAGTGAAAGTTGTTCTTAAATTCTAACTGGCAACACTGTTTTGAAATGTATCTGGTAATGCCAGCGCCAGAGTCAGTATGTTGGAATACTGTAAGCAGTGACCTCTTTCACCAGTGTTCGAAAATAAAGGTACTGTTAAAAAGGTTATTTCATGTTATGTGTTTCTTATTAGAATTTCCAGAGTAAAAATTACAAAGAATTTCTGTGTGGAAATTGTTACAGAGTCTTTTTCAAGTAAATGTTACTGAAATAATGCTAAATTAAGAACTAGGTCCAGCCATTTAAAAGCTTAGGAAAAAGCAAGTATTTTTTTACAGAAATTTGTAAGTAAATGCAGTGGTAGTCTGAGTAAATTTTACAGAAGGGGAATGAGTAAAAATGTACTCATGAAAACAGAAATTTGCTAGTAAACTTTACAAGTGTTTCTTGGTTAAACTTAATACTTATTGGTATGTAGACTTTACTTGAGAATATCCTAAGTTAAATTTACTAGGAATTTGTGTGTGGATATTGTTACCGAGGTTTTTGTAAGTAAATCACACTCCACATTTTTTTCAGTGTGCTAGGACCAGTCAAAATGTCTGCTGTGAAAAAGAACCTATTTTAATTTACATTTGTTATTATTTTAACCTATTTTATGGACTAATTCATGATCAATTACTAGAAAAATAGATAGAAATGAATAAATGACAGTAAAAAACAAAAGTTATCAGTCTCTTAATGCACAGACATCACATTAAACGTTCCTTTGAAAATGAACCCGAACACAGCAGCTCTCATTCATCCAAGCTGTGAGCCAATGAGCGGAGCCGCTGTGGCAGCGACGTGTCAGCCTCTCACGGGTTGTGTCGTCATCACACTGCGACCACAATGAATGTAGTTTTTTCTCTTGTGCTGTTATGATGGTCAAATATATGAAATGTGCAAGTTTAATGACTGAAACACGACTATTAAACATGGTACAATTCATAATATACTTGCTACTGTTATTAGTCTTTTGATGACTGACTACTCAGGAACAGTGGAACGAGTACAATATCATACACGGTGGACTGGACTCCACTGAAACTTGCAGAGGACGGTAAAGATATAGACTGAGCATCACTGCAGCTGTGAATAAGTTGGTGTTTAAAGACTTAAGCTAACAATGTAAAATAAAGAGGATACTTGACACGGTCACTTACTATTCCCTCGGAGAAAGTGTACACCACTCCTCCGGGTTTAACGTTGAACTCCACCGTCTTCATCTGCTCAGCCGGATCGGAGGCAACAACCGACACGAACACGAGCAGAAACGCCAGGTTCACAACACAGAAGTTAATTTCAGTCGCCATATCTTGCTGCTCTTGTGGTTAGCGGTGAAGCGCTGGTTGAGAGTGGAAGCCCCGGGTTTCAGGTACCCCGTCGACTGAGTGTCGTCACACTCCGCGTCACACATCAGACAAAAACAAAATAGAAACAAAAATAATTAAAAAAAATAAAATAAAAAATACCAGTAGCTCCCCCATCACATGGCATAAGAAAAGTTACCACTGTTTGGTTCAGTTTATGGATTAAATAATAATCATAAAATTATTTTTACACGATCATTATAGTACAGTAATACTCTTGACCACACGGTGTCGCCCCCTTTCAACCAATTATATGCGGTGTATTATTATACTGTTACAGTAACAGGACAGTATGACCACCAATGGAACATCTACATTTGGATTTATGTGAGACCACTCCAGGAAAAATCACACACCTTGAAAGTGTCAAAAGGTTAAATGGAATTATCAGGACACACTATTCGTGTAAATTAACTACACACATTTACTCAAGTACTAGTAGTTAAATACAATTTTGTGGTGCTTGTACGTTTGTACAGGTTTGTGGTTGGAGCCTGGGCTGTCAGGGTGGAGTGTGGCTGGGTCTAGGGATGGTCCCAGCTGGAAATCTTGAGGTCAGCTGTTGTGGATAGATAAAAATAAAAAAAAGTGTGTAAAGTAAAAAAATAAAAGATAAATAAATATAAATTTACTTGAGTTATTCCATTTTATGCTATTTCATATTTGTACATCACTGCATTTGGGAAGCAAATATTTACACTTTTTATTCCACTATATTTATTTAACAGCTTCAATTTCTTTAGTTTTTTTGCCAGTTGAAATTATTAATACAAAATATAATCAATGAAGGAATTATGATGGATTCTAATAGATTAAGATACCCAGCAGTACATAAAGTATTTGAAATTACCCCACTTTTATCAGCAGCAACATTAAAATAATGCTTACACGTACACAAATCAGATCTATTTCTATGACACCTGAGCAAATGTCAGGAGACTATACACACGCGCTAACGTGGTTATATCTGCATCTCTTTTTTACTGCTTGGCTGCAGCCCAGGATGTCATATGCAGGTGTAAAGTGGAGAGGGCAGAGAGTACATCTTGTCTTCTTAAATTTATGAGATGCATTAACGTCACTGACATTTCTCGTCAAAACGTAGAAAACAAAATGTTCCTATAGGTTTGGATGGAAACAGATAAATGGAGGCTATTTACAGAGCACAACATGAGTCTGATGTCCGAGGGTTCATCAGTGGGTGTTGAGTTTTTGTGCACAGTCTGTTATTATTTACTACCTGGGTTTGATTATTAAATAGACAATATATTGATAATCACAGCTGGCAAAAAAGTAAATTGTTACTTGCACATCTGTTAATGAATATAATGAATAGAGTATATGTGCAGTATATACAGCCTGCTTAGACTTACAATTAACAGTAAAAGAATATTACATATTAGGCTATGTATGTACAGTTAATTAATTTGATATTAAATGTTCATTGCACCACACATTAATTATAAACTAGGTACTGTCATTTGGACAATACAGAAAGATATTGATTTTTCTTTTAATTATTAAAAATCCTCTACCAGTTGTAAGGAAAACATCTTTGGCAATGTCTTCAAGGGATTTAAAACCAAGCTGTTTTTGTGAAACACTATCAGAATACCAAGCTCTGTATCCTCTGATGAATGAAACAAGCTGTGAAGGAATGGCTAGCTCTGAATAACTGTGCCTCGTATCGCTTGTATCCAGGTCTATTGTTCATAATATAGTAAACTGTGGGTACGACCATCATCCTCTCAAGGAATTTCTCCAACAACTAAGCGTTAGATGTCTGTCCAATCTTAAAAACGACTGTACATGTACATTCCTCCTATTTTCACAGTAGAACAACATCTTGTGTTACAGTAGACACCGAGAGTCTCACGTCTGCTCCTGCATTTCTGAATGTATGTGTGCGTGTGTTTTTATATGTATGTGTCTGGAGCCATAAAACATCCTTCTCTTGGAAGCCTGACAGATGAACAGATGTCTGGTACGAGCGGCGACCCCTTAACATTGTCCGACACTCATGTGTAAAAAAAAAAACATAAAACAATACGGGCATTTAGAACCAAAATTCAGAACAAAAATAACTGGAGGGGTTTCAGCTGAATAACCTGTCCGCCCCCACCACCCTTCTCCTCCCCTGTTTGCAGTTTCATCCGGACCTCCTCCCTGCCCATTCCTACTTCCCAGCCCAAAAATAATACAATAACAGGATTAATAACAGCATGCATTCACTAAGACCGCCTGTTTAGTCCTTTAATATTTACACAGCAGCTCCAGGAGGGAAAGCACAGGGGTCATTAGGCAAAGATTCTTCTTCCTTCTTCTATTACCAGGAGGAGAGAAAAATATTCAGTCATTTCCACTGTGCGCACACAAATAGCTTCTTCTCTTTGCTATAAACAAACAGTTCTCTGTAAAGTAAACACAGACCATATATCCAGACGGAGAAACAGAACATTAGCACAGAGGTGGCGTCAAATCATTTCACTAATGACACAAGCTCATATTCCAGACTTTATACACACAGCAGGGAGCGTTAAAAATCAACACTTCAGTGTGTCACTACTAATATATGTGCAGATTTGTACACATCAGAGTTAATTTAACACTTTTATAATTCCTGAACAGCTGCTACAGAGCTGAATCAGCTCTGTGGGGAGAAAACAGCGTTCCAATCTGTTCTTGTCAACCCAAAATAAAACTCTGATGAAAACTCAGCACTGGAAAATCACTCTCTCATTGTTTGGTTGATTAACACCACAGTGTCACATCATTGGCTGATTAGTCATAGTTGACAAATGTTGATTGTCTTGTTCTTTACCCACTCGTGGAGCTGATGAGTTCAAATCAATCTAAAAGTGTTAAATTAACTCTGATGGATGCTGACTCATACGAACACTTGCACAATGTTGATCACACTGTAAGAGATGGATTCACTTTTCCAACCCCAGAGACTCTGGAGCTTCATTCAGCACCGAAGCTCTAAAAACCCACTGGACTCTAGCTGCCAATCACCAAACAGCAGATAGAATAAGTTCGTGACTAGTCAGAGAACATAGTAGAAGATGAAGCAGAGACAGATATTTTCCTCATGAGTTGGTGGAGAGCAAAACAGAGCTAAAAATGAGAGAGTGACTACTGGACTTATGTTCATCAAGTGGCCAGAAACATGACTCAGAATAAATACTAATGTTGCTTTGTGTCTGCTGGATTTGTTAATTGGAAATTATTTGCTAGCACATTCATCATAACAACTCTGTAAGGTGATAATAAAGTGTTGTGCTTATGGCTTGAAGCGCTGGCCCTGAGTATCCAAAAACATCGATGACCGCAGCTTTAATAAAATGCGATATCGCTTCAGTGAAGCAAGTTCAGAATCATAGGACTATTGTATAAGAAAATGCTGAAGAAAAGAAAAATGTTAAATCTACCTTTGATTCTACCCTAGGGCACAAGCAAAAGGGAAGCATCAGGAGTGTGAAGGCTAAAGCAGTCACTATTGATGGTTGTGCAGGGAACAAACTCCACCATCATGTGTCACTGCAGTCTAGCCTGTTGGCTCTGACACTTGTTGACTGGGAGTCTCAGACAGTCAGGCCTTTTGGGCACAGCCTCACACACAGTCAGCCCGTGATAAGGACGGTGTAGCCCTGGTGCTGCTGATGTCAGCAGTTTGCAGTCGGGTTTTGCTGGCCGTCTGCGGATCTGTGGAATTTCTCTCCTCCCCGTCATCTCCACAAGATGCGGGCAGGGGCGACCGACAGCTCTGCCCATCCTGCACGCCCTGCGGGCTTAGCACGTCGGCCTGCCCTGAGCAAACAGCACCTGGAGCGGCAGAGGAGGCTCTGTCCTGACCCTCTGTCACACTCAAATTCACATCAGGGGGCTCACCTCGAGGGCTCCCTGACCAAAGATGGTGTGGGCTCGACAGGGAGGCCATGTTTGGATAGGGATGAGTGAAATCTGGGGATTTGTAAAATGGGTTCAAGCCCAGTGTGATGTGGATATACAACATGTGGTGCACTGAGATTTTAATTTAATTTCTGATACTTTTTCATCTTTTGCATTCATGTACCTTCATCAGTGTAGTGATAGAAAGAAACTACATTAGGCTACTTCTACTCCACTGCTTTTCAGGAGATTGTATATTGTACTTTTTATTCTACTTTTACATTTATCTGACAGATAAAGTCCCTGAATACTTTTCAGATTAAGATTTTCCCTAAAACCTACGTAATAGGCTTATAAAATACCACACATTGTTAAAATTTGAACAAGTGGTTCCCAACCTTTTTGGCTTGTGGCCCCTTGCAAAAAAAAAGTGTTAAAGCTCCTCGTCGTGTTTCAGATGCCTGTGAGTTGTCAGCAGTTCAACCAAAGACACATTTCTCCCCTAAACTTCTTATATCGTTTTATTTAGATAATTGTTCAAGGCCTAAATAAATTCTGAAAGTCTGAAAAATTATTACAAATTTATGTCAGACCTTAGTTTTTTCTTCTTTTTCCTGCCCCATTAATCATCTCTCAATCCCCCAGACATATCCTGTGAGTGTTTGGAGGAGTCTAATCAATCGGTCAGGAGCCACTGGACTAAGTTCACTAACTGTAGTTAAAATTAGCAAACAGCTACAACAGCAAAACGCTTCTAACGCAGCATCAATAATCAAGTAATGTTATATATGATGACATTTCAGTCACGTGCAATATTTCTGCACAACAAATACTACATTTTGCTGATAATCCCTCTATACTTTTACCTCCTTAACATTGTGAATGTAAGACTTTTACTTGCAATGCAGTATTTTTACATTGTTGTACCTTTATTTAAGTAAAGGATCTGAATACTTCTTCCACCACTGTACTGACTGTGCATCCCATGCTCCTTTCAGAATTCTCTAAAACTTTCTCCTGGTTTTCTGGATGCCTTTGTAAAAAATAATTAGAAAAAACAACAACAGATGGTCAACACCAACTCCTACCGCAAACTTGTTAAAAAAGAGACGGAGAGACTAGCATTACCACGATGAGGGTGGAGACGTTGGTGGTCATGGTCATGGGGGTCATGTCTATGTCTTCGTGGTTATAGCTGTGTGAACAGCACAGTGTATGGAGCACAGATGCTGTAGAGCAGCAGAGAGAACAGACTCCGTGACCTCTGCGCCCACCTGCCTTCATATTCATCTCATAAACATCCTCAAACTGATTCCCTTTTGCGTCAAGGCTTTTTTGTGAAAGTTGCTGAAATCTCCCACTTTCTGAAAACCACAAGTGGGTTTTTGTTGAGGCACAAATCTCCCCAGTTGTTATGTTTCATTTAGACAACCATGACAGCCTTTTGAAGCTTTGCTAAGTGGAACGCATTAGAGGAGTTCCTCCGTTTGTTCACACAGAATGATTGGAGTTGACATCTTACGAGGGGAAGGAGAAACGAGGAGCTGTCACAAATGTCCAAACAGTCAAAAACAGTAACACCTCTTACTTCACTTACTCTTGTGGTATATATTTAACAGTGGAAGACTATGAGGTAATGTATTTGTGCTGGACAGTAAACAGTACTGTTGTAAAAGAGCAAAACGAATGAATTGTGTTAAAAAAAAAATTTGACGATTATTTATACATTTCCACGTACCACTCACACAGTGCCCCTAATGATTCTGGTGACAAAGTGTAAATAGAGTGAAGCATTCCCAGACACCTCATATGGAGTCACTGCCGGGTGAATAAATGTTTTCCTGATCACTCATCTGCTGTAACACATGACAAACACAGAGCAACAACAGCAGGCCCGTGGTGTGAGGCCGTACGTCTTCTGCTGCTATTTCCGAGCGACATAAACATGCAGAGTGGAATCATTCCCACATATTTCTCCAAGGCGTGTTATTCCAAAAGCATTTAAGACATTTAGCACTCCAGACTCTAACTCAAGTTGTTTTTAATAGACATAAGCTGTGGAATGACTTCATGTTTTTGAGTGTTTGCTCAAATTATCCCATTGCTAGTGATTATTTAAACCTATGTTTTGATCACCGGGTTGTCAAGGGGGGAAAAAAAGTAAGCCATCAGTCTTCAATGGTACTTTGGTTTCTAGAAATAAAAAACAAACTTTATTATAAAATACGATAAAAACGCTGAAAACCTTTCAAGCATTCAAAACCATTTCACTAGACTGAAAAAGAACAAATTACACATTGTCATTGACACTGTGCTGGGGAAATCTGCACAGAATTATTTCTATAAATACACACATTAGTAGTGGAGTATTTGCACTTATATTGTAATACCACTTATACATATTTGGTCATTAAACATCACAACTTTTATCTAATATGACAAAATGTTACATTTCAGGGGAGAAGAGCACCACCGTTTCCTTCAATATAAGCACCATTCCAGTCTATAAAGTATGAATGAAAGAATTTTTTTTTTGTTTTAATTTCTTTTCTTTTTTTCACGTTTGTAAATTATGGTAACGCGCTTTCGTCAAGGTCCTGAAATTTTGCATTGCTTAAAAAAAACCCAGAGAAAATGAATACTCTTACAACAAAGATAACATCTAGCCAGCATGGCTGTAGCTACAATATATTATATGTTATAAATACAAACAAACAAATTTAGGTAATAGTAAACATTTAAGCTGCACAACAGAGTAGCAACTGTACACTGAGAGCAACAACAAAGTATTAATATATATTTCTGTGGGGAAATATTTGTCTTCAGTCACGTCAGCTTCTGTCAAAACAAAGAATAGACATCAGTGAGGCGAGCTTGTGTTTGTGTTTCTCATCTCTCTGATGAAAGGGTGAGAACAGTGTGCGTCTTTCACTTACGCAGTAATCCTGCAGTTCCGTGCCTGGACGTAGATTCCTGTGTACCTGATGTCGCAGAGAACCTCGTTGTTGGAAAAATCAGACTCCTGGACCAGCTGAGATGGGTTCACTGTCACCTGAAAAAAACAGCAGAAATAGCCACGAAATGTAAATATTTCATTTGATTCCGGATAGATTTCTTTTCTTTATCATGTCCTATTCATAAAGCAGCTCCACACACCCACCTTGAGTATGTAGTTTCCAGGTGGTACATCAGTGATGTCAATCCACTGGCAGTCGATGTTTGCGTGATATGTATCGTAGCAACCAGGACCGAGACCCTGAGAAAGATGCAAACTTACATTATCATTATACAGTATGTGTGTCTTAATGTGTCAGTGGCATAAAACTGCACTAATGAATCATTGAATTAATAAAGAACAATGAATGGATGGATCAATGGAAAAATAAATAAATCATAGACAGTGCAGACCAACCTGTGTGTGAGCAGTGCAGGCAAAGCGCCGTCTTATTCCCGGGTCACATGAGGTGTCCTCCAGACAGAAACTGGCTTTGTGTCCCTCAGCCACCTTCTGTCCAGTGGAGACGTCCAGCAGGTCGTAGTTACTAAAGGCCTCCATACTGTGGTAATGCCTGGAGAGAGACAGAGATCCAAACGACAGCTGCACTGCAGCTTTATTCTGGAAACTGTCATTCTCTTGTTGTCCTGGTCTGCTCATGGTTTAATGACCAAAAATGATTAATGTGGCATGATACATGATACTGAACCTCTTGTGAGTCATTTTCTATTCTGGATAAAGTTGTACAGTCATTTATTTTCTCACATTTAAAATATTGTTTGATCAGCTCTTAAAAAGGAACTGAACAACCTTTAACTGTCATAAAACAGAGCAACCTGACTGGCTCTTAGATATCAAACACAGCACAAGTTCTTCAGAAATATACCTCAGAAATGTTTTGTCTTCAAGAAATCTACCCTTCTTTTCATTCATTCATTTTCAGTGCTTGAAGGGTGTTTGTATTTATTTCACCAAACAGGTGCTGTGGATCGACTGTTTTGTTATCTTATTCACATCTGTGAGGACACGGGCGACTACATCACAGCAGCTAATGGAGATCCTAAAACAAGTAAAGGTAACACTGGAATATTTTAAACTATAATTTCCTATCATCAACTGACTTTTAAGCCCTTTTAAAACTTTTGATTCAGTAAAATCTGGAAGGTCAAAACCAAGTGTCTACACCAGTGTGCAGGGATGGGGTAGTGTATTTACATAAATGTACAGTTTTCCTAACTCACTGGTGACAGCTGTGCCATTCCCACTCATGCCTGGGCTTCACCGGGAGGAAGTCCGCTGTTCCTTGGTTCTTCACTCGCTGTGGGAACCGCAGCAGGACTCTGTAGTCAAGGTCGCTCACACTCGGATGATACGCAGACCTGAAGGAAAAGGAAACAGGAAATGAATGAGCCAAGATTTTTCACTCTGAGCTGAAATGACACTGTGAAAACCTGAGTGCGCAGCCGGGGTCGCCTTTTAGTTTGTGGCATCTTTACCTCACATAGTCTGCACAGTATATACTTCACTGCACACTGAACTCCTTCTCGTCCTTCACTGGCCATTAGACAAATGATGATCCACTGTCAAAGTGACAGAGGTGGTTTCTGGTCTTGCCTCACAAGCTTTTGCATTCACCTCAGGAATGCTTTGCCTTTCATTTCAGTGCTTATTTTACTTGGCAAAGTGGCTGCTCAGATCAGAGGAGAGAATCTCGGGCGGTTGCCAGGTTTGTGTCCAGCCACTCTGTCACTCAGCTGCAGCTTCCAAACGGGACGGAGGCCAACACACATCCTAATGTGGCAACCTCAAAGGAATTCTAAATGGTTATCTTGTTTTTTATTCATACATGTGAACCCCATTGATTTCTGTGTCTAAAAACACGATTCATTACACAGCAGAGAGACGATGCGTTTCAAAATGTCAGCCATACCACAGGGACACGGTGCGATACAACAATCATTACGTATTACACACAGAAATCTTGATTAAATAACAGATTATGGGATTAAGTGCTTTTTACTTGAATGACTGATCAAATAAAGGAGAGCACCTGGACAGACAGTTCTCCTCAGCAGCACAGCGAAGTGCATACATCTGCACTCTCTGGATGTAAGAGGCAGCTTGGATGTAATAAGGGTCAGGAACCAAGTCTGGGAGACCTGCAGGAAAAATCAATGCATATTGATAAATCACTGATATGTGAGGACTCAGCTACAAACACAGTATCTATCTAATGATTGGGAATAATCAAAAGAGATGCATCTATCTGTGTACATGTATCTATTGTTAAGTATAACATCTATGTCTATCTGCTAATGTGATACACAAATATAGGGAATAGATCACATTTTAACTATTAAAAATTACTGCATTGTTTATGTGATGTCAATGAGAACATCATGTTAAACATTGAATATCAAATACTTTAACCCATTAATTACAGTCCACTACATTTAGTATGTTAAGGAAAAGCTGCACAGAGCTTTTTCTTTTAGAGGTGGAAACACAAAATCTGCTGCCAACCTGTCAAGACACATGACAAAATCAAAATTTAGATTTCACACATTTATCATGCTGGAATTGATAGACAAATTTGATTTTCTTTTTAAAACTCAAAGCATGTATTATTATTAAAATTGAAGTTGTTCTGAATCTAGTGGTACCAAGCTTTTGATGTAACGTAGTTTTTGAGAGACAGCTATTTCTGTATCATACTATATTTAGTTGTGAGTCACATAAACACACTATTAATGTTGAAAATCCCATAGGAATGCAGTGTCACTGAAATCTGCACAACATAAATCCTGGATAACTAAAAAGCAACAGATCAATTTTTTAGATCGAAAAAAACAATTTGTGACTAAAGATTACAAAAAGGATGTTAAGGAAAACTTTGGCTGTTGGCTCATGCTCTGACCCATTTGAAAAATGTCAGTGGGATTGTGCTTAGCTCAGCTGGTACTGTAAGGGCTAAAGGAAATTGTACTAAAATTCATCTGTGGAGATATCCATACACTGCATAAACAGTAATCTACCTACTTGAGCAGAATATTGAATAGAAAAGTCTGGAAACTTTACACTGTCATAACTTAGAGATGTAGTTTCTCCATCTTTGCTGTATAAGTACTAATGACTCGCTCCCAGCCAACCATTAATATTAACTTTGCTCAGAGGCTCTCATACCGGAGTCATTACTTTTGTCATAAGGGGGTATTAACTCTGACTCTCATTAAAAATACATTAAAACGCCCATAAATTGGGTGAATTTAAATTTTGAATGTGGAAATGAGCGTGAGGCATCTGTGCCTCATAGCTCCACTCAGTGCTTTTCAAGAATAAGTTGCACTTGATGATTATTCTGATTTTACATGGTCTTAGGGCGTTTTTATTATGTTCATACTCTGGGTACCGTGCTAACTACTTTTATACACTTTGGTTTCTCTATCTTATCTGCCTGCTTCACCATTGTGGAAGAATCTGGTGCCATAGCCGGTTCCTGGTGGAGGGCGCGCAGTGATCCTGTTTCTGCGGTCTGGTGGGTAAACATTATAGAAAACCGAGTTCCTGTGATGAATGCTGTGTGGATCTCGTGGGTCGCTCACGTCTGCAGTCCGTGTTGTATCCGGCCTTGGACGAGGAAAGTGTATTTCTACAGCATTACTGGACAGCGCTGTGGGAGAAACATTTAACTCAGGTGTGACTCTGGTCAGTGACTGCGCTCTGTGCGCACTGCGAGCGTCACCCGGACGCGTTTGCTGCGGGATGCGATGTAAGTTCTCACTATCCTCGGCCATGGTGACCCGTCCAGCAGGTGACCAGGCAGTTGAATCCGAGTTCTCAGATCTTATCTGGCCGCCTCGGATGTGCGTAAAGTCCGGTGATCTTGCCGGCGGGGCAGGGGCCTGTTGTGCACCGGCATCATCTCCGGTTGCACTCCGGCCTCCGCGTGGGATTCCGCTGCCGGAGAACTCCTGGGTGGCGCTATTATTTGACGGAGTGTGGTGTGAACGGTATCCCAAAGCCACGGGAAAGGTCACGCGCGGCGGCGACTGAGTTGGTGTCCCTGGTCGTCCCGAGGCGAGTAAATACGGACCCTCATCAGCACCAAGAACTGATGCATCCATTTGACTGAGGTCGTTTTGGTGAGAGTGAACCCGGGCTGCGTCCTCGAGGTTTGATCTGGTTCTCGTGGATCTACTGGGTGTAACGGAAGGGTTAACTCGGTTAAAATTGTTAGTTGTTAGTAAAAGCTGGGTGCGTCTTCTAGTTTGTGCGGGGGAGCGATATTGAGTCCCCGTGCTCAGTAAACTGTACAGCTGACCGTTATTCTCCCACTGAATCCGGTGTCTCCAAGGTCCGACACGTGCGCGTAAATGTTGTTGACCGGTACCCAAACACACCAGAACATCAAGTAGAAAAATCAAAAGAAAGGGAAACTTCTCCATGGCTCCGTGTGGTGGTGTCTATATCCGAAGATTTACAGCACTGAGACATTAACGACGAACATTTGAGTTTGACATGTGTGATGAGGAGGTGTTTTCTGATGAGGAGGTGTTTTCCATACACTTGACTCCTTCACGCAGTTGCGCACAGCATCACTCCGAGAGGTTGGTTTGAGACGTCTTTAGTGTCTGTAATATGAGTTACTTATCCACCCATCCACAGCTAGGAGCGGCGCTCACTCTCTCCTGTCACCTTTGAACCATTTCAGCACATTCTTTATTCTTTATTAACATTATGTCAAGGTGAGAAAGAGTGTAGTAGCCTAGTCACTGCCATGAGAAGTTCTGTCTGAGTTTCATGTTAAACTCTCATGAAGCACAGGCGCATTGAATTCAACCATCATAATTCCTGTGGTAAACTTATATGTATGTCCTAACTGATGAAATATGGCTATTCTACAAGAGGAAGGTGCCAGTGGGTGCACTTATGATTTTATATAAACTCAAAGAACATGACCACAATGGAAACACTGGAGTCCTGAGAAGGACAATAGCTTTATTAATATCTGTAGGGAATTTAATTTCCTTGTACTTGTCACACTGTGGATGCAGTATAGAGCTCAGTGGTACTGGTGGTCTTAAGTGCAGTAATGCCTGTACTGAAAAGTATTCAGCCTGTTGAATCCTCACACTGAGGCCAAGTCGCCCTCTTCACCACATGATGGCAGTGGATCCTCACAGACCGGCAGCTCTCTGCTGACATGCAACTCAAAACTACTTTTACTTGAGATCAAGATAAACCTTTTTCCTAGCTTGTATTCATGAATCAAAGTTTTTTCCAACTTTCAAAACTCTTGTCAACCAATGGAAACGTAAGTACGTTCTTCAATGTGTGTATTATATACAACACCCACTACAGATCTGTCTTATTGCCCCAAAGATGTCTACACTTCATATCAAAGCTTGTGCTGTGACACACTTCAAAGTCAGTTTATATTTATAGCCCTTAACCTCTGTAAAGTTGTAAAGAGCTTGACGTCCTTCATATATTAGGCTACAGACCATTTATATAAATCAATCTTCAACACACAGTATATGTTTGTGTAACATAAATCTATACAGGTCTCACATCTTACTGTATATTCTATGATTAACTCTCCAGCACCTTTTTACAGGATGGATGAATTCAAAATGCGGCCCACTTCAACAGTATAGTGCTTCGTGTCCGTCACACAGTTGGACAGGGCATCTGATCTGTCAGCACCCACTGTGGGTTATAAAACACTACTACGATGTTGCTATGAGACGGCTGGAGAAATTGGTTTGTTGGTGATCGCAATTTAGTACCACTGGTTCCACACACACCCTGACACTAAATTCAATGATAAGTGACACTCAATTTGTTGTTTTGTTTTTTTCTACTAGTGGCATGTTTTGGTTGGAAACACTGTCATGGTTTTGGTCCAATAAGCCTCATTTAATACTTATGATCCTGTTGAATAACAGGCCTGTAAACCACAACTGATATTACAGGTGCTTTTTTAAATCAGGATGTTAAATGTCGGCATCATCTCGGACAGAAAGATGTTCACGGGGCTGAGAAATACGAAAGACAAAGTCAAATGCTTCCCAAGAAGTCTATTTTTTTTTAAAACACCTTATCATAGTCTCCTCAAATCTGCACACTTTCAAGAATTGTTCCAGGTTTGCAGGAATCCTGCATAACACACGTACAGTACCAGAACAAAGCACAGAAAACCACAGTCACCAGATGACAGTCACAAGTAGTTCAGGCTTTTGTGTTGCATCTATCTGTCGCTTTATACACATGATAAAGAGGTTGTCAACTGCCTTGAAGTAGGTGAGATTCCCCTCACCTTTCCCCTCCTTTTTCCCATGCATACTCTGTCACAGCATCTGTGGCTGCGGGGACGTGCCAGCAGACAGGTAGCCAGTAACGTGGTGTCAGTCCCGAGTGCATGGTGACAAAGTCGGCCAACACAGTGAGGATTAGAGGAGGTCAGACTGGATACCCCCCCACCCCCACCCCCACCTCCTTCTAAATATACCCACATACCCCGGCAGGCACTCAGAGCCTTTCAGCAATCTGTGTGAGTATAAATCCATGAATAAGTGTGAGAAACAGGAGTAGAGAAGCATGGATATGTGTGTGAGTGTGTGTGTGTGTGTGTGTGTGTGTGTGTGTGTGTGTGTTTGTGTTTGTGTGTGTGTGTGATTCGCGCAGTACAATCACGGGGTGCAGGTCTAGTTGGATCAGGCAGGTTGTAACCGGATGGGTGTCATTGCTCCAGCATGACGGGTGGTCTCTCACTGTGTAAGCACTCGTTGACACACATGATTTAAGGCACCACCTCCTGGCACTCATGTCCCACATATGACATCTGACACCATCAATAAACACTGCCCTTAGTTTCTCTGTTGTCATAATTACCAGATTAACCTGGATATTGTTCTTTTTACTTCACTACTTTTATACAACAGACGTAATTACTAGTCCCTTTGCATATTAAGATTTTATGTACAAAGCACATGATCAGTTTGAAAATATGATCCATTAAACACAATAAAGTAGTTAAACTTTGCTGCAGTTACATAAGCAACATTAAAATGCTGCTTATGTGTTAATGCACCAGTTACAAAAATTCAATAATATATGTAATGATATAAAATCAACATAGGCCATTTCTGCCCAACTGGTACTTTTTGAAGTAAATTAAAACATCTTGAAATTAGATCTGCTCTTTCTCCCCCTTTGAAAATCCAGAAAATTAATAATTAATGTTTAATTTCTGGATGCATGTTGACTCCTGCTACTTCACTATGAAGTCCATTCTCAGTGTGTGGGCATTTTATCTGCACCACAACTATTAATTATAGCTGTTAGATGAATGTAGTGAATTAAAAAGTACAATATTTCCCTTTTGAAATGTAGTAGACTACAACAAAGTTGCATAAAATGGAAGAACTCAAGTAAAGTACAATGACCTAAAAACTGTACTTCAGTACAGCACTTGTAAATGTACATAGTTATATTCCGCCACTGGGTCTGGATGTGAATGAGACTTTTTCCAAGTAGGCAATAAACCTTGGTGTCCCATGACGCACATTGAGAACAGGCTGGTGAATCAAAAACAAATACCAGACTTTCTAATTCGTTGACAGTGTAAATTTAAAATCTTGATAGACACTTATTGTAAAACCCAAATCACAATTTGAGTATATATATATATATATTAGTGTATTCTTGATCTCGGAGACAGCAGCTGGACAAAAGAAATGAACAATGAATAAAATACCTGTTGATTGCAAAGCAAAGAAAGAACAGGATGACTCGTAACACATGCACCCACACAAACCTACACTGCAATGTTCTGTATGTGCGCACAAATGCTGCAAACAGAGGATCATCTAAGCACTGACATCGTAAAAACAGAAAATAGCCTACATCCTCGGTGTTACACTCTGCTCTCGGGCACAGTCATGTTCACGTACCTGATATTACTGACTTCAGACAAGCCCACACTGCTGACCGATGTGCTTCAGTCACATGGTTCACCCAAGCTGTGAAAAATGCGGTCAGGTTTGTCCAGGAAAATGTCTAGACTGGATTTGTTTTTCTTAAGTTTCCCCTCTGCTGTAAAGCAGCTTGGGATAATAAAGCCACTGTTTCACACTTGCCTGTTTGCGTGTGGTGAAACACGCATTAGTTGATGTAAACCCTTTGGTTAAGATGATATATTTTTATGTGTATGACTGTTATCTAAAATACAGAAATGTTATTGCGCATTCTCTGGACTGTGATCTCTGGTTTATCCTCTGGTTTACCCTTGGTGAGCAGATCCACCTGAGTGCGTGGTTTCACAGTCATCAGCACATACTGCTGTCATTTTTAGCACCGGGAGTCCATGCCAGTTTGGTTTAGTCGACTTCCACCTGTTAGAGTGTCACAGTGACCACTTTGTCACTCCATTTCCACATGACACGCGCATGACAGATTACATGTACCTACAGCTGATGTCGAGAGGAACTGAGATACTGGTTGTTACCATAACAGGTGTCAAAAAATATGGTTACAGTGAGGTTATGAAAGTGTGTTCATACTTTAAATGCACTTCAAGCCCCACTGACAAACTGACAGGTTCCTGAAGTAAACCATTGCTGTCCAATAATTTATAACTTCATGTTTTCTGTATAGGGACTCAAAATTACCCAAATCACCTCTGCTTTCTGACTGAGAAGTCACTTCCCCGAGGAGCAAGTCCAACAACTGTGCCAACACTTGTAAAGCCTAGACTTACTTTGACATACAAATGCTCATTTGTTCCTCTAATGAAAGTATTACTGGACTCCCATCCACTTTGAAAATGAAGACCCTTAAAATACATGCACCTACCTGACCTGTTCTTTATTTAGCCTAGCTGTGGTATGATAAGCTGAAGTTCATACAGTCTACTCTGACAGTATGAGGTATTCCCTCAGGGGAAATGAGAAATTATTCTGGCCTATTTATATGTGTGGGAACATAGGTGATATCAGCACGTGCCCTAGGCCTCATGCGCTATACATCTAGTGATAATAGCCTAAATCTTGTGGTTAGTAAATGACCTACTCAGGGATCTACTTGAGGAAAGTGAGGGCAGCTATTTCAGGGCTACAGAGTTGAAAAACCCCAGGAGCACAGAGAGGTGTGTGACAGGGCCTTTCCTATCTCTAAAATAGATGCAAGCAAAATTGGCTCAACCTGGATGTAGTTCATATGGATTGTTTGCATACTGTAATTCAGGTATCCAGGAAATGACTATGCTAAATTTCACACCAGTTTGGCCATGTGTAGTGAGCCCACTTGAAACTGACCCACTTTCTCTTTCTATAGTTCACAACACAGCCTTTGTTCACCCTCTAATAGTCCCAAACCTTTTTGGCTTCTGCCTCTTTAAAGCTTGATGTCTACTCGCAAGCCCTCCGCAAAGGTTGCACATCTAGTTTAACTTAAGAGCGATATTCCCTTCCCAGATCGTTTCAATTAAACAGTCTTCAAAGGCCTGAAGGGGTAAATCTATTCAGTATTACCAGTAGCACCTAGTATATGAAAACAATTGAGACAAATGTTCTTTTTCTGCATGTTAATCGTCTTTCAACCCTTGTAGGAAATCAGTTCCTGTTGCAGCTCTGACATGAGACTTGACATCCTCGAGTTCTAATTAATTCATCTATGAACACTGTAATGTTAATCATTTGAAGACAGAATAATCAATGTAAAATGACATTAATTCATTCACACCTGCAACCATTGTACAGATGCGACAGTGTTAAAGTATAAGCAATAAAAGCCTGATTAAAGTCAGATCGAGGTACCATTCAACTCAGTATAACCAAGATAATAAAATTCAACACTATCATTATGTCAGCAGCAAATATTTTATACGGGTGACAAACACACAAATGCTTCATGTACTGTATGTCAACAGCAGCTAATACATTTATTTGTAGGAGAATGCAGTTGGCAGATAAATGGTCCAGTACAAGTCAGTGGTTTAAGATAACAGTAACATGGATCAGTACAACAATCACCTTTTAAAAGGAAAAAAACAAAAAACACTGATCATCTGAAGATGATTGGAAAAAAAGACAATGATAAGTTAACATTGTTTTGTTCTATGTACAAAAAAAAAAATCCTTGGGACTATTTACAAAATCTGTACAGGGATGGAGAGGAGTCTTCCTGCTGTAAGAAACAGAAAAAAAAGTGTTAGTGTTAGGCACAGTTGCACGGTTTAATGTCATCTGATAAAGTGCACAAAAACATGGCTCATATATATATATATATATATATATATGTGTGTATAAATAAAAATTCTCTGTTCTGTTCCTTAACTATATGATTCTACAAAAACTAACAGTAGTTGACTTCTCACCTATAAACGATTGAGCAGGTTATTTTGAATGTCTTCATACACCTGGTTGTAGATCTCCTCTTTCGTTTTCAAACCATCCAGGTACTCTGCAACACAGGAAGTGCTCAGATGAGAAATGTTTTCATAACAAACACTGTCAGAATATTTCTGAACAAGCAGATTATACCCAATTTCAGAAAGAACATATGTTAAAAAAAAAAAAAAGAGAGAGATTAAACTAAATCAGCTGCAACATACCAATATGCAAGCTGCTGTCCTCCATCTCTCTCCTGTGCTTCAGGTACATGGGCCACACGTGGCCATCAAACAGGCCAGGAGGGTCGGGGACAGTGTACTGCCTTGTACTGAAAATGATAACACACAGTTAGAGAAAGTACACTTTCCATGACAGGATTTGATCATGAGAAAACGTGGGATTAAATACAACCAAATGTTTTCACATTCACTCACCTTCTCCTCGACTTGCACTCCTCATAGGGAATCGTGATGTAATAGCACTTGTTGAAAACATCCTGCAGGGGCCTGAAGGGGAGATGCACAAGGTGATGAACAAGGTCATCAGCAATGATACATAATGTCCTTGACTAAACCAGAGTAAAGGAGTATATTTATGCAACGGTTCCTGCTGTCTGTTATCTATATCTCTGCAGTATGCTCAACACTCATCCCTAGAACGCAGAATACCAATCACCCAGCACCCAGCTTTAAGTACAACTCAGAGAGCCTCTTACTGCTGAACCTCTTATCTTTAACTGCAGGACCTGCCCAAGTCTAAATACAGGGGTCCATGTACATGTGCCAATAGCAAGCATGCAAAAGTTACCACGTGACACTAAAGAAAAAGACACCGCCCATCATGTGTTTGTTGTCATGAATTTCTCAGAATTCACAAAAACCAAGATGGCCTGCTGCCCTTCACTGACAGTTCTGAGGTCACATTTAGAAAAAAGGATCTTTCACAGAATTAATTGCACAAATAGACACGTGCTAACTACACTTGTGTGGAAGAACTAACCACATTTCTTATTAATAAAAAACTGGATGATATTATTATTATCATTACAGATCCATGCAGGTCACTTGTGTGGGACAGTGCAACCAAGGTTGAAACTTCAGCTTTCTTAACGCTGTTCAAACAGTATAGAAATTGAGCCATCAGTTCCTCCAGGCTAGCACACACACACACACGAGTTAAACCACGTGAATTAAAAAAAAAATAAATAAATAAAAAATCTTACAGGTAGTTGTAGAGCAGGAAGCCCTCCACAATCAGGATATGGATCTGCTCATCAGGGTTGGCCACATCAGAGACAGAGGACAGAGTGACACCATGAGAACGGGCGAACTTCACAGGGTTCTCGATCCAGCCTTTTACTGTGTTAGTCATGGCCTCCATATCCAAAGCTGTGATCACTGTAGAGCAAGATCAATAGAAGAAAAGATGACAGAAAGGACAGATGGAAGATTAGAATAGAGACAAGCAAAGAATGTTAAATATCAGAAATGTGTTTGTTGTTTTTCTCCAAGTTACTGGAGGTTATTATCAGCTTAATTTTGATATTATGGTGGGCATGTGACTATAATACATGCAGTCTTGGGTGGTGGGAGTATATTACATTTAAGGGACAGGTATGTGAATGTAAGGTAAACAATGAGTCAATGGCAGTCCTCAGTGAAGTCTTACCATCCCATTGTCTAAAGCCGTCCTTCCCGACTTCTATCTGATCGGGTTTCTGAAATAACAGTCACCAATAAAACATTGCTGCAACCTCACAGCTCTGAACACATGCAGATCCCACTCACATGCCAGAGTATGGCCAAATGAGTGCACACACACACACGCTCACACACAAAAGGAGGAAAAAAGGTACATAGCAAGAGCATGCAAAAAATAAAGTAAGCAATTTACAAAAGTACATTACTCTAATAAAATTAGGAAAAAGAGAAGAAAAGGGAAATGCCAAAAATGTATATAATCTAAATGTGCTTAAGGGGATTGAGAACTGAAGAAATTAAGGAGGGTGAATTAATGCAAAGTTAACTGAGTTAAGGTGTGTTAGATGACTTAAGCATTAAGGAGAGACAACCAGGTAAAATAAACTACTTTGCATAGATATCAAATCTATTCTACATCTACAGTAGAGAGCAGAGTTTGGCAGGATGGGATGTAACTCAGGATAGCAGCCATTACTTTTCTTACATGCAAGCCTCATGCAGTGTTCATTGAAGAGAAAATTGAGGCAAACTATAATTTAAAACTCTAATTAACCATCTGCTAAAACTCACCTTGAAGAAGTCATCTTGGTGCACAACACAGCAGTTGGGCAAAGTCTTGATCAACTTATTTGTCAGGGTGGTTTTTCCACCATTAGTGACTCTGTGAATAAAAGTCAAAAAGTGATTAAAAAAAAACAAAAAAAACACATTGATTATCTCTTGCCAGCTACTATCACTTTTTAAAGCTAAATTATTTTGATTAGAAATAAATCAGTTGTGCCATCTTTCTGCCATAACAAATGTGGCGCCCTTTGTTTACATTTTATATTTAGTTAGTTATTTTAGTACATATATGAGAAAAAGTCACATGTAGCTAAAATACAGTTAACGAAAGCATAAATAATTGTAAGAAAATTTGGTGTGTGATGTGTGATTAAAAGTCGCACCGTTTTAGTAGAACCATGGGACAGAATAAAAAGCATTTGTTTCAACAAAATAAAATACATTTGTCATTTCATCATTTTAAAGTTAATATATAATGTTAACATTAAACTGTTTTTGGTTTGGGGCAACACTAATGTTACCTCTCCCTCCACTTTTGAAACGAGTCTCGCGATGAATTTTCAAATGTCCCGCTCGATTTATAACAACAAACCAGTCACACCGGACACGACTTTAGACCGGTGTAACAGCCCAGCCTTGCAACTTTCTGGCGGGCAGCTGATAACACACGCGGTTAAAGGGATAATAACTATCGACCAGAGACTATTACATAAATTGATAACTTTGCCCAAACCCCTACTTTGACTTAATATACCGACAGGAACAATAACATGATGGCACACAAGATCTTTTTAGTCAACTGTCTTATACAAACCGAGTAACTCCACTCAACAAATAGTAAGTCTAAACACAATAACGTCGCAGTATTTTAGATTACTACAGATGCTAGCAAACATTAAAAAGATTAGCAAACAACTGGCGGTTTGATTTTTAAAAAGAAAAACGTTAAACTTACCCGCCAATTCCTATAATGTATTTCATATTTTCGTCACTCCTCAACGGTGCAGCTCAACGTCGGCTGAAGAAACAGTCTTCAAGCTTACTTTTAACCAAAGGTCGAGAATAAAAAATCCCACAAATTAAGCTCTTCGGGGAGTTTTAAATTTAAAACCAAACACAGTTAAACTTTGCAGCTGCAGCTCTTCCTTCTAGGGCTCCATAGACTGTGCGCTCGAGGTACTCCCATTTATACCCAACTTGCGTCCTATTGCGTCACCACCGTTCTCGTGCTCGGACGTGGTCGCGCTTTTTTTCCACTCTGTACGTCGTCGCAGCAGCCAATCAGATCCGGCAAAGAGCTCCGACCACCAACCAATCACAGCCCGCAAACTTTCACACTGACATATTCGTCAGCAGCTTGTTGGTGTGTGTCACAGAGATGGAGGATCAGCAGGTAATCCACCTGATGATCACGCTGTTGTGGAAAACTACCACATTATTAAAGTAATTTATAACTATATATAAATATAGATACATAAATATATCTAGATATAGATATATATGTCCACATTTTTAAGTCATCCCTAAACATCTTAAAGTCAATACTATACTTTATAGCTTCTTACTGACAAGCACACACTTTATGTGAATATAGTCATATTGTAGTTGAGCTTATATGTGTTGGGTAAAGTGTATCAGAAGTGTGAGGGCAGTGTGAGCCCCTCTGTGAGTCAGTAAACTTGGGCCTGACTTTGAAGAGATCAGTCTAATGGGGACAGATGTCATCACATGTGAACCAGAATGATATACAGAACGCTCAGTGTTTTATTTCCTGCAACAAATCTTCTATCTGGCATAGTAATAGTTGGAGAGAATTATGTACAATGCATTCATTTTGGGTCATATACTGTGGAATATACTGTGAGTGTGTCAATATAACTCACCTGTACAATGTCTTCTTAAAATGCTACCTCCTTTCCAGAGCCTTGCTGTCTTTCCTGGTCAGTGCAACATGGATGTTTCTATTTGTGAGTCTGTGCACATGTGCAATGTGAATCCTGTCACAGCCTTCAGGGGTCAGGGGTCAACAGTCAGGGTCTCTCTCTCTCTGTCAGTATTAGCGTGTAAGGGAGAAGGGTGTGTGTGTGTTGGGGGGGGGGGTTGTGACGATCTTACACTGATGATGTCATAGCACAAGAGAGAAGTATTTCAGAGTCGTACTCAGCCCTCCTGATACGGTTACTTCACTCAAAAAAGGCAGCACCAAATTTAACATGTCCTTGAGTATATACATGTCTTCTTTCAGCTAGAGATGTGGCTTTTCTGCTTGACATTCAAACTTAAGAAGTCACTCTAGCAAAATGAGTTCAGGAGGTTGCTTAACATGTTCTGGTCAATTCTAAATTACTTAAAAATAGATTTTATGGAAAAAGAATAACAAAAGCTGCTGCCATGTTGACAGTAAATTCAAGACCAATAGTCATCGTCATGTTTTGATGACAGTCACATTTGCTTGATGAGCATTTCCAGCTTTTTTTTCTCCTTCCTGTGAAAACCTGTCCATCCCTCTTTGCTTTAAGAATAACAGGCATTCATGTTACACAGGTGGAACTAATGAAAGTTAATGAAATCTTTGCTCCCCAAATTATTGTAATACAGTGCAGCAATTATCGTTATTCGTCACACCTGTGTCAGAAAGTCAGAATGCCTGCTGTGTCTGTTCAGACCTATGAGAGCACTGCTCTGTTTTATTATACACCGTAATGTAGATGTATGCTATACATGCACATGCAGTCTTCATGATATGCTTATGTAATCCTTACAAGCTAACACCTTTTGAGTTACTATGACGAACAGCTGCCTGCTCACACACCCAGGTAAAAACTGAATATGAGGCTCTCAGTTTATCAGAAAATATTATTTTCAGACAGACTTAACAACATTATCTGGAACATGTGGTGTTATGATGTTAATGTGAAATTATTCGAAATTCTGGTGTGCACTGGGATTCTTATGTTCTTTTAAACCTGTTTTTTTCTTTATCATTTTTTAACCATATCTACAATATTTCTACATCCTGCAGAGCAAAATGTGTAATTGGCTTTTATTGGTAGATTTAGTTTTACTGAACTACTTCGATTTTGTCTCCATAACACACGGTCTCTAGTGGATAAAAGTCATAGGTGAAAGTTTGTAAGTATGGTTTCTCCAGGCCAATTTATGCATCTAAAGACTACAGATTACCTCTCTGTTTGAGTAAACAGAAAGTATAAAGGCAAACAACGTAGCAGAATTTGGGAGGAACAATTTATTCTGTTATATTTACAAGGCAAAAACAATCATGGCAATCTAGAAAGATGATAGATCATCTTTCCCATTTAAATCTGAGCAAACATTTTACAGCAGATAAATGGAAGGCAAATAAATTGTATGTTTATTGTGCTTTTATAGTCAAAATGAACATGTTGATTTTTGTAAAGTTCACATCAGCCATTTATATGCAAACCTTGCTTTTGATATTGGATGTAATTTGATATAGCGAACCTATAAATGGAAAGGCTGTACTTTACATTCCTTTACTTATTCTGGATTTCCTTTGAACATTTGGTTCAAAAATAGGCACTCAGTTCACCCAACAAACTACAAACAGAGAAACCTTCCCTCAAAGAATGACAAACTGTGGTTGCTGTGCTAGGACAGCTCCATCGTGGATGATAAATAGTTGATGTAACTGCTCAGTTTTGGTGTCATGACACCCTACAAGGCTAACCTTTTCTCAAACATCCACGCACTAAAAAGGCAACAGAACAAGAGGAAAATCAGAACTGAAATGGCACTTTAGAAACAGACATTTCATGAGTCCTATTTTCTTTACCAAAGAAGCGTATGCCGTACTAACATACAATACAACTGCATGATTCAGTCATGCTCCTTTACAACAACACAAATACATTTAAGAGGACTCATCACCTCCCAATCTATCACAGTCTATGCTTCAAAAGTTATGCGACGACCAAATCCAGCAGTGCACAACAATATCAACAGGCAATACAAGTATGTAGTTCTTTACAAAAATAAAAATTTCTTACTCCTCTGCTCTCCTGCTACAATAAGTTGACTGACTTGCGAACAAATGGAAGACGAGATAAAAATCAAGGAATCTCCAGAAAATGTCCAATCCATACTGCATTATGCATGCAAACAAACAATATAAATGATCAAATGAGACCCCACCCCAAGCTACATTAAGGTCATCCATCTGTATTAACATCAACCTTTCTTAGCCGTGACCTTCCTTTTAGAGGCCACTTAATATCTGATACAGTCAGTGGTAATGAAAATGATCTGTGCGAATTAAAGTAAAATGTACATCTTAAACTCAGTGTTGTCTAATGCACACTTGGAACACAAGTGCCCGGAAAATCACTGAAATCCTGATCACTGTCAGGATGTAGTTTATTATAAATGATCTCAACACTTTATGTTTAAGGTGTACATTTTAGAAACTGTGTAAAAGAACCATATGTGCAATATTTGTGTATTTTGTCCGGATTATAGTCACTTTCATACAGATTACATTCATTATTCTGTATGTTTTGTATTTTGAGGGTTAGTATTTTTCTTATTAAGAATAGATAGCGGTACTAATAGTGATACTAAAATCTAACTAAATCACATACAGTGCATGTCCATGTAATGTATGAAATCTGTTTATGTGACCACAATCATATGCTACAAAATAGACAAATATCACTTCTCCATCTACAAATAATTTACAACACATATGATTCTTCTTCTTTTTCAGCAAATGGAAATCATGTCTCCCCTTTTTACACACAAGAAGACTGAGGCACATCATAACACAAGGTACAGTACAGATGGAAGGGCACAGAGGAAACTATCACAGAGCAGACGGGATCAGAAAAAACAGTATCAAATGATCCCTATGTCAGTGAATGTTAGTACATTTTAACATTTTCAAAATGTCAGTACAGCATATGAGAGAGTTTGGAAAGACCTTATGATACAGCAGTTATGAGGCAAAAAATAACGATGAAGGCATCTGGATCGACTGGAATACTGTCGTTGTTATATACACATTATACTGACACAGACCAGGATGAATATAAATGTGTGTGACCGCTGCGGTCTGGTGAACTCACACAGACCCAAGCTCGACATTTGTTACATCAGTGACATTGCTGTTTAACATCTCTGGTCCTGTCAAGTTACAATATGTGCACACATCCCTCCTGTCAGGCTAAAATGTTGTATCTCCAAGTAACTCATAAAAACACCCTGGAATTTAGGCTGACAATCCAGTTGACGTACTCTGTTACTAACAAACTTCAGAATCGTAGAAACCGAGAGACAAGCCTGTAACCTGTCGACTGATATTAAGACATGAGAGAAACAACTAGTGTTTCACTAAATGTTGCAAAAATGTCTTTCTTTTTACAGTTTTAGTTAATTTTGTTCGATTTTTGAGAGAGAATTTCTGTCCATGTCCTGGCCTTACAGAGCCTCATGACGATGCAACATTTCAATATGAGCTACTCACGAGGTCATACCACACAGCAGGGTAATGAATTGATGTACTCAGCAACAGTTTCCATTAAGAAACAAGTTCTTGCAAACTAAGCTCGAAAGAGCAGCTTCTTCCCTCATACACTTAGAAGCTGGGTATATAAACCTCTCTGGGAGAAAGAACGAGGGGGTTCCAGACAGAGGGAATAGAGATGGAGCATTCACCATTTTGATTGGAAAGTGATGGCACAAATCTTCAGCTGGATGTTGATAAAACAAGGAAGCATATATAGACTTCTGCTTCTTATGGGTATAAATCAAAGGCTTCATGCTCCACACTTCTGTCGCACCCTGCATGAAGAGAGGAAAAATGTTTGTGGATGATGATAACAAAACAGGACAATAAATAAAAAATGAAAAAAAAACATGTTACCCTTAAGGCTAAAGTTAAATATAAACATTAAAAACAAGTATCAAAATCAAATTCAAACTAATAATTCCAAGAAATATGTACATGCAACTTTGTCTACGCCTGATCCTTTTTTTGTACAGAAACTGTCTTTAGTAACAATATCATTTTGAATACAGTGTTACGGAAAATAATTTTGTTTGTAAATTTAAAATTCAGCATTTTTAAAATCAATCACATGTTGCAATCAAATTCTGAATTTAATGAAATGAAGACCTTCCTGACTTTGCCTATCTGTTCAATTTGTTGATCCTGATCTAAAAGGATCTTCTCAGATGAACTCTGGAGTTATGTGAAGGCACCATTTAGCCTATAGAGTTTTAACTTCTTTTTTATACTGCAAGGCCAAGAATGACTCCTGTACACTGCTTATTGTTTTAAATCAATATAATATCAGTTTTATGTATTTTTATCATCAGCGTCTCAGTCTTATGACCGTTGACCAAGACAGACTCAGTATATCTTTCAGCCAGCTGGTATCACCCAGCTCTTACTGTAAGTAGCTCATTAACACTCAGTAGAGTGCAGTGGATACGACTTATTTATGGTTGCTGTTTGCTGCAGTCTATGAAAATGTTATTCATATCATGCAGCCTTTGTTTCATCAGCTTTTGTAAGGACATCTCCCTCCAGGACGTTTGCTGTGTGTTAATTCGACTACAAGCTCATGCTGTGCAGCAAAAAAAGACTCTTTAAAACAACAGAACGTTTTGAATTCTTGCAGGGATCCCAAAGATTCAAAAGATATTGCACCAATAGTTTCAGGCTGAATTTTGGGGAAATGTGTATGAAATGATGCACAACACCAGTCTAAGTTTAAATATTTCACTCAGTGTAATTCACATAAACGATATACTCTGGCTTAAGTGAAAAGTTGCTGCAAGCTAATAAAGAAAATAAATGTAATCCTGCTACACAATGTGAAAGATGTTCTAAGAAACCTTTGCTCATCGCTGTATAATGTATAATCAGGCAGAGGGAGCACACTGAAGAGAAGAAAAGGGCATTCAAAAGAAGCTACTCTAAAAGCTAAAAAGCCACTTCATGTAATGGCTGGGCATCAGTGTGAAAAGGTTTGCTAAACATTACCAACTTCAGGTACTCAGATAACCTTCCCTGACAATGGAGGAATATCAGTTGGTCAATGCAAATCTGAATATGAATGGTTAACAGGTTAACAAATAGAGTTACACCCCTATCTGCCCCAACTCACACCCTGCACAAACAACTACAAATCCTTCACCTCCACATTCACTCTGTCCCCAACAACGCTCCAGATCAGATGAGCATCTAAAGGAGTAGGCATAGTTTTTTCTCCACTGGTCATTGTGCGAATGCAAATGTAATGAGTCCCATTTGTCTAATGAAGAATAGATGCACCTAATCATCCTGTTATTGTGCAAAAGATTATAATATCACATTGCATATTCACACATTGTCAATATTCAGTTACTCATATTCATTTCTGCTCAACTTCAACTTGTTATTAATTGACAAGGTGTGTTTCCCATGCATGTGTCGCTACATGCACAATTTTACTGAAAATGGATAAATCTGAATTCTTACTAAATGTATGTTATACAATCTAGTGTAACAAAGAACTTGCAAGTAAACAGCAAACACGTGCACTGAAATATGTGATTCTGATCTGTACTGAAATATATATGAAAAACAATATACTAGGAAGTGTAATTACTCACTATTAAGGTGGTAATGTAACCTGGTGGATCCATTTCAGAGCACAGAGCCACCTTGTGGCTAATATAAGAAATACAGAGGTGGAGTATATTGTCCTCACCTGCAAATCATGGTCCTTCTCATAACCCTTGATCTACAATCACTGACTTTGGCCTGGAAATAAGAAAAAAAGAGAGCTTTATAAAAAAGATGGAATGATGACAGTGTGCCAGAAACTGATGAATGTCCCCAACTAGTTACTCGTCTAATGTGAATTCATGACAGACGACCAGTACCTCTCAGACTTTTTAATTGGCTCCTGTGGGACTGACTGATGCTGCTCCTGCTGTCTCTGCTCCTGCTCCATCCTACACACACATATGCACATGAACACAAAGAGGGAGGGAGAGAGAGAGAGAGAGAGAGAGAGAGAGAGAGAGAGGGAGAGAGAGTTATTGTAGGCAGTTGGGCTGATGCCCATTTGGTTTGCCAACTGGTTTAGAGTAAGTGCCTAAACCATAGTTCACTTTGAGTGCAATTCTTTATAGGTAATATCTATGTGCAAGTGATAAATGAAAGATATATTTTACCTTTCCCGCCGGGCTTTAATCCTCTCCTCGTCAAATCTGAAAATGAGTAAGAGTGTAATGTTCCCAATTCACACAGTAAATCCTAACACCTAAGCCATTTCCATTAAATTAGAATAGTAATCTTATTTTACATTTATTCGAATAAGATCACAGTAGACTTGTTCTCCATTAGATTAACATGAATAATCATTTTCCGGTAAGACATACAGCAGGAGTATCTGCCGCCTGGAGGCTGAGATTCACTCCTGCAGCTCATTTTCTCCATCCAGTGGTCAAAGACACTTACTGCACCACACACTCCGGGACATGGACATGCTCCATGGGGACGATCTCTGCCAGTTCATCCAGGCTGTGGACATACTGGATCTTATTCATGAACTTCACACTGTGTGATGGCGAGACAACAACAAGACAACAACAGTTACAGTGGTTACATTATTGAAGTCATGAACAGATGAGCACAAACGGACCGACACATGAAACGTCTTTACAAACATGGAATAACATTTCAACAATGTTCTAGGCACTCTGTGTCACTGCCAAAAAATTTAAGTGACTTAATTATGTATGACAGGGATATTTATATCTAAAAGCCCGGTCCAGCCTTCATCAGTTTACTGTGATTAGTACCACAAAAAGCACTTTAACTTGTGTACCAGGTTTTGTGGATTGCCCACTCTGAGGTATAACCATTCAGTTGTTGTTTCTGTGTGCATCACCTGATAAAGGGCCGAGAGATGGCGAGGACAGTGCGTATGAACCACGTGGGATGAGCGATGACCAGAGACTTCAGGTTCTTCCTCAATCTGCCGTCACAACGCAAATAACAAGTCCATTCAGTCAGCGGAGAGGGGGCAGTGTTTACAAGTTTAAGATGAGCATACAATGTAGTTGTAAGTATTATGAAATGTTTTATACACAGGACACAAATCAATATGATGGAGCAATTTTTTTTTTCTGCAGTTTTTCTTTTTCTCACCTTCTGTCAATCATCTGGTAACATTTCTTGAGCCAGCTGATCCCAGGCATCTTACTCCGAGGAGTGGCTCCGTTCATGTAGATGATCAGGTAATCTTCAGCCACAAGCATCTCCAGACTGCTCACCACATACCTGGAGAAGAGACGAGGGAAACAGTGACTTCAAAACAGTTGTACGTAAGGGTAAAGCATCGTGAAAGGACTTTAAGACATGTAAAAGGACTGGGAACAAAAAAACAATAAAAAACACAAGAGTGGGACATGCCGATATGAATCCAAGCCCTGTGTATTTCCAACAAGATGATCCTAACTCAGTATTTTCTGATCTGGGAGCCTCTATGCACCAAGACGTTCAGTAATCCATTCATGTACGACATCGAACCCTTTACTTGAAAAATAAAAGGCAGCCATGTGAAACTCACAGGAAGAGGTTTTCCATGATGTAGTGATAGTCTGGACAGCTGCTGTCAGGCAGGTAACAGGCAGAGAACACAATGATGGCATTGAGACCTTCTCCATAATAACCTGATGAGAGAGAGTTTCAGTAAATCATGAATACTGTTTCAGCAACAACAGTGACATACGTCTTTTACATGTAAACTCAATAACACATCTTAAAAGTTAAAGGTTGCATGTTTTAGTCCATATAACACAATGTTTGTGTATTACTAGAAACCATCAGATTGATTTCTGCCCTTTCACTGACCTCCGTGTGTGATGACCCGCAGGTAAGGCCTGATGACCTGCATGTCAATACGATGCTCCTGTTCTCCGATGATCACTGTTCTCCAGAGGCGTCCGTTGTTGGTGTTCCCGTCCTCACCCACGTCTCCTGACCCGCCGCCGGGACCTGCTTTGGCTGAGGCCACCGGTGTGTCATCTGAACAGATACAAACCCAGATTGGGTGTAAATTCCTTTTCAAAGAGGTTTTGATCGGTTAAATTCAGATTACCTTTAGTCTCAATCTAAGGATTTAGATTAACTTTAATTCAGGATTAGAACTCAAATTTGTGGTGACATTTTGAATTGGACTGAACATAGTTTGGAAATAATATGTTATTATAATATGTAATGAAAGGGGTTAAAACAGCAAATAAACCAGCATATGTATTTTTAACCCCTGACCTTCCCACTCCAATTCATTGCCATTGGTGATGAACTCCAGTGAGTCTGTCTCGTCTGGAGTATCGATGTCATCAACATTAATGTCCAGGTCATCTGGCGTGTCCAGGAAGTCATCTGACAGCAGAGAGCCCTCGCTCTGATCCAGGGAGAGGTTCATCTCCGGGGCAAGCAACGTACGGCGTTTACGGTGGGATGAGGACACACCGCCGCCTCCTCCGGGTGGGCTCACATTCAGGGAGTTAGGGGGAGCTACAGCAGCAAGACCAGGTGAGGAGAGGAGAGGAGAGGAGAGGAGAGGCTGTAACTTAAATCATGAAGCAGGGTTTCCAATCAGCGATCATCCAGTGGTCAGTGTTACTTACACGCTCTGTCGTCTGTGAGACCACAGGAGGAATCCATGTCTCCGTACTCTGGTAGTGGTCTGGAGGGAAATACAGATAACAAGTACTGAGTTTGTTGAGTACAATATTATATATTTTAATCATCAGGGTTCAAACAATCATGATTTGGCCCACTTACTGGGACCTAAAATAAAAGTAACTATAGCTTTTGGCTAATATATATATATTTTTCTGATCTCTGTTCTTCACCATGTACCATGCTTGTCTCTAACTTTGGCCTCACAACACTGTAAAATGCAACCTAGTGATTAGGATGGTGCTCAAAGGGCCAGTCAGGGCATGGGAGTTGTCACTGATCTGGCTAAGCACTAAAAAGAGCGGCAAGCAAAAGAGGATACAGATGGTAATTAACGTCTCTCTGGGGAGAGATGAAGATTACATGGCTGCCGGGCAGGGTGTGAGGCAGAGCAGAGAGGGGGAAAGGGGAGGAATAGGAGACAAAGAATGAGTGGAAGAGAGGGAGGAAGAACTCCTCTGTGTGTCACTGCATACAGACAAAGTTGTGAAGCTCTGTTTCTCTTCACACTGCAAGTTATTTACCGTTGACACCCCACACAGACTAGAAGTCCAAATGTTCCTCTGCATATACTCATGTGTGTGTGTTTGTGTGCTGACGTGTGTTTATTTGTATGGAAGCAAACTACGCACATTATGACGGATGTGCTTACACATGCATGTGTTGTTTTGTGCCTATCAGCAACAACACCGAGTTACAGTTGTACAGCTAAATGGTAAAAAAAAAAAAGAAAAAAAAAAGATGCAGAGAGCTACAGCGCAGTGTTTTTCAGCAGAGGCGGTTTTAGCTGCATTCCTGTGAAAGCCAACTGCTTCATCCACCCATCTGCAGGAGGACAGTGTGTGACAGTGTGTGCCCCATCCTGAGCCAACAACACTGGCTTTAGCCCAGAGAAACAGGCACTGACGAACGGTCTGAATCTGTTCCCTGGGGACCCCTGCAGTGATTTATAGTCCACCGCTTCCTTTGTCAGAAATGAAGCCATTTCTATAAACACAACAGACTGATGTGGATTTCTTATTTTAACAAAAGCTAGATAATCTCTTTTGTTCCTGTTTATGGCCGCATTGTCCTTCATCTACAAACATCAATATCAGGATGAACCAATGATGCTTACCTTCTGGAGAGAGTACAAGGGCTGCTTTTGTCAAAGCCGATTCAAATGAGCTTTTAAACCTCACACACCTTTATATTTGGTTTGCTTACTCATTCCCTGTCCTCTCAGCTGATAAGAGACAGGCCGGAGTAGAGCATCTCTCTGCGGCTACCTTAATAATCCATTTGCTGCTGGCTGTTCCTCCGCCTCTGTTTGTCTTTAACCAAAACCTGCCACCATTTTCCTGGCGATGCTGACTGCTATTGCGTCACATGACGTAGCCTGAGACCATTTACAGACAGACGCTGCACCTGCTCCCTGGCTTCCTGCCTCCCCATCTGACAGAGGAGGGAGGAGGGAGGAGGGAGGAGGGAGGAGGGAGCCCAGCGCTAACTATCATCACACTTCTCTTGTGCGCTGTTCCTGCCCAGCAAGCTCCTCATTTAAACCTCTGAACATCAAATTCCTCTCCTACGCTTTCTAAATCCTTATGAATTTCTATGGTGCGCTTTTCTTTTTCCTTCATTTATCTTTCTCTCTGTTTCTGCTCCTGCTGTGGCAGATCGTTGATCAGCCGTCTTATTGCAGAGCCTTTCACTGTGAACATGAAGTCAAATGTCGCACTCTGCAGTTATTAAAACCTTCAGCTACGATCTACACAAATCCATTGATGCTTGGAAAGCAGAACATAAACAAGATAAGGCTGTCAAGTATCACTGTGTCAATATTACAAAAATATTCAGTAACATAAATATCACTGAACTGGAAGTAATATTATGCATCTGGCTCATAAAGTTAATTGGCGATTCATGACTAATTAAATGCATAATTAATCCTAAATAATGAGATATTCACCCACAAACTAATATGTACCGTTTTTTTTTTACCATTTTTTTTACTTAGTAGTCTCAACTTTCAGCATCAACCACTTGCCTATATTTGACATCAGTAGGACAGAATAGATGATGACCAATAGAAAATAAAAGGATCCCACCTGGGAAAGTCTTCATCCTGCCACTCGTCTTTCACTTCCATGTTCTCCATTCGTAGAGTTGCCTCTGTCGTGCCCATCCCTCGGAGAGGAGAGCAGGGGCCTGCAGGTGTGAAGAGAAATATTTATTAATGAACACCATTCACAACAACAGATGAAAACTGTCAGGTAACTCGAGGGTACTGACTTGACAGTGAGCTCAGCGGTTGCACCGCAGGGACACGTGGTTGACTTAAATGGAAAAGGGAACAGTCAGCATTGTAGGAGGATTTTTGTCCAAATAATTTGCTCTCTTTCATTACAATTTGTGGGCTGCAAACGCTGTTGGTCACATGGGTTTTACCCCCCTGCCCACAGGAGCACATGTGAGAGGCATGTGACTGACTCGGGCAGAGCCCATTTTCTGGGCTCCACTCTCCTCAAAGTCAAATATTACGTACAAATTTGCTCCTTGGTGGAATTCAAGAGGCCAGTGTGGAGGACGACTTTCAGGCCTAATCCTCCCTCACTGCTCCTTAATCCTAGCTCACTGATGTGACTGCTGCCTTTTTGATCTCTAGTCACACTCAGGTTTTATGTCAACAATAGTATTGAAAGAAAAACTTCACTTCAGATCTAATAATGGAGAATTTACATAGTGATACTTTGGGCAATACAGTGACTGATTGCATAATGAACAGTGTGACTAGGATGCACCCCTCTCCTCTAAATTACAGGAGTAATTCAGTACACAATAGTAACACATCAATAACAGCAGAACTGGTCTGCTTTAGCTGTGAACGGTGGGAGAGGAACACTGTGACTGTTTAATTGGACCTAACATCCTGTTGTCTCTGTAGTTCTGCATGCAGTGGATTTTTACGATATAATTGCTAAGAGTGCAGCGGTTCTGGTGGTTTTGGCAGCGACACTCGTGGCTGAGTATAAACTGGAGGGCAGCCATGTCTCACACAGAGGAAATCATTCATTTCCACAGGTCCTATATTACACACGAGGAACAAAGCAAACATGAGATTGCAGCATGTGGTCAAATCCACTATGGAACTACACACTCTTGTTTGTAGCAGGTCAAAGTCATCTACTATCAAATGTGACAACAATCCCAAAAGAGAAAGTGGTGGAAAAAAAGAAAATGGTGCATGATGAAAAGAGACTAAATCATTATCAGTTATTTCTCAAAAATGATGAGGTTTCTTCTTCACACCACGTTTGTACATTTTGACAGCTGGAAAAATCATGAAATAGTAATTGTATGTGAAATTTTTCAATTAACCATTTAAAGATTTCTACAAAATTGTTTTATGGACAAACTGACCATTGCCTGAAGACAAATATGGACTATATTTATTTAATATTATACTATATTTATTGTATTTATATGCATCTATAACCCATTACATGTCATTTAAAGACTCAGTTCCTGTACAAGTGCTGTCCCCTGTCAACCCACTCATTTTGAATGAAAATCTACTAAATGAATTGGAGCCAAATATGCAGCACCACAAATTAAAATGGTCCCACAGCCTTTCTAGGTCATCGCAAATGGAACAGTCAATAGAGAAAAAAAGAGCAAATGGATTTCATGTGTAAGTGGACATCCAATGTCTAGTCAGTGCAAGGTGTAAATAGTGCAAGCAGATTAGAAATGCAAGGACATTAAATCAGTGGCTATACTCACATGAGCGGTACGAGATCCCCTGAAAACCTCTCACTGGTCCGTGCCTGTGATTCCTCCCTTCCTCCTCAGTCACAGATGGATGCAAGGATTCAAAGGGAGTAAGTCCTGATCTTCCCTCACCAACAGAAAAGCATGGGTCGGGCTGAAATCTCTCCTCGCCCTCTCTGTCTTTGACTAATTCACATGCACACACACACTCACGCACAGACACAGTTGTACAGTGTCCTCGATGTCTGCTACTAGCCAGCAGCAGGTGTCTGAAGACAGGGGGCACCTCTGTGCTGGGCTCCCCCCCTCCTCTCCTCCGCCTCTGGCCACCTTTGTTGGGGAAAGACTGGCCGTGAAGAGCGAGCCGACAGCCTGCCTCTCAGCTCCTACAGCCACACCACCAAGACACAAAATTCCTTAAATGAGACTACATCTGCTCTGGCAACACGATCTCACTCTCTATCTCATCCCCTTTTCTCTGCTTGTGGCTGGAGCATCTTTTTCCCCTCACCTCAAAATCAGTTCAAACCCTCTCATCTGTGTCCTGATCCCTCAATGGAAGCAGCTTATTGATCCCTACAACAACTTGGAGAAAAATGAGCACCAGTCTCTGTGTCCCTTCACTCCATTAGATAACCCTGCTGTGGTTTTCACTGGTCCTCTATGTGGCTGCTGTTCCCTGGCAACAGCATCTCTCCCCATCCATGGCATCTCCCCTCCCTCTCTGTCTCCTCACCCCAGTATCTTTCATACCTACTCTACCCCAACTCTCCCAACACACATTAATTATTCAGCCCCTTACTTCATTTGTACCCAACCAATCATATCGTCCCTTCAGTTTCCCTGCATAGGATGCTAACTTATTCTGCATGTTCCAATAACAGGTCTCTTTCTAATTTAGTTTTTTTGTGCGTCTGATGTAATCCTATATGTCCCGGTAGTAATAATTATCAATAGGTTTATATTATTATCTGAACTTCATTTTTGTCTGGAGTTATGTGCCGCTCCTGATGTGCTGCCTTTTAAGAACTCAAGGTCATTTTTACCTTATTAGCCATCTGTAAGATTACGATTTGCAGGTAGTTAATTGCAACAGTGACAGCGCTGCTGAAAGTGATGTTCTATTAAAATATGTTGCCAACAGACTCATTACTTGGTAGTTTGGTTTACATTAGATTTCATCTCTATAGTCGGTGCAAGCGTGACTGACATTTAGCAGATACTGCAGGAGAATATACAAGTGAAGCGAGAGGATTCACTTCCACCTACTTCCGGATTCGCTTACACTTATTTTTATTTTTATTATTTTTTTTAGGTAGGGTACATGAGGATAATTTTAGCATTATGTTCTTAATTTTGATTTAAACACAATCTTATAAATTGACAAAATGTTTTTTGTTGTTGTCTATTTAGTTTTAATGAAGTGAGTGATAATCCTCTTTACTTTCTGTTCTTCATTCCTTTTCATTGTTCAGTGTTTCTAACTATCTTGTGATTTTTAAATCATGTCACAGATCTGAAATTACACATTGACATTGGGCGCATTTGTTAATAATAATATAATAATAACCAATTCGCTGCAGTGGTGAAATGTAACTAAGTACATTTACTAAAGTACTGTAATTAAGTTGGCTACAAACTTGAGGTAACCTACTTCTACTACATCTGAGTATTTTCTTTTCAAGCTACTTTATATTTAGACTTTACAACAATTCAGAGGGAAACATACTTTTACATGCAATTTTTGCTGCAGATTTTATTACACCTTACAAATTAAGATTTACATACAAAAATATGGAGAGTTTATAAAACATGATGCTCATAAATTAAACTACCCAACAGTATCTGAAATTAATGCTGAAATCATTTGTTGATTGACTTAATTGATTTAATTAGTTTCTCGGATGTAAGGATTTGCTGCTTTTTCAATGAATGACTTTAATTATTTTTAATTATTTAAAAAAATAAATTTTAGGGTTATGAAGGTTTCGCCTAAATAAATGCAAAATTCCTTTTATACGTAAACATACTTGGCCAGTAAAGCTGATTTTGAATACAGATCCAAAACAAGTGTAAGCTGTGTAAGGTCCACAGAAAGAGCATTTCAAATCAATGCCATTTCTTATCTTTTGCAAACAGAGTGTTGTTGGATCGCAGGGATGAAGAACACCTCTAAGTTTGTTTGTCATCAAGTATCTCAAAGCTTTTCTTCAACTGGATATTTGAGGCAAACCTTCCCCAGTAATGAGAAACATACAGGACAATGTCTTTCTGAAAGAGGGATCCAATCTTATGTTCTGGGTTGAAGGGTTGGATTAAAAAAAAAATTAATTCATTACAATAGCAAAAACTGGCAAACTGACTCCACCACTGAGAGAGAGAGAGAGAGAGAGAGAGAGAGAGAGGGAGAGAGAGAGAGAGAGAGAGAGAGAGAGGGAGGGAGAGAGTGAGAGAGAGAGGGAAGGAGAGAGAGAGTGAGTGAGGGATGGAGAGGAGAGAGAGAGAGAGAGGGAGGGAGGGAGAGAGAGGGAGGGGAGAGAGAGAGAGAGAGAGAGAGAGAGAGAGAGAGAGATCTAAGTCTTGTGTTACGCAGTTCCGGTGTATCAGAGCAGTGTTGGTGGGGTGACTGGGGGGTGAACTATCTTGACGGTCAGTCTCAGCCTCACTGCTGCCTGCCTCTCTTACTCTACTGTACTGGAGATGCCAAGATGGCTGCAAGCAATTATTTCGGCTTCACACATGGTGCCGGTCCGCAGTACAGGTAATTCAAGCGAAGCAGGCTGGTGTCAGCATGTCTGCGGGGCCTCAGTCATCAGTCGCGGGTGTGTATCGGCGGAGGCAGGGTCGTTAGTGGGACTTGAGTGCGTGGAGAGACGTAGCTAGCTTTGTTAGCTCCACGTTAGCTCGCTGAGCTGAGTCCGCAGGCCGGCGTTCACGACATGCTGCCTGACATTAGGTGAAACCCGGTGCGGTCGTCTTCGCTCGGAAAGCTGTTACTGCTGGTTCAACTGTTTACCACTTCGTGTACTTTAACAAAAGGCCAGTTACAGCAAGTGTCATGATGCTGGTTAAGTCGGGGGAGCTGGCTGCAGTTGTGACGGGTGAGGTTTTGGCCGGCGTTTAGGATTAAAAGGGCTAACCCTGGTTCGGCACCACTGACGGTCCTGTGTCTCACAAACAGAGTATTTGTTGTAGTTGCATGTTTGATAACGACGCGCTGCTGCAAAGGAAAAACTAGGTAAACGAAGATAAGCACTGGTCACAAGATAAACAAGCAGCATGGGTTGGTGCTTGGCAAGTTTGTGTGACAACCTGTGAGTTTGACAGGTATAAATAAATAGCAAGTCATGTAATTATCACTCAGTGAAATGTGAAGGTTTCCTATTATGTCTTTGGTAGGAGAGGATTGACTTCTCTGCACCACAGCCTTATATCATTTATCCGCATTTCTCTCCACGGTTCCTGTTTATTAATTTATTCACCTAAGTCCCCTGGTTTGGACCAGTCTTTGCAGGGTTACAGTATGTTACATGCGGGAAATGTGGATAAAATTTTACATCACTGTATATGTAATTGACAGGAATGACTATTTCAGCAAATTACATTTCTGAGAAATGAATGTACTTGATCATATTGATGTAAAAATCCCCAAAAATACATTATTGCCATAAAGCAGGTCTACTCATGAATTGCATCTTCCCTTGGTAACCTGGCACACCCACAGGTATTACAGGGATATTTACAATGGTATAAACAATAGTAAGTAGTAAAAATAAGTAATGTATATTGTCTCTCAGTATATAGTTTTATATTGCCCAGGCCTCTCTGTTGTTCCTAACTCTGAGCTATTTAATAAGCAATGAGTAAAAGCGCAAGCATTGCTTGTCCAGAACTTAAAACATGTAACACAGAGGCTTTCTGGTTGCAGTTTTGGTAGTGGGGGTGGGCCACAGCGGACAAGTAGGTCAACAGCACAGTGTCTGACTAAACTTATTGATTTGCCTGTTTATTTTTACTGGTGACATATCTGGGATGGCGTCAGACCCTAATGTTACTATAATTGTTAGAGCTTGAAAATTCAGTAAATCAGGCTAAATTGACAGTATGCAGACAAGTCAACATAGGAAAAATTGTTTTTTTTTCAGTCTCTTCTCAGTTGTCTTTGTTTGTGTGTATTTATTTGTTTCCTTTATATATTTTATTGTTCTACTGTTCTGTGTTTGCTTGCATTTGGTATATTTTTATACGATAAACCAGTGCTGTTATCACTCTTAGAGCATGTGCGCTCTTTTATGACCTGAGGGTATCGTTTAATTTTAGCCCTCTCTTGTTCTTGTCCATCCTGACACAGAAAGCTTAATAAAGAAAAATGCTGACAGCATCACTCACTGATGTTGCTGCCAGTAACTGCTGTCTGCATCTCAAAACATGCTAATGACAAGACTGCTGTGGCGTTTTCATATTTCTGTGTTTTCTGACTGACATAAGGGATTAGAGAGAGGTCAGTGCAGGGCTGCTAAGTCAGTTGCATTATATTAATAAATGTAATCTCAGTTTTTTCTTTCTTTGTCTGATGGTGACATGTTGTGTTTAGTGTCTTAATGTATATTTGAAGCAAGTTTTGTTTACTCTGAAGCAATTCATTAGTAGGCTAATTATTTATTGACAACTATTAAGCTACTATTTTGAGTAATTTCAAAGTGTTACCTCATCCCAGCTTCTCAACTGTGATGATTTGCTGCTTTTCTTTGATTTGTATATTATTAAAGTGAATATCTTGGGGTTTTGGACAGTTGGTTGGACAAATTGAGACATTTGACAATTTCACAAAACACATAGTTATGGTAATAATTGGCAGATTAATCAGTAATGAGGATAATCGTTAGTTGCAGCTTTACTCTGAAGTGAGTGTGATTTTAAAAAAAAAAAAAAAAAAAAAAAAAAAATGTTCAAGTGCAGTGAAACTAGTTTGCTGCGAAAAGTGAATGATCAGAATAAACTGTAAAATTATCCAGATTACCACGCCACTTTCCGTGCAAGGTATACTGTGGAATTTGGCATCAGCGTTGGTTGTGGTTTAAATAACTGAGCTATCATCTAGCAGTTTGTTTTAGCACTTGGTATTAATGTACGTAACTTGATCACAGATTGCCTTTTCTGTGCTCATTATACAAGCAAGCAAAAATATTTTGAGCAGAACACATGTTGCACAGGCGTAGATGGATGATGCTGTGAAGGCTGTCTTTGATTTTCAAACTGCCACGATAAAAGCTCAACACAGCAATTAGACACTGAAAAAGGTTTCTTAAAAAGCCTTAATTTAGTTTGAATGTTCCAACAGATTTTTTTTTTTCTTGTACAAGTTCAGGGTTTTCCCTTCGGATAAAGATTGTGATAAAGTGAATGTTTTTCTTGCATCACCTAATTTCCCTCCCTCTCCTCCCCGTCAGTGCCCAGCCACCCCCAGCCTACTCCCATCCCTCCACAGCCAGTTACAGCGTCCAGCAAGCTCCAGCTGTGGCTCATGCAGTGACTGCATCCTACTCTCCAGCTCCAGTCCAGGCAGCGCGACCTGTGGTCACTGCTCCTTACCCTACTTATCAGAGCCACCAGGCCCCTCCAGACTATGCCTACAGGCAACCAGACCCACCGGCCCCACCACAGCCCACCACCACCCCACAGACGTACCAGGTATACTCAGACACGGTCAGTCTATTTCTGCTTCCTTTATGATTTCTGCTGTTCACTATTAAATTGCGTGATGTGGTCTTATTGATGTTCTATAACAGCTTTTGTTTTAAGTCATATAACGTGACTTTTTACAGTATTATTTAAAGCTGCCAAGACACCAGGATAGACAACAATGCATGCAGTTTCTGCATTGACTTTCATCACCATTATCTAATTTTTCACAAACAAAAAACTTATGCCTGTATTTAATAATGTCGTGTTCAGATATCTGTGCTTGTTGTAAATAGAATTTTGCTGCAGTTATCTACTTTAATATGCTGCTTTCCCATTGGATTGCATGTTCTCTTATAAACACCAGCAGGACAACTACAGCTACGGACGCCCTGCGGCTGTGACTACCTATGACAATAAACAGTACTACCAGACGAGTATAGCTCCAGCTCAGAGGACACCCACAGAGAATTACTACCAGACTGGTGAGTCAGTTTATATTTATTATTATCGTGTCAGTCAGTGCTGCAGCTGAGTGATAATTCAGTATTATTGTTTAGAGCCCAAACAATATCATATCAACATGGCAAATATTATGGCCTGATTTTAGCCTATTATTGAGATTTATATGCCTGAGAGCAACAAGTACAGAAAAGCCAATTATTTGTTGTGTCACCATTACATAGTTTGTCCACTAGATAGCACTGACAAGTTTATTTCTCATCTGTAAAATGTCCTGCTCAGAAAATATCTTTGTCACAGTTCTTTAAAGTCCTCAAACTCTCGGGATGTCACTTCTTTAAAAAGTCAGGTTTGAACTAATTCTAACAAACACATAATTTGTTTCGAAGTAATTCAAACACATCCCATACTGTTTACTGTGATCTGTGAGTCTAACATACAGTGAGCTGAGGCGCCTGTCTTTCCTGTGACCGTTAGCATTTTTCAGACTTAGTCTTTTTGAGCTCCTCTTCAACTCTAGTTCAGGAATTTATTTCCTCCATGGTTGTAAAACATACAACAATGAAATGATGCAGAATACCCCAGCCAGGGTTGTAAGAACACAGAGAAGAAAACTGAGGAGGCATTAAAACAGACTTTGCATCTCACTCTTTTCTGTAGCTTGTTATAGTTGACTAGAAGAGAGCGGAGAGAGAGTTTTAGTGTAAGAATCTAAAACTCTTCTAGTCAACTATAACAAGCTACAGAAAAGAGTGAGTTGCAAAGTCTTTATAGACTTAGACTTTATATCAATTTCACAAAAATTATTGTTGACTATTATATAACTAGGGTGTCAGGTCTAATTAACTCTAGAACATGACACACAAACCTGAGTCTTGCTGGGGGATTTGTCGGTCATCAGTCTTGGTATTATTTACTTTGCACTTGTGAAGAGTAATATGACATATGTGAAATGTGTCAGCTGCTCATTTGCTAGTGAAATGAGGATCCGGCTTGCCTTGCCAAAAACTTTGACAGGCAGTCCCATGGTTCAGATCTCTTTCGCTCTGTCCATGCTCTGATACCCTTCCTCTCCACCTCTACCCTGCTCTCTCCTCTTTTACCCCCCCATCTCTCTCTCTATCAGTGGGAGTGAAGAGTGCTTACAGTCCAGCGCCCTCCACTGTGTACAGCCAGCCTCCTCCTCCTCAGAGGCAAGTAACAGCCCTGAAGCCTCTGGCCCCCTCCAGCTCCGTGTCCACCAGCTACAACATCTACCCAGTGTCCACCAGTGTCCAACAGCCCCCAACGCCTATTTCATCCTACACCCTCGGCTCCTCCTTCAGCTCCACCGTTGCAGCCACCTCCTACTCAGGTAAGATTAAATAAGACGTAACATAGGATAAGATCCAGCATGCTTGCTGGGCCATTAGATGGACAACCGTGTTGGAGTAACTGTTTACTGGCTGTGGACACTGGGCTGCTTATCTGCAATGTTGGGTTTGAATATAAATTACAGTTGATATTTGAAATTATTAAGATTTAATCTCATGTCACAGAATTTTAGTTGGATTGTTGGATCAATTTTGGGATTGTTTTTGTCCTCCTCTGTCTTTATTTGACCTGGATGCTGCCCCTGGTGAAATTAAAATGCAGCTTCTTGTTTGCATGACTCAGATTTTTATATTAGACCCAGATCTTGCCTGCTTATCTCTAATAACTCTCCATCCTCACTCTCATCCTCTGCTCTCTCACCCTCAGGCATTAGCTACTCCAGTTATGATTCAACTGGCTACACCTCCACATCCACCCCCTCCTATTACCAGCCGGCCCAGCAGACTCTCGCCCAGCCACAGCCTCCACCTCAGCAGCCACAGCAGCCCCAACAGACCCAGCCCCCCATCCAGCCGCCACCCAAGCAACTGACAAGCTCATCCTGGAGCAACTCAGGGAGCAACATGGTGACAGCTCCGGCTGGAAACACCTACAAAAAGCCAACGTTTCACCAGAACAAGCTGCAGAAGCCCAAAGGGCCTCCAAAGCAGCCGCAGCTCCACTACTGTGACATTTGTAAGATCAGCTGTGCAGGCCCTCAGGTAGGAGAATAAAAATGATAAGAGGTTGAATTAAAGGACCAATGTGTAGAATTAAGTGTCATCTAGTGGTAAGGTTTCAGACTGCAACCACCTGAATACCCCTCACCCCTCCCTTTCCAAGCATGTAGGAGAAGCTACAGTGGCCGTCCGGTAACATAAAAACGTCCTGTCTAGAGCCAGCGGTTGGTTTGTTAGTTCTGGGCCTCTCCCTATGTAGATATGAGGGGCTTATTTTAAGCTAACAAAAACATAATGATTCTTAGCTTCATGTGATTATACACTAATTAAAACATAATTATGAATATAATATTCCATTTCTTTTAACATAACAGCGTCATTGTGCCGTGCAAACATTTGAGATCAGAGTACATGTTTGAGTGGCTACATGAAATAACTGTTATCATCAGTCATCTGATATGATTTATTTTATCAACAAAATACAAATCAAATGAAAAATAACACTTGATAACAATATGACTATTTCTACTGTTGCACTGTTTGGATACCGTATCTTGCTAACTGGTTTGATTTACTGCACCAGACATACCGGGAGCACCTCGAGGGCCAGAAGCATAAGAAAAAAGAGGCAGCCCTGAAGTCTGGGGGACAGACAGGGACCAGCAACGGGCCCAGAGGGGTCCAGACTCAGCTACGCTGTGAGTTATGCGACGTCTCCTGCACTGGAGTGGATGCCTACGCCGCCCATATCCGTGGGGCCAAACACCAGAAGGTTAGCACAGCTGTAATGTTTTTGTCCTAGTCTTAGTTTCTCAATGTTTGTTGTTATTGATGGAAATGTAGGCAGCTGTAGAAGAAACTGATGTGTTTTTGTTACTGGACATTGCTGTGGTGTACTCATGTGATGTTCCATCTGAGCTGCCAAGTCTTGGAACAAAACCTCCCTGAGGGATTTGGGATGGGATTAAGTATCAGCAGCCTTAAATGGTTGTATCTCCCTCTGTCTCTCTTTGTGAACCTTGGAAAGGTGGTGAAACTTCATACCAAGCTGGGCAAACCCATACCTTCCACTGAGCCAGTGTTGGTGAATTCTGCTCCAGTTGTAACAACCTCAACAGCTGGGAAACCTCCAGTCTCCACCTCTGCTCCTGCCTCAGTCTCAACCACTACAACTTCTACTGCAACACCCAAACAGGTGGCTGTAAACGCCACGGCTAAAACTGCACCTCCAGTCAAGAAACCAGCTCCTTCTAAAATAACTGTCATTTGTAAGTTTGTTGATTTGTTATGTAGATGATTAGGACTTTTCCCCCCCTGATCTGATCCATTTGATTCTGAATACCCACAGCTTCACTACAAATAGTTTACAAAGAGTTAATGTGTACTTCTGTAATAGACCTGCACAGTGTGCACTTAGCCTTAGCATTAAATTGTTGGTTGACCACATAGATACTGACAAAATGCTTTCTTTAATTGTAGGACCTTAAATAGTAAATCTGAAATCTGAAACTTATTCATCAGCCTTTGCAATAGACTAGAATAGATGATTTTTTTTTCAATCAAATGGGCATATAGCGTAACTGTAATGTCTTGCCTGCCTCACAGCTAATAAGCCTGCCAGCACTTCAACAGTGACAGCAGCAGCAGCAGCAGCAGCGGTGGTGGTGGCTGCCAAGGTGGAGGGGCCCATGCTGCAGTCAGTTCAGAAGGCGGAGCCTCAGAGTGAGGATGAGGACGGCGACAGAGCAGGAGGCCAGGGAGACATCCAGCCAGTGGGACACGACTATGTAGAGGAGGTAGGGAGATTAGAATAAAATTATCATGGTCTTCAATATAAACCTGTTTATATCAGTCTCAAAGTAACAAAGTAGTGAACAGACGCTGGTCCTGAGTCTTTAAAATAATACTTTGGATCTCAAAATTGGTACCTTGTTGTAATCTGTTAAGTATCCCCATATATCCAGTTTTGGTCACGTTTCACTTGCAAATATGTTGGAAGTAGTAATGATTATTCCTGTAGCTCTGCAATTGAATTATGCATGAAATCTTCAGTGTCACTGTATAAAATTATCATTGTCCTGCATGGTTGTGAATTCTGCCCTGTCTTTCTCAGGTCCGTAACGAAGACGGCAAAGTGATTCGATTTCACTGTAAACTGTGTGAGTGCAGCTTCAATGACCCCAATGCTAAAGACATGCACCTGAAGGGAAGAAGGCACAGACTGCAATACAAGGTTAAAACATCACTGAGTTCATTCCCTGTGTGGTTGGTTGCCCAAGGAAGAGATGAAGAAGAGAATGAGTTATGTCATACAGCTATGAGCAAGGTTGAGATACATACGTTCAGGCCCACACTCAGTCTGATCTCTTGCTCTTCCTTGGATAGACTGGTTTGACAGCAAGGTCTGGATAATTTGGTTGGCAGCTTTTTTTCCCCCTTAAACTCTTTCTGTGATCACTTCACTGTAGCTTTACTATGGACAAATACATAATGCAAATTTCTTCAATTACATTTGGTCCTGTATCTGCTGTAAGAAGACGTCGTGTCCATTAAATGACGATTCGATAGCAGGTCTTAAATGCCATCTTTTAAAGTAATTCCTTGACATTGTCAAGACAAGTAAGTCTTTAGATTGACATTGATATTGATGCCCAATATGAGCAGTCTCAGAGAGAATTTGAAGCTTCCAAAAGTTTGCTTCTTCACATAGCTGCTGTGTGGAATTACTCGACCTTGTCCTTAAAAGGTTGTCATTCTGCCGATTGCTTAAAACAGCTCAACTTTAAACGGCAAATAAAAGCTCAGAATCGAGAGAAAAAGACTATTCTTCATTGTATCTGCAGTAGTGTGGGAATGGCATGACAAAATGCAGGATCTCATATCCACTGACACATTACATTCGCGTCACGTTGGCCTTAGGTTTGTTCTGTCCTCTGTGTTTCTGTAGAAAAAAGTGAACCCAGAGCTTCCTGTAGAGATCAAGCCCAGTAACCGCGCCAGGAAGCTGCAGGAGAGCAAGCTGAAGAAGCAGAAGCAGAAGGCGGTGCTGAAGAGACAGCGAGATGACGAGCAGCGTTGGCACATGGAGATGAGGTCAGACTTGTGGCCAAACATCTTAGTCAGAAACCCAAACTCGTTCCCATTCTGACATTAAGTTTGCAAGTTTCCTTGGTCGGCACAGAATAGATTTAAAAGGAAAAGATGCATTCACATAGGTAATATTAGTAAAGGGGAAGTCCTAAAGTACATCAGCTGACTGTTAGACTGACGCATGTACACTTGGAAAAAAGGGAATTTCATGCCTCTTCTCCCATTTTTTTCAATCTCTGACTTTGGTTAGTCACACAGTCTTTCTTGATTGTACAGTAAAATTCAGTCTTTCAACCATCAGAGGAAAGTCATTAAATGAATTACATGTGGAGATTTTACCATGAATACTGTATCGCCAGATTAGGAGTAATCACTCCAATCAGTTTCCTATATGTATGATGACGTTTTTGTCATACCAGGTCTATTAATTCTGTTACAGGAGGGAATGTAAATTTTCTAACTTTAGACCTCTTCAACTAACACAATGCTTTTGAGAAAGGACCTCAGTACAATATTTATTTTATATGATCAGTGGTAGATCAGAGTAATTGTTTTGGTAAAGTGCGTTTTTATGGAGAACTGAGTAATTTTAATGGTGACCATAACATTGTCCTATGGGAATAAACAAATTATAATGAATGATGTGAAAAACATTTCCCTCTCCTGCAGGCGATATGAGGAGGACATGTACTGGAGGAGGATGGAGGAGGAGCAGATGTACTGGGGGGAGCAGAGACGCAGGATGGCTCCTCCACCTCTAATGAGCCGCCCCGGTATGCCAGTGCCCCCATTACTGGTGAGCGTCACAACTTCACATCTTTTGTTTGTTGCGTAGACTCTTAAAAAAAAAAAAAAAAGAAAAAAAAACTCACAGTCTTGTCAGTGCTAAGTGATTCTCCCGTCTCCCTTAAGACGTGTGTGCGCCGGCCTGACTCTCCTGATGACCGTCACATCATGGCCAAGCACTCCACCATTTACCCAGTGGAAGAGGAGCTGCAGGCTGTTCAGAGGATCGTCTCCCACTCTGAGAGAGCTCTGAAACTGGTGTCTGACTCCCTGTTGGAGAAGGAGACACCAGCTGTTGCCACTGATGTTACTGAAGGAGGAGAGGAGAAAGGGTAAAGTGACTTTTGGCAGATAATTCACATTTTTTTCTGGGCATTTTGGTAAAAACAAGGATCAAGCTAGTTGAAGCCTAAAGGTACTTTTATTGTTGTGACTTAAACAAAGAGCTACGCAGAGATGCATGAGTATCAAGTAGGTGGTGGTCTAGGAAAAAGTGGAAGCCATGCATAAATGAAATATTCATTATGACTCTGTCTTTGTTTAAGATCCATCAAGTTGCTCCAAATGCAGCTGCTTTAGCTGGCTGAGCAAGTTGAGTACAGATCAGTTTCAGCAAACAGAAAAGGGATCCACAGAGCATCTGCTGAAGTTTCACCTCAAGATAATATTGAATTAAAAATGTCTGCACAACCAGCCCAGCAAGTCTTTATCTTGAACTCTTTTTTTATATTTCTGACAGTACTGAGAACTCAGCCCGGCTGCTGAAAGGTGTAATGAGGGTGGGCATCTTGGCCAAAGGCCTGCTGCTTCGTGGGGACAGAAATGTGGAGCTCATCCTGCTGACTGCTAAGAAACCCACCATCTCTTTACTGAAGAACATCGCCAAGCAGCTGCCCAAGGAATTGGCGGTAAGAAAACCTCACATGTAAACTAAAAGACCGTTTTATTTAGGAAATGTTTTGTTCTTACCATGTTGTGTGTGAGGTTGAGGGAGGGAGGGATTATGGTTACTTGGGAATTCACAACTCTAACATTTTCATATTTTAAGTTTCATCTTAAATTGTAATATTTTTTGACGTTTACCGTCTGTGGATCATATAGAAGAACTGAAATCTAAAATATCATCTTGTCAGGTGCAGTAAAAAAAGAGGAACACATTGTTTGTCATCCACTGCCTTATGACTTGTGTCATAAGAGCAAGATGACAAGGGTCTGAAATGGGTTTTAAAGTTGCATAACAAATAGAATGGGAAACAGAAGTTTTTACTCTTAACGCTTTTGTTATAGAGGAGAGCAACTAAAATATATTAACTGAACGCTGTGATGTAGTAACTGCAGCATACTTGACAAAACCAGAAAGAAGACTCACTTCATGCTAGTTGGGTTTATCTCTTATGCTAGAGCAGTTCATTTGCCATTAGTGAACATGTACAACTGTCCCCCACCGCCAGAAATAAAAGCTTCTCCTCCACAAATGCATTAATAATTACAATTATGAACGTCTTCCTGTCGAGAATGAAATATCTAGACTTGACTCTTGGTATTTCAGTTCTCTGTGGATAAATGATCCATGTGTTTTCTGGTACCGACATTCCCATGACTGAGTAAAACTAGTTTTTAAACCCTATTCAGTCTGTTTTCCATTTATTGTTGTTAGAAGATTTCTAGGCTTCATCCCAAGGACATTATGTCTTAGGCGAACTGTGTGGATTCTAGGTTTGAGAGGTTTTTTTCCATGTTCACAAATGACTAAACTGCCCCTTGGCTGAAGAGAAAAACCCATGTGAATCTCCATTTAAGGCCCACAAAACAGAGGTTTGGTACCAAATACAAGGTTGTGATGTTGTAATTCCTCACTCTTCCTCCCTCCTGCTTTAGCTGTAACGTCACTGAAGGTGCTTTTCACTGATCTTTAGATTTACTGCCTGGTTATGACACCTGAATCCTACAGAGTGAGATGGGGCTATTTTTTCTTTACTGCCCCATTTTCTCTCTTAAACCTAACTATTGTTGAGAAATGCTTTTGTTCTCGTCTCTGACCCCGTTTGAATAAGGGAACTATAATCCCAATAGCCTCAAGAGTAAAAACCCAGGGTTAAAAACATAACAGTATTGCCCTGTAACCTTGCCAAACAAGGCCATTATTTGCCCCCACACCCCTCCTCCTCTGTAGTGAGTAATCCCAAGTGTCCTTTTAACCGGCAGACATTTTCTGAAGATCAGTATGAGGTGCAGGCTCACCCCGAGGAGGCGAACATCGTGATATTTTCAAGCAAGGAGCCCAAAATGCAGGTGACCATTTCTCTCACCTCGCCGCTGATGAGGGAGGACCCTGCTGCTGAGAAGGACAAGCAGGCAGGAGGAAAAGCGGCTGAGAAAGGTTAGAGAAGCCAAAGCTTTCAGTACCAGACAACCAAATGTTAGCGATGTGTGTAATACACTACATATATGTAACCCTTGCTCCACCTTTTCACCCATTAGAAGCCTAAATTTTAGGCTGAACAACTTAAATTACACAGAATGAGAGGTGGGACTTTAACTAAGACCACATTTAAAATTTTTAAGATTTTTTTTTTTCCTTTATCCCCTAAAATAAGAATGAACTCACATATTCATTTGTCCCACTCTTTTCATTTTCCCCATTTTTTGCGGTTACACTAGTTGCCAATTTCTTTCTTTTCCACAACATGGGAATCAAAAGCCGGGCTCTCCGACCTTTCTGTGCCACTCGGGTGTGTGTTTATTTTATGAACACATGCTCAGATAACACCTTTGGAAAACTATGATAGTCGACTGAAGTGATGGTCAGTGTTCAGATAATGCCCAGGGATGGAAATACTTCTACTGATTAACTATTTTACAAATAAAATAAATATTTTTAGGCTTGAGAAAAGTTTTGATTCTTGTTGCATTTTGGCAATGATAATGAGGGAATTTTGAGGTCCAGCGACTTCCCATTCCCTTGTCTACCATCCCTGCATCATAGTGTGGCATTATCAGTGATAAGGTGTTGGAGTGTCATTTTATCGCCTCACAATGATCAGTACTGAAATAATAATAAAATGACTATAGTGAATCCATTGTCCTTATTTTCCCCCCATTCAACAGTGCAGCTAATTTTCAAGATCATTGTGTTGCAAACACTCCTCTGCCTGCTCCAACAACTGTCAGCATTTTTAATGTGTTTTTCCCATTTGGAAAACATGGTAGAAATGTTTTCTGTGGCCGTTGTCTTTTACATTTTTAAATTTTGTTTGGGTTTGTTGATCAGTGCCCGTAATTCTGTATCAGCAGACCTAGGCAAGCCAAAGGCTAATCTGAAGACCACACTTGTACACATACCACTAAGAATAGAAAAGTTAAAGCAACCAGGTTGCCCATGTTTATTAAGCTTTCCAGAGTAGGAAAACCCTCTTGTTCACTACCATAAGAGGGGCTCAGCTGCTGCAAAATTAAACATCCCAGCTCTAAGAGGCGTGATAAATATGGGTCTTTGATTCTAAGTGGTATGGTAGTGTAGACTTCAAACAAGTGGCTTTGTTTTTGTTATGCATTTCCCCTGTAAAAAAGTCTTTTTTTGTTTCTACAGTTCTAGTGGAACATGGAAGTGTGGAAAGCCCCAATGCTGGCATTGCGAAATATTACCTCATCGTAGTCACCAGTAACCAAATTGAATGTTTTGGACAAAGCTGTCGTTTGTCATTTTAGGTGACTGGTCCTGTAATTGTCCTAAATCTGTGCACAAGCTTTTTATTCATTCATGAACGTCGAAATCCAGCACAGACACAAGCGTAACTTTGAATTCTACATTTATAGTACCACTCAGTTAACCTTGGCTTTGTCACATTGTGTTGAATTGATTTGACTTCACAGTAATAGGTTTGCTTTTTTAAGTTAATGTTGCTTTAAAGGATAGGTTAGAACATTTTCAAGTCTGTCTTAAAACAGTATCAGCCTCAGTAGGTTTTTCTTGCTGTAATTATTCCTCCTGTTCCTACTGGTCATTAAGAGATCTTTTCCTCATGTGATTTCAGTGTAAATGACAAAATCCACAGTCCTCATTCTGTACAAAAATACATTCAAAAGTTTATCTGAAGCTAAAATGAGGCTTCAGCAGTCTGGATTATACAAATGAGGAGGGTATCTTCCAAAGTTGCAATATTATTGTGCAGAATTTCCTCTTTATGTTGCTATTCTTCCCCTGGGAGTGGACAGGTACACACACGAGGAGGGAATTTTATGCTAAAAAGACTGTAACTTTGAAAGATATCCACTTGATTTGTCTAACTTAGACTGCCTCCTATAAGTTAAGATGAACTTTTGGATGCATATTTACATATTTGCGCAGAACAAGGGCTGTGGATTTTGTCCCCCATCACTTCCGTTGAAAGCACATGAAGAAGGGATCTTTTAATATCCAGTATTGTTTGAAGACAAATTTGAAAAATTGTGAACCTATCCTTTAAATTATGGAGGCATGAAGGGAGAATGATATCCTTGCTCTTGCTGCCTTTATCTGCTTGGGAAGTTTTACTTTTAACATAAATGCCGATGAAAAACATTTGGTATAGAATGAGAATGCAACAACTGGTCTTATTTCCAAAACTCAAATTTGATGACCGTTCTCCGGAGAGATGAAGTCCATGTTTCAGTTGTTAAAGTGGCAGATGAGATACTTTGGATCTACTGTAACATGTCTGTCAAAGTCCCTCGTTCAAAGTAGAGGATCGAATGCGAAATAGAGGAAATCCAAAACACATAGTGTGGGAGTTTAGTAAAGGGAAATTCTAACGGGCTTCATTGGAAAACTGCTGATAATAACTAAATATTTCACATGGTGGTGTGAAAGAAGCTGAATTTGGACATTCAAATTAGTCATGAAATGTTATTATGATGAATGAGGTAAAAAGGAAGTAAAGGCTACAATTAGCTTGATGACATAAAATAGATATATTTGATGGACCTTTCTCACAAAAGAAATTTTGACTTGCAACAGCAGAAAAAACAAAGGTGTAAATAATAACATTAACAATGGCTTCGTTCCATTTGAACTGCCTCATTCAGCTGTGACAGTGAGCAAACGTGGTCAGTACCACAGCTGTGACGTTAAAACACAGATGGAAAGTGGACATTAGTGAAGTTATTAGTTACACCTCTGTTTGACAAGTCAAAATGTCTTTCTGGAGAAAGATGTTCTCATTTGAAGTCATTTAAAATCTGTATGGTGTACACCAAATCTGCAAAAATATTACATGTGGATTAGTTACCTTAAACTAAAGATGAAATAAGACAAAAACTCCACCACTCATTTCTCTGAATGCCTTGGATTTCCTTCATGTTTGCATGTACCTATGACCTTCCACTTAAAAAAAAAACACATTTGTGCTATTTTTATTTTTTTTGGTATTTTTTTCCACTCAGACTATATCTGTAAAACTTATAGACTCTAGTCTTCCTTTATTTGATGGTCTTGCCTTTTCTTTCATATCTTCCCCTCGTTGTTTTTCTCACCAAACAAATTGAAACAAATCAGAAAGTTTTCAAGGATTCCAGGAGATGTCTGGTCACATCAGATAAACATGAGCATCCAGGGGCCTTTTTAATCTCATCCCTGATCAGCAACTGTACATTAGGGATGTCGTGATACCAGGAATTCGGAAGTCAGTACCAATACCAATGAAATTCCACAATTCTTAATACCGAATTCGATAGCAGAGCAAAAAACAGAAAACAACAGAGACTGCTGCACTTACATTCGTGCATTCACATGCACGCACACGCCTCCATACAGTCAGTCTGCCTGTCTTCTTCTTCTCTTCTAGTTTCTTGTCAGACTAGGACGCTTGTAGTGCCATTATACTGGCTCGTCAGTCCCAAAAGGATCCCATCTCCAGTACCCACAGTACTGTAAAAAAAACAAGTGCCATCACATTGTCAGAATTTTGGCACCACAGTATTGTTTCTCGTGACATCCCTACTGTACATCAACAGTAACAACACTTACTATGAATTGCAGTCATCACTTGGGTTTTGCTTTAGTTCGACTGTAAGTCATGAGCCAGTACATGTTATCTCCACCAGGTGTGGCTGAGAAGGACCCTACCGATCTTCTGAATAAGAGGAAATGTCTGGAATACCTGGCTGCTCTCCGTCACGCCAAGTGGTTTCAGGTAAATGCATCCTGAAGTGTTTGTCCTGTCTTTGTGTGTGTGACCCTAAAAGGTGTTAAAGGGGACCTATTATGCTTTTCTGAGTTTTTCCTTACTTATAACGTGTTGTATAGGTTTTTGTGAATGTAGATGGTCTCCAGAGTCAGAAGGATCACAGTTTACGCCACCAAAGGCAGTAACTTTCAGGGTAAAATCCCAATTTTCTCCTTTCACCCCAAGCAAGCCCCAACATAACTACTTATAATGAAGAGTTTTCTTTAGTTTTGTAGCCATGCCGACATTACTCCATGTTCTCAACTGCCTGCAGAAATCTGTTTTATTTTTCCACGGTTCTCCACTGCTCCAAACATTATAATGTGAGCACGCACTTCAAGGAGGACTCCTTCAGAAACCAGTTAAACGCTTCATTTTCACAACGGTTATTTCTGTAATTCACACTTAATGTGGCCGAACAGGGGACTCAGACTCACAGCCTGTCGGTCTGCATTGTTATTGTGGATTTGTGATGTTAACCACGTTACTGCGACCTGATCACGTAAGAAGCAGCATAGCAAAGATATAAATGCTTAAAGGTTCATCAGTATTGACATGCTGTACCTCGTTAGCTCAGATAATTTATCTACAGTTTGACCGCTGAGTTAGTTTTTCAGTAACTATGCGCACTAAAGTTGAATTCATTCAGATTTACTGGCATCGTAAACCAGCAGGAGGTGAAGCGGTGGAGACTCTCTACCTGTTGACTGTCTGTCTGTTCCTCCATTATTTATATTCCTTTAGTCCGGAAGTGTCCACACATAAAAAATCAAAAGGGTTTCTCAAAAGTATTCCAAGTTATGAATATTGTCATCTGAAGTCTTTGCAGACCGTCTTGATTCGCAGCTCTTTTCATATTTCACCCTCCTTCCGGCTGCGGGACAGTGGTTACACTTGTTTTCTGCTCCAGTCCAGCTTGTGAAGGTGGATCGGGTCTGTCATCTTCTGGTTCAGGATCGGACTCTTGCCACCATAATCGTTTGTTTGTATCGTTGCCATCATAGTTGCCGGTCAGCTTCAGAAGGGAGGAGGGGGGCTTTAAAGGGCCCTGAGCTTTATCAGCATTTCAGACAGGGTGAATAGAGGATAGTAAAAGATGTACAGAAGAAGAAAAATGTCTTTTCAGAACATTAAAGCATGTAAATCTATTTAAGTAGACACCAAGAATGAAATGATGAACACTAAAGATGGCCATAATAGGTCCTCTTTAACAAGTGTTATTTTACAAAACAAGTACATCTGAGAATACCTAATTATGCAAAATGGTAACTGGCATTAAATTGAACTTAAAAACAAGTAATTATTAACAGTTCAGGGATTTGTTATCATGTGATCACAAGAACACACATTTTACACAGGTGCAACAGATAACATTAACAGTGTTATTTCATTAAGGTGTTCCAGGGACACAGCCCTAGTATTGGTCTACCCGAATGCATTGGAGCCAACATCAGTATTATTAGTTATACCTGTATATATCCTGCTCTAACAAGTCAAAATATTCTAAAAGGGTCTATACTTAATGATGATGAGATCATTCATACTGCAGAAATGTGAGAATTTGAATGAGCTGATCTCACTTCCTCTTAGGTTAAAAACAGACCGTGGGCTCTATATAAGCAAATTAAATAGGGTTGTGATTCATAGCATTATTTTGTAGGTATCTGTCTTAATGGTTCTTATATTTTATGTGTATATTTTATCTTTATAAGTTTAATTCTTATTCTCTATTCTTTGCTGTTACGTTTCCATTCTTGAGGGCGCAACTGTAACGTAATCTAATTTCCCCCTGGGGATCAATAAAGTATTCTCATTCTGATTAACAGACTCGGATTCTCAAGGAGGAGTTAGTTTTAAAATAGTTTGTAGTTGTGAGCCACATTATAGACATAATATAACCTCTTATCTGTAAGTACTTCCTCAAATTTCTTTTTCCTACCAAGGTAAATCACTCCACTACATTATCATATGACAGGAACACACCGTCCTCAAATAGATCGCCGATAGTGCTTAAACCACAGGAATGCCACTGCTTCAAATACACAGTATTTTTTCCAATACAGATTACAGGGTCGTGCCATAATGAGGAGTATCTTTGTTAATTATGTGTAAATTTTATTATTTCTGGTCGAGACATCACTTGAGTGTAAAAGAACTGGGTTTGTGATATTACGGGCAGTTTGAGACAGTGCTTTGATTGGGTTGAATGGTGAACGCAGCTTATGTTCAATATCCATCCGGGCTGCTTCATCCTCACCCACATCCCAGTATTTTGCTATTTTATCCATTTCAAAGGATAAATGGTACAGTCTAGGGTCGGAAAGGCCCAACCCTCTTTTCTCGTTATGGGCTCTTAACTTGCTCTGTATAATCCTTGGTCTTTTTGCACTCCACTGAAAATGTTTTATTATAATATCGAATAAAAAATGATATTTTATTTATTCTTTTCATTGATATGTATATTTTTCTTCATTTCTGAAGGCTCGTGCCAACGGGCTGCAGTCGTGTGTGATCATCATTCGGGTGTTGAGAGATTTATGTCAGCGGGTGCCCACCTGGGGGAAGATGCCCAGCTGGGTAAGTGGCTTCATCTGTCTTTTATGTCTTGACTTTTAAATTTATTTTTTTTTTTGTGAACCTGTCTGCTCTGTATACTTTGTATGAGGGAAAATATTATGAGAATATTTATGAAAACTGATACATGAGATAAGCTGTATCAGTATCTCTTGTAAGGAAATAGCTTGAGGATACCAAACGTCTTCCTCGTGGTCTTTCTCCCTCCAGGCGATGGAGCTGCTGGTGGAGAAGGTGATCAGTAGTGCTACAGGCCCGCTGAGCCCGGGGGAAGCCATGCGCAGAGTCCTGGAGTGCATCTCCACAGGCATCCTGCTGCCAGGTCAGCCAATTATAATGAGACATGAATACACAGATTATTTTATCTATGTGTCTGTATAATTACGCAATAAGAGTTTTTACTCATATGATCAGATGTAAGTTTTCACAAGTCTTTCATCACAGAGCTATGACGGAATAATGATTAGGAAGAGTGGTAGTTATAGTGAACTGAAATGACGTGTGGTTTTGACAGTAATTAGTTATCAGTCATTATAAGTCATCATACTGGCCAGATGACTGGAAACCAGAAACTGCCCAAATGTTTCAAAAAGTATCACAAACTATCACAACCCACCCAAAACCATTTTTACAAACCTAATCAAATAAAAAATGTTGCTCGCTTAGGTGGAAAACCACCCAATCTGGCAACGCTGCATCGGATCAGGCGATGTCTCCATTTGATGAATGTGAAATGCTCATTCAGAGCTTTAGCACATCCAAGAGAGCGTTGTCCCATGTCATTTCTTTCTTATAATCTGTCTTTGAAAGGGGAATAATTCACTGTTAAATTTATATATTTATTTGTTTTCTCCTCCCTCACTCAGATGGACCAGGGTTGATGGACCCATGTGAGAAGGAGCAAACAGATGCTTTGGAAAGCATGATGCCTCAAGCTAGAGAGGACATAACTGCCAGCGCACAGGTACCCAGACAGACCATTTATACCATGGCCACTTATTCTGATTGGCTTGAATAGTTGGATTAACTTTTAGTAATCACAGTTTAACCTGGCACCTATGACGTAGTTGGTTATTTACTGTTCTAAATGAATGGGCCTTTATTAAACAGTAGGTAAAGAGCTTGGAGCTAGTGGTGTAACTAACAACAGCTGACAAAATAAAATAGCTGCTCAGTGAGAACCACGCAAAAATAATTTCAAATGTGTTTGGTATTTGTGTGAATCTGGACGTCTACATTGAATAACGGTAAGAGAAAGCAGGTCTTTTAAAATAATGTTGGCAATAGAGGAGCTGGTAGCCTGAGTTTGAGGAGCAGCTGCAGGGGAACTGGAGAGGAAATGTGAGCAAAACTGAACAGAAAATCAAGAGATGGGGAGATGTGTCGGGTAAGTGTGAGAGAGAAAGACAGACAGCAAGGATATACCACTTGTTGGGTATTATCCCTTTCTTATTTTACAGCCTTGCTCCCCCTGTTTTCTGTGTGCCTCTGTGCTGTCAGTTGTCGAATAAAAACAAAAATAGCCAAACAAAACATACATGTCCCATTCCTGTTTTCTTTGGTTTCAGCATGCTCTGCGGCTGCTTGCTTTCCGTCAGATCCACAAGGTTCTGGGCATGGAGTCCCTGCCGGCGTCCAAGGCCAGCGCTCGCAACCGCAAACGTCGACGGGACGTCAGCGACACAGGGGAGGGAGAGGGGGAGGGCAAAAAAGACAAGAAGGACGAAGCAGCGAGCGCTTGACCTCTGCCTCCAGAGCAGAGCTGTTTGCTAGTTTAGAGACTGGTAGAATGTCACAACTTAAAAAATTTTCTTATCTTCAAAACAAATCTTAACACGCAGCTATACACATATGAATATAACTGACTTTACATGTTACATGTCTGCCCTTGAATTAAGAGGAATAATATGTTGGAGGAGGACTGAAGTTTGAGAATTCGTACTGCAAATCCTTCTCCCGTATTGTGATTTCCTGCAGATGTAGTGTATTTTAAAGTGTGCACAGAAAATTGGCTCTGTTAAAAAATCATGAAAATAACTGATTGCATCATTCCATTTCATTATAATTGCACACTAACTACTGACCATTACTCCCATGTTTATTCACCATAGTTAAACCACCACTGTCACATACAGTTGTATTGTTTTCTATGATATTAAAGCCTCCAGTAAATCATTAGCACCTTAAGCTTTATTTCCAGAGTTTGAACTCTCATGCTCTTCAGGCCAGCTCAGTTTTACCATCCGACTCTTGAGTCAGGCGTCACTAAAGTAACGTTGGTGCATGACGTGTACACTAAAATGTGTTTTTCAGTCTGTGTTTCAAAAAAAAAAAGTTTGGGTTTAAGTTGTTTGAAACTGAGCGAGAGAGAGAGAGATCAGAGAAGACTGAATTTGTTTAGGATTTACATACATAAAGTACTGTGATGTTCATTGTGCCTAAGATGACACATTAGTAATAATATAGTGTGATGCTGTTGAGCGAACCTGACAAGTCTTTCCTGAACTCTTCACACCCTCTTTGCTCCCTCTGAACTCCTGTTAACCTTTGTTGACACATCCCTGATACATTTTGAAAACTTGTGGGCAATTAGATGAAAGAGTTTTGAAATCCAACCAAATGCCCTCCAATTGCAGCCTAAGCAGAAGACTACACAAAAAAAAAACTCCCCCTTCAAAATTTGTCATTAAGGTTTCATCAGACACCTTCAAAGACTCACAAACTCTGCTTTGTGCAAGATCCCCCATGGGGTTTTCTGTGGAGGTCACACTGGAGAGTAAATCTGTTTCGGATGAGACAAGTCTTACCTTGCACAGTCTGTAGCATGCTGAGGGAATGAAGCACTTAAGAAATGACAATGTGACTGTATGCAACCATAATTTTATCATTTTAAATAATATACCTAGTAATCATTTTTTTTCTTCCAGAGCAGAAGAGAGAAGCTTTAGTCAGAAAAATAAGACTGAATATCTACTGTAATGATCAAATGGTTATCGTCCTTTGACTTTCTTCCTTGTGCCTGCATCATGTTGTGTTTTACAGAGGTCTGACTAAGGGGAACATGTTGTTTTTTTGTCAGGTTAATAGTAATGATCTTATTTCACAAAGATGTAGGACAGGGAAGGGACTGTTGCACAACTCTTTGGCTTAAAAGTTGATGTGAGAGAAATTATTGTGCAGTTTTAGTTTGATTTTCATTTACCAAGAGCATCCTATATAAGTATTGCTTATTTTATTTCTGAAGGATCTATTTTTTTGTATTGTTTAAACGGAAAGTGTGAACGTTGCTGTCCTATTATTTGAATGTCTTTGTAGTGTTGCCTAAAATTAAGGGGAGATATTAAAACACTTTTAAGCCACTTTGTCTCCTGGGTTTTGTGCGTATCATGGTTGACGTGTAACGGACTACACGATTTGTACATTGCCATTGTACGCAATACCGTGCAAGCCATCTAAAGCGTCACTTCTTGCGCCACCTCATTAAATAGAACTACATTTTCCTAAATGTCGAGGAAGTGGTTTGACAGGCGGAGTTTGCGCTCGCGCCGCAACAGCAGCGGTCAACACATCTGAGATATGAATTTAATTTAATGCTGACTCGTTATTTAGAAGAAATTCAACAACAGATATCGGAGCTGAATGAGACCAAGAGAAACTGCTGCTGCTGAGGACTTGAAATTCGTCGTGGCGGTGCTTTCTTCCAGTTTACTGACCCAGCAGCAGCTGTCCTGAGAAGGAAGAGGCTGTCCGCGTCTGTCCACGGAGATCCGCAGGTACTGAAACATTCATGTCGACAAGAAACCGGACGAAACAAGCTGTCAGGGCGTTTTTCTTCTGCCTCTTACTTTTAGGAGCAGCCAGCCACGATGCTGTCATTACCTGTCTACTCACAAATACATCTTTGCACTATTGTTGTTTTCCTCGACAGTGTAATACACTAATGACTGTGTCTTATGTTATTCAGATACATTTTTCTCTTTGACAGGTGCTCGACCCTCCAGCCCTGTTCATGGCAAAGGTATGTACTGCAAAGACCAGCTGCTGTTTACTGCTAATACGGTAGTTCACATTGAATATAGAATAATGTAAGGGCCTGGACCAAGCCCCCATGATCTCTGAGTTACTGTGGTTATACTGTTAAATATTTAGAGATTAAAAAGTGTATATCTAGATTAACATGAATGTGAAAAAAAAGTCTGAGCTACAGTGAAGTTTGTCAATACAGCCAGATGAATCATTTTGTTAGAATCAAATTTGATAGATTGAGATCAGTCTGTTTAACCGTCTGAACAGCAACAGTGAGATTAAATTTATTTGCAATTTATTCCATGTGCATGGGGCACAGAAAGGGATGTCAGTGGTTCTGTAAATTCTCATAGATCTCTTGATCTACTAAGTATTCAAGACCATATAAACACTGTCACTGGTTAAAAAGGATAAATATAATAGTATAAGGCAAAGAGTCACACAAATTTTCATGGAAACAATTATGCAGTTTGATAGGTACTCTGGGCAAAATAGAGATTGTTTGTGTAGTTGATACACCTCCAATGTTTTAATTCAAATTTAATGCAAAGGTAGCATAACCAAGAGTTTTTAGTCAGTGAAGGTGAACATGGAAATAGCACTTTAGCAGCAAAAATAAAGTTATTAGTAATTAATTATTTATGAGTTCATGTTTTTTACTTGGGTTTAAATTAAGCAATTCTTTGAAGGTAGGCTTGTCTAATCAACAATGGCAATTAAACTTAACACAGCAAACTAAATTACCAGGCCCTGCTCCTTACCTTTACTATAAATAATACCAAATGATATTGCTCTTCAGGAAATTAATAGGTAATAACAGACCCATAACACAAAACATAAAAAATATCTTGTTTAATGTGACCAGCAAGCCCTTTTCCTTAAGTTAAAAGTCTGACTCCATTATTTCAGTCCCAGAGATAGTGTAGAGTTGATGTCTATGTCATTATTCTCTCTCTGCCTCTGCAGATGAACTGGGCTGCAGGTACGCAGTGCGTAGCAAAGGGAGACCACAGAAAACCCAAACCTGGAGAACTGGCGTACCACAAAGGAGACATCCTCACTATTGTTGACATGAACACAGTACTGTCATGTTTTAATCAAGCCATGTTATTTGTTTAGTAGAAGAGAAGTGATTGCTCTCTGAAAACAAAGCACATTTCATGAGCACTACTAAATGTTCCTCTTCCTCCTCTCACCGTATGACACGAGACCTTTGACTGCTCTTTTGCAGAGGAGGGGATTTTACGAGGCGAGACACAACACCACAGGAGAGGAGGGACTCATCAGCTCCACCAATGTTCGTGAAAGAGAGGCTCTACGTGTCGACCCGAGCCTCAGCCTCATGCCGTATGTCTCCTCTTCCTCTGAATTTTACACCTCTTAACTTTGAGCTGGTCACAGGAAGGCTCGCCTCTGTGTCATTATGGGCTCACGTAAGCATAAATCCATCTTGTGACAACACAGTATGGGCTGATGAGCAAACAAACACTGTCTGAGGTTTAATCACTCTAACTTCCTTTTTTGGTGTGTTTGGCTGCAGCATGTTGGTTAAATCCATGAAATCACCTCCCGCCTGTTAAAAACTAGGATCTGTGAGATGCTGGGGACCTTTTTAGGTCCCAAATGAATATTGTATCAGCTTTATTTGCAGAGACAAAGGTCTTTTCACCATGTGCTGTCTTTCATCAGTTGGTTTCATGGGAAGATCTCTGGTCCAGAGGCGGTGGGTAAGCTGCAGCCAGCTGAGGATGGCCTGTTCCTGGTGCGAGAGTCTATCCGCCATCCCGGCGACTATGTCTTGTGCATCAGTGTCTCTGGAGATGTCATCCACTACCGGGTCATTTTTCAGGACAACAAGCTGACCATCGACCACACACAGTATTTCTACAACCTCATTGACATGATAGAGGTAAGAGAAAATGACTTGACTGGTGGATGAAAAAAAAAAAAAAAAAACAGCTGCTGTGTTCACAACATCTCTGAGGGTCTTTTATGTGAAGGTGAAAAGAAAAATGCACATATGGCCTACTGACTAAATGTAGTCTATATTATTCAAAAAGTCAGTGTCATTTAACAGATTCACCTGCACTTTCTTCACAAAACTTCCCCAACTCAACACACATAAAGAACCTAATAAGATTCAACCTCCTAAATTTAGTTCAGCTATTTTTCCTGTATGCTCCTTGGCCAGTTGATTCTGCTCTGGGTGGTCGAAAACACTAACAACATTCAATACAATTCATCCTGAAGTGGATTCATTTTGTATACCAAATTTCCTGGCAATCCAATCCAGTCCATTCAGTTCTTCTTCAAACGTCAACCTAATGGTGGCGCTAGAGGAAAAGTCAGAGGATCATCAAAGTCATTAGGATTCATCCTCTGAGGGCCATGAATGTCTGCGCAACAATTTATGGCGATCCATCACATCCAACTCTCATGTTCACACTAAGGCCATAACCTGCGACGAGAGGTCACAAGTAGACACTGCCTCATTTTGAGGGGTCATAAGCCAAAAAAGGTTGGAAACAGCTGCCATAGAAACTGTGATGGCTGCTGTATTTGTGTCAGCCTGAAAACCACCAGTATAAATATATATAGCATGTGTCGAACTGAAGCACGAACAGGAAAACTTTTGACGCACAGCACTTTTTTTGGTTTATCTGTATTTGGCCTGTGTTTGTGTGAGGGTGTATTTTGAGACAACAGCTCTTGTTCTGCAGCATATTATGCAGCTTATCAGCAAACTGCAGATGACCTCAGGTCTGAGTAAGAGTGGCTGACTTAGTCCTGTGAGGAAACAGAAGGAGGATAGTCAAGATTAACATTTGGGCTGAATCATGTTACACTGTAACTGCTACTGTCCCAGTGCCTGCACACTGCTGACAGTAAACCAGGTTTTAATGTGTCACTGTAGCTGAGTTCATAATTTACTGGTGCATTTTAATTCAGGCGCTGCCTTCATGCTTTACTGTGTGGCGGTTTTTCCCAGAACTCAGGCAAACTTCAGGATTTAAACCTGAAAATCTTACATCTGAAATTAAATCAGAACCCTGATACGACTGCTCGAGGTACCACAGAAACCCTCAATATGTGAGATTTAGAGATCAACTGTAGACGAGGACGCGTAGCACACAGAGATTCAGACATGTCACTCAGTGCTGTTACATTTTTAAACTTTATAACTGCTCTCTCTCACACTACGTCTGGGTGACCCAGCCAAGGGATTGTTGTTACAAAACTGGGAAATATTGCTCATCCTGGTGCACTTAAGGTACTTGCTTATTACATAGCTTAGTTTTAACGAGTTCAAACAAACTTTGATTAACTTTATAATTGATGGACACATTGTTTGGCCATCGCCAAGAGGCCTGCCCGTTCCTCCAATTGACAGATTAGCTATTGCCACGATATGAAACCCCCATCCGCTGCACCTACTACTACTATTGTCCTTTTGTACTATTGTTCACCCACTCATAGACCCTTTCCTTCCCCTCGAGCAGATGATTTCTAAGGGTATATATTGCTTGGTGTTTTACTGTCTCTGGTTTCTAGTAGAGCCACAGCCCTGACCACAGGACAGATGACTTCCTGAGAACTGAGGAGGTGTTCTTGCAGAGCTCAAACTGTATATTCTTTGTACATTTCTTTTGTTTATAAACCTCATGCACGGTATCTGGCAACGCATTATATAAACTGAACCAAGTGTGAACATATCAGATGAAATGATATTCTAGATTTTGAAAAAACTACTATAAGTAACCGAATGTTTCATGAATATCTGGTTTTGTGTTTTGCAGTTCTACTCAAAGAACAAAGGCTCTATTGCTACAACTCTTGTGAAACCCAAACAAAAACAAGGAACCAAGTCAGCTGAGTTAGAGCTGTCTAAAAGTAAGTCTGGTGTTAAGATTCGTGCCCTAATAAAAATTATATATATACAACTGAAAACCATTTTAACAAGATGAGGGATTCTTTATAAAATCATTTGGATGAATCGTGAATCTTTTTTAGTATATCACTTATGAATAGCAGTGAGCATAAAAGCAAGTTAAAGGTGTGCGGCAGCTTTACAGTATTGTTCATGTCTCTGTCCTCTCCAGCTGGATGGCTGCTGGACATCACAAAGCTCACACTGGGAGAGAATATTGGAGAAGGGGAGTTTGGTGGTGAGCTTTCCCCTCTTGTTGTTTTTACCAGCCAATGTTTGTGCCCCACAAGGTGTATAATGAAAAAGATTTAGCAAGCTTAGAGCACATATACATATACACACATATATATATATATATATATATATATATATATATATTTGACGGGTAAATGATGTGTGGTTCTCAACTGCAGCTGTTTATGAAGGGGAATACATGGGCCAGAGGGTGGCAGTAAAGACCATTAAATGTGACGTCACAGCTCAGGCCTTCCTGCAGGAGACTGCAGTTATGACGTGAGTCTGAAGATTTCATCATTTTGTAACTTCTGTCAAAATCTCTTTAATCATCTGAGGAAGCTTTGTATTAAGTGGTAATAACACCCAAAGTGTTTGAACTCTGAACTCAGTGTTTCCATTCCTGCTGTTGCTCTGGACTTATATTAGTTTAATGTTTCACTTCTTCCAGGAAACTCCAGCATAAAAACCTGGTGCGGTTGTTGGGCGTCATTCTTCACAAAGGGCTTCATATTGTCACAGAGCTCATGATTAAGGTACAGTAAGCACATCATTTATCAGAGGTAGATTAAGATAATTATAAAATATAAATATAAAACATATACTGTGCTAAGCACAACTGTTCAAAAATACATAACACAAAATAAAACCAAATATAGTAAGTGAAACCCCATAGGCTTGCCCTATTTGACCAATATTAATCAGATAATATACAGCATTGTGGAGACCCTCTGTCTAAACAGAGAGCTGGATTCATCAGCTGTGAATAAATCTGCCTTTTTTTTTTTTTGCAAAATCACAGCAGCAGCAGCTGGTTAGAAAACTAAGTTAGTTATGAGGAATTTAGTTCTGGGCAATCAAGTCAAAAAATTCAAACTAAGGTGCAAAGATGGCTATGCAGCTTGTCTGCCTTTCTCTCCTGGTTAATGAAATCTGGCCAAAATCCAGAAGCCTGCTGGTGGCTTGTCCTCATCTATGGTAAGTCTTTAGGTGACATTTTAAAAACCGTGTGTTTAGAACTTAGTTTATTCACTCTTTGAACCCTATTAACCTTATTTTTCATTGTATTGTGTGTTGCAGGGAAACCTTGTTAACTTTCTCAGAACAAGGGGACGTTCAGTTGTGAGCTCAGTTCAGCTGCTCCGCTTCGCACTGTGAGTTCAATTCTACTAATGTTCTCCACAGCAAAACATTGTGTATACTGTGGCGAGGGATGGACAGTGTACAATTGTACAGTGTGTTTTATGAAAGTCAAATGAGAAATGCTTGTGTGTATTTGCATGTTGATATTGCAGTGATGTGTGTGAAGGGATGGAGTACCTGGAGTCTAAGAAGCTTGTTCACAGAGACTTGGCAGCTCGTAACATCCTGGTCTCTGACGACAGTGTGGCCAAGGTCAGCGACTTTGGCCTGACCAAGATGGACACCAAGGTGTCAGATAATGTCAAGCTGCCAATCAAATGGACCGCCCCCGAAGCTCTGCGGAAAGAGGTCAGTTTGAATAACTGCTATGCCGCTTTTCTTTTACCCTGGATTTGTTTTTCTTTTATTGTTCTGTATCTTTACATCCTGCTATACTTCACTGATTAACCATAATTATTATTTTTCATGGTTATTTCAACTAAATACTCCAGCAGCTGATTTCAACAGCAGCTGATTCTCTTTCTTTGCTGGAAAGTGTGCTAACTAGTTCTTTCATTTAGTGATCATCACTAAATCCTAACAATCCCAAAACAAAGTAACCACCAAAGAAACACTGGGTTTTACACAGATGTTTTACTTAATTTAAAAATAAAATGAAACAAAAAAAAGAGTGTTTGTTTAATATTATTCTATTAATGGCTAACAAATCATTTATTAATGCCTTGTAATTAATAAGGTAATAAGGGCCGGGTTGGTGTAGGGGCCTGATGCATATTTTTCTCCAGTGTAAGTTTTATTCAGTGCATTAATTCATCAGGATTTCAAAGTTTCCTACTCACTGAGTTTTTGAGTTTCTTTTAGAAAGGGCTATTTAATCTTTCATCATTACATACGTTTGTTTCCATCCTGCAGAAATTCTCCACAAAGTCAGATGTGTGGAGTTATGGTGTTCTTCTATGGGAGATCTTCTCATACGGTCGTCTGCCTTACCCTAAGATGGTATGTAGCACATGCAAATGTTGATGTATGCGTGTGTGTGTGCCTCTGTCTTTACACAGTCAAATTACTGCACAACTCTTTGTTTTTAGAAACCACAGACCCCCATCTTGTCCGTATTGCTCTCTGTGTGTATGAATGACAAAGGTTGATGTTGAGAGAGGTCACCCTGTAAGAAATCTACATTTAAGTTCTGACAAATATTTGTCATCTTCCTGACTAACCTCCCACCCCAAACCCAACAGGAAGGAGTATCAAGCTTGTTACGTAATTCTGTTAGCATGTCATCTCAGGATACATGTCTTATCACATAGTAGGTGTGTCAGTGGAAAAGCTGCCAAGCCGTAGTGGTCAGTCGTCAGTGGATCAAATTAGTGCGTCTGAGCAGGAACCCACTTCAGGTCACTCTGATCATGGTACTGCGTCAGTGAGGATAGAGGTTTAGCAGAGAGACAGAGCTAACTAAAGTCCCTCTTCTGTTCTTCTGTTGGATGAAAGGAGGAAGCTAGTCTTTTCCAGTGTGGGCAGCAGGATCAGGCAGCATTAATTGAAGGGACAGTTAAAGTAGCGTGTTCTTGATCTCTTTTGCACCTTACATAAAGTGGTGTCCTTTTAAATGTAGATGATTATCTCCTTATTACATCCTGTTTAACATTAAGGAAGGTTGGTTTATTTGGGCCATGTTTATTTTGACCTCAATTAAACTGTGCACCTGGTAATTTGTTATCTGCTGGCTGAGAGAGCGAACAGAGAGATGATCAAAATTACAAAGAGGCAGAGTATGAGTGTCTGTGTGCACACTTTATTCACCCACACAGTACAGATAAGAGCCTAACATTTTTTATTTGTAATCAAGTTTCAGAGAGTGTTTAAGTGTTTTGTTTAATTGTAATACTGCCCAACTAATGAAATTTGTTTAAAATGTTTATTTCACTTACCAATATTTCAAATTTATACCGCAAACTAATGTCACCACACTTTCCACTTCCCCCTTTCCTTGTTGCTCCTGATCATGTAGTCTCTGAAGGAGGTGAAGGAGAGAGTGGAGGGGGGATATCGCATGGAGGCTCCAGAAGACTGTCCTCCTGGTGTTTACTCCCTAATGACGATGTGCTGGGAGCAGGAGCCACGCAAAAGACCTGCTTTCCACAAACTGAGGGAGAAACTTGAGCGAGAGATGGGTGAACACAGCTCTAGCCCTGGGTCAGAGCGTCGAGATGGGATCAGGTCTGGATCTGGTTGCTGATCTTGGTCGTAAATCTTGAACTCACAATGAGCGGAGAAGAGTGCCGCCTCTTGGACAGCTTATCCACACATTGTTGCTCCAGGGTTGGTGTGCATTACACAAGACGAACCCGCTGAGTAAATGTTCTCATACACTTAGAGTACGACTGGATTCCTTTAATGTAGCACACAGGACGAGACAATGATTCTGGTCGTCATGTAATGTCTCTGAGAAAAGGTTTAATGATTGGAGCCATGAATATACTAACTTTGCTTTAGCAGGTCTGAGCAAAGCAAAATGTGAATCAGATCGTGGTATGGTCATTTTAATATTGAGACTGAAATATCTCAACAACTGTTGATGGATTGTTATGAAACCTTATACAGACATTCCTGGTCCCCAGAGGAAAAAGTCCTAATGACTTCACCGATCTCTTAACTTTTCTAGTGCCACAAGTGAAATGTCATAACAAGGATTGGATGGATTGCCATGAAATTTGGTACATAAATCCATGTCCTCCCTCACAATTAGGTTGAATAACTTTGGTAAACCCTTTTTTTAAATCTTGCACCATCATCTGGTCAAATTTCACTTTGTCCAATTGGTTTACGAGCCAATTTGTGCAAAACATTCCCAACAGCCTCATCTGTACTTTCTGTTTAGTGCTAATTATCAAACTAAGATGGTGAATATGGTAAATATTATACCTGCTTAAATCAGCAGGTTGCTGTTGTCATTGTGCACATGTTAGCATGCTGATGTTAGCATTGTAGCTTAAAGCACCACAGTGCCTAAGTACACAGAGCCATTAGCTAGCTGCAGACTCTTTCTTCTTCTTGTGAGGCATAGTCAAACTTAAAAGGGAAAATCAAAGGATAAAACTGGTGATATTGTACACTTTTCTTATTGTCAACAAATTACCTGAAAGCCTAAAACCAACAATGACTTGATCCCTCTAACAAGTATTGTCTGTGTAACCAAAGCCTGGTATAATTTACTCCTCTGTGCCACAGACTTCCATCATTGTCCACAATAATTACAAACACACCAGTGAGCCACATTGTTGCACTGGGTGACATGTTCCTTCATTACCATGAACATGGTCACTGTAGTTAACTGGAGTTGCTGTTGTCCTGCTGCTGTAAATACTCACTCAAGTACAAAATGTGTATTAATCCCTTGATGAAAATAGTCCCCAACAAATGCAATATTTAATCCTGTTTGAATGATGAATACAGTAGAGCGTCATAATATTTTTTGAAAGACTGTACATTGATTTTGAATGACGCCATATGTTTGAATGTCAGTTCAGGTCTGATGAGAGCAACTGGGATTTAAAGGCCGTTTATTGCCATGTGAGTATCATACCTGTATGAACAGTGAATATGGGTTATTTGAATGTAATGTCAGGGAGAGATGTCAGAAAAAGATGAAACATACTGTATGTAGGAAAGAGGATGGAAAGAGAGAAATGAAGAACAAGGAAAAATGTTTATCCTGGATTTAATCACAGATCAACAAAATCTGCTTGTATCCCGGCGCTAATGCTCAGCAATATGCCATGGACTCAGGGCTTAATATGAAAAATATTTAATGTTATTTTTGGTAAATAATAAGTAAAGATTTTTACTTAAGGGTTTAAAGAATGGTTGGCATTTTGCTCGTGTGCAAAGAAGATTGGGAGGATTTGACAGTTCATTTGCTGCAGATGCTCTGCTGCAGATACTCTGTATGCCTTTGGTTATTTCTCCTAAAGTGGGTAGCTTTTTTTACTTTTACAAAGGCCAGCAGTCAAAACTTTTTTAATACTATTTTTGCCACTTTGTCCTCCACTACTTGGGGCGGACTTTGATTCAATTCATTCAAATTTGATTCAATTCATTCAAATTTAATTTGTTTCGTAAGACTAAATCTAAGGGAAATACGGTATTTATTACTACTTTCTCTTCCCTGTTTATTGGGATTTTGAGATTATAGGAGCGACTTTGTTTCATCCGCTGTCCTCGTCCAGCATCTCTTGGGATCTCTTGCTCTTTTTGCAGGTACAGAATGTTTTGTGCTTTCTTAATCTTGAAAAGAAAAGGTTTTGGACCGCAGTTGTTTATTTTACATACATAGTTATTGTATTTATTACAGGATATGTATCACTCATTTCACGATATGTAATTGTCAGCCTCTTTTTAATAGAAATGCAATGAAATGTAAGACCACTCACCACAAATGAAGCTTTCTTTCTTTGGGATTATTGTCACGTCACAAGACCAAACTAAAGATGTCATTTGTTTTAAGCCAAATTAAGCCCAGTATTTGTCTCTGTCCCAGGAGACAGACCCCAAATAGATCCTCTATCTGTTATACAGTGTGAGTGAGGGTCTGACACGATTTGTTCAATCTGCTGTGTTTTCCCGAAGCTCTCTAATGGGATGAGCAGCAATCTTCTGCACAAGGATTTATAAAGGAACCAAATGTTAAAAAAAAAAAAAAATGATAATAAAAGATTTGGTGTCATTGATGGAGATGAGTTATACATTATTGGGTGGAGGATTTTTGTCCTTGCTCTTTGTCAGTGTGTGTTTTGGTAGCACTGATGTAGGGATCTAAGGACAAAGCTTTTATCCTGGTACCCATATGTTAATGGGTGAGCTGAGATGTTTTTCTCAGAGTCTAATGCCTTTCCAAGGTGTGCTCTTCTACTAATACTTAGTGAAGAGCTAATCTGTCGAAGCATTGGCATAAGAATGAGCTGTGAGTTGTTGCTTTCAGTTTTTCCTAAAGAGAGAAAACACAGAGGTTGACATTCAGTGCTATCCATAAGTGGTAGGACAGTAAGATGTTTTTGTTGATGATTTTAAAGTTTTAAAGTGCTGACTTTCAGTTTTAATTTTAGGATATTTACATGTAGGAAATTGGAACAATGTTTATTGTGTGTATATGTTTTACACAATAGTCCCCCAATTATTAGGGGAACAACTGTATTTGGACAATTTAAGATCACATTAAAGTCCCTGTCTGTAATATGATACTCTTGCCTTTAAGTAGATTGTGGTCATCTCAGAGGTCTGAGGTCAAGTTAGGTCCAGCTCACTGAGCCAATGTAAGTACATAATATGCTCTTCTTAGAAAACCAGAAAAATCATCTCAGCAGCTGCTCATCCCTAGAGAGCTTCTTTCCTCTGCTTCAGAAATCTCCTATTCAGCCAGGCTGTTGCAAAAATTCAAGATAATAAAATTAATAATGAGCTAATTAAAGCTCTTCTCTCTGGTTACAAGAGACACGGTAACAATTTTTAGGTACTTTTCCTTTTTTTCACTTTTACTTTTATACTTCCACTTCACTACATTTCAGAGACAAACATTGTACTTTTTACTTAATTATATCTTTCTTAAATTATGACTTTACATACTAAATATATTATCTACTTTCTTAAATATGACACAGATTAAAATACTCAACAGTATAAAAGTAGGTAAAATTACTTAATGATTTAATTAAATTTAGCAGATTTTTCAATTTTACTTTAAAATTTCGAACGCAGAGCTTTCATTTGCAACAGATTTTCACAGGGTGGTATAGCTACTGTTACATAAGTTAGGTAGAAGATAAGAATAATTTTTCCATCTCTGTTAGCCACACTAGTTTAGCCACCCTGGTGTGGTGGTGTGGCTCCATTTGGTCAGTGAATCCTTTGGTTTGTCGGTCCACCACAGAGGTCTCGAGAGAAATATCTCAATAGCTATTAATTGATGTACATGAAGGTTGGTGTGGGCATTCATGGTTATGCAAGTAGTGTATTTCGAAAACTGTTGAACCATTTCTCTCTTTTCTTTCCATGATCTTACTCATGAAAACCTTAAAGACGTCAGATTACTAAAAAATGCACAAGCATTGGTATTGGTGCACATTCACACAATTCTCTTCAAGATATCTGCAATGGCTACTGTTTAGAATGCTAAAGAAATTATTTTTATATTAGTTGACTGGTAATACCACAGGGATCAATAATCCATTCAGGAGTCAACAGGCTCACTGCCTGCTAAAATGCCCTAAGAACTGTGTGAAGTATGTTTAGCCCAGAACACACTGTACAGTACCAAGTAGGTCAGGCTTAACACAGTGCAAATAAGTTTTGGATTGGTCACTTCACAGTCAACAGATCATACTTGTCCATGAGTGGAATTACTGCACCAAAAAAGGGAAAGTAAATGAGGTTTTCACTTAATCATCTTTGTCACAGTCTTCAATTATTGCCAGCATTTCAAAATCACATTTTCTCTTATGCATGCCTGTCTTTCTAATGTTCCTAGTCATCATGTAGTAATTGTTCCTGGGGACACAACTCAAATTGAGACAATTTGAATTAAATATGTCAAGAAGAATAAAGTTAATGCTGGGAGGCTAAAATATTTCTGAAACAACTTACATCCTAATGGTGAAGAACAAACTTTACTAGGGAAAAAATAATCCTCATTTTTCAACTTTGTTGTCATATAACAACAGCAAATATTTTGCTGCTGACAGTCATTGTAACAGGTAACAGGACAGGATGAACTTAAACATGCTGTCTCTGTGAACAGTGTGAAAGCTTACCCTGCTGGGGGGGCAGCAGTAATTCAATTACAAGAATAAGGTTAAGAGCAGTCTGTCTTTATCATCTGTCTCAATGTCTGACATTAGAGCTGCTTGCGTGACAAGGGGACTGACTATGGGGAAAAATTTATTTTGACACATTTTTACTGTATTGGATTTTTATTGTATATGTAAACTTAATGTTACTCAAAGTGTGACTGAAATTGAAATGGAATTTTTAAATAACAGCAATTAAACAAAGATTAAATAGATAATAATTCAGATAAAACTGTACAACAGACACAGGCCTATATAATAATTTACTGACTGTGCATACTGTGTAACTGGCCATATAGGTGTAGCAGTAAGGCAATGATACCTCTCACCCCAGCCTTACTATTACTGTCCCGATGTACACCTGAGCAGAGGAGTAATGAAGTTGCTTTGGCTTCAGTCTTGAGAGGAGCTTTAAAGAGCTAACTGTAATGTCAGAGTATAACTTTGAGCATGACTTCTAAGCCCGGGGCTCTAATAATCCTCAAATGGATCAAAATCCGCTTCTTCAATGTTATCATTCAGTGACTGAAGGTTTACAAATGCCCACAACATGGGGGAGGGAAATAAAAGACACATAGATAACAGAAAACCTGCGCTGCAAACAGGAGGTGCGACGTGCGGAAGTCACATTTAGCAAGGACGAAGGGTCTAACAAAAAACACATTACAGTTAAAGTTAAAGTCAAAACTCTTTGCCTCTGGAAAACTGATTTTGACTATTCTTTTTTAATTTGCCTGGAAGTGTAAGGAACGGATCACACAGTGTGTTTATCTCTGTTTCTAAATTTAGCTGATTGGACATGAATTGGAAAGACACACCTGACCATATAAGGTGGAAGATGGAAGAGTGGAAGTAATATTTCTGGCAAAGAGCGTAGCACAAGCCGAATTAATGTATTAGAGTAATTACTGTATTAATGTTGTTAATGATTTTATTTAGATGTAACTGCCAGCAGTGGTGCACCGTTCTGTCAACTGTTTGTTTACATGTCTGTGGAAGAAAGATTGTATGAGACTGTGTGTGTGTGTGTGTGTGTGTGTGTGTGTGTGTGTGTGTGTGTGTGTGTGTGTGTGTGTGTGTGTGTGTGTTGTGTGTGTGTGTGTGTGTGTGTGTGTACACTTTTACATGACAAGACATCACATGAGTTCACCTCCCCCTGTCACATAGCCACCTCACTCTTCCCTCCACCTCACCTTTTTTCTCTCCCCATTTCTGCCTCCCCCTCTCTCTCTCCTGCCTCCTCTCTCTGCACCTCCCTCAGTAAGCTGACACTGCGCATTTACACATTAGCTGCTTTTTACCCCTAATAGGATCAGGGGGACTTACATTGTCATCTGATAAAACTAAGCAGCTTGATAACTACACTGCTCCTTCTTAACCAATTTATGCTCAATTAGGATAACAGAGAAACAGTGGAAGGACAAAAATGTATTAACAAAATCATGAGCCGATAAACAAGCACCTTCGACCATCATTACTCTGTCAGATTGTTGACAATGAGAGTCATTTCTTCAACAGACTGGTTGGTGACTCTTTGGACTGAAGGGCTGTTGAGGCAGAAATAATGTTCTTCTTGTGCTACACTGGTTTTCTGCTCTGAAATTTGGATGGTTATTCATTTAAATTATTTAACAAGAAAACCATGTATTTAAATATTTTGTTTGAAGGTGACTTTTACTTTAATTTTATTACATTGAAACTGAAATTTCATTGATATCATAAGAAGCTTTTTCCCTCTGTTACAACCAGGCTTTATATCTATCACTTGTTGAATAGGTAGCCTAAATACCAATAAATATATATCTTATTTGTAGTGCAGAGGCAGTTAACCTTTTCAAAGTTTTGCTATCACTACATAGCCAATGTTAGCATTAAAAGTTTTTTATTTACCAGTCTAGAAGACATGTTGCGAGTTAAGCATCAAACTTAACTTTTAACTTTACTCACCACGAACTGTCTCCAGCAGTGGAAAGCAACCCTCTTGTTTTGGCGCTATATCTATTACTTCTTTTCTTGTACTGAAGTTAGCATGCTAGGCAGCTAGCTCCAGTGCAATCTTTCTCGTCATTTTGCTGAAGAAATAATGCTGCTCAGAGGACGTATTATAACATCTTGTCTTGTAAATGCAACAACGACTGAAGCTCTTGCCAAGACTGGTAAGTAAACAGCTGTTAATGCTAACACTGGCTATGTAGCAATAGCAAAACGTACAGATTGTATCAGGTAAAAGAGTAGGCTACTACACTGATTTAGCATTGTACTCCTGTAACGTTGTCAGACTAGCTCACAATGGAGAAAAAAAGTATCAAAATAGCGATATTGTTTTTAAGTTCCATTTATTCTTCTTTCTGGTTAAAACGTGGCACATATATAACCCACAGAGCAACATGACTGCTGAGTCAGATAGTTTGGTCAGAGATTTGATTGTGTCAGGCTAGTGGCGGCTAATGTAGCCTTGAGCTGCTAGCCTCAAGAGGGGATGAGGAGTGGAGTACAGAGGTCTGGTAAACTCACTTTCTAACTCCACAACAGCAGATTTTTTTTTTATATACTTGTAGTAGCATCAACAGACGCTGACTCAAGTGACATCACTTTCAGAAAATTTATCAGATTTCCCCTAGCTTCCTCTGAAGCCACAAAAGCTTTTATTCATTTTTGCTTTTTTCATATACGGTAGGCTACTGTAGTATGTAATGTAAGCAAATTTAAAACAACAAAGCCGGAACTGTTTTAAATCATAAATTTGCTATTTTTACCTTTTTAAACATATAAGTAATTGAGTGGTTGCATGTGACACCTTTATTTTTGAGTTTACAGTTAATAGCAGTATCACTTACATTACATTTACATTTAAATCTATTCCGGCCATTTTGCCATGGTTTAGCAGACACAGATCAAACACAGACAGATCACACACAGAAGTGTTAGAAAATATTTTTTTAAGACTATATCTCACTTGGTAATGCTTTTTAAAATTTTAGTAAATTAAATAAAGCTAAAAACAAAATGTTTTGTTAGATTGTTTAAACCACCTGATACATTTCTGTGACACATTGCCCCAAATTAAGAGGTCTTTTATCATTATCAGCTTGTTATATGAAGATAATCTGTATGTTGCACTGGATTTTACATCATGTATTATCATAACAAAGTTTCCTTTTCCATGTAGTTCCACATAATAATAATAATAATAATAAGGGGGCTGGGTGTGCATAGTGAAAACTTTCAGTGGTTCTTTTGTCTTTAAAACAGTAAATTTATGAAAGAAAGTCTTGTCCGGGGTTCATTAGCCTGGGCCTCCTCCTGTGGGGGTGAATGGAAATAACATTTAAAACAATTACTTGAGCAGAAAACAGCTGCCAATCACTCTTAAAGGGGAAGGATTCCAATTAATAACCCTCTCCTAATCCTCTCGTTTCACCTCCTACACCCTCCCTCAGCTTTGTCCACCTCTCCCACTCCGTCTCTCTCCTCTTCCACTCTCCTCTTTGAGCTGGAGTGCATGGCGTCTCAACTCATTTGTTGAATGTTCTTTGCACTGGGTGGTTTTATTTACATGCACTTTGTTGGAGTGTTTTTGTCGGGACTGTTTGTCACGCATAGAGAAATGATTTAAGGAGATGCAAGGTAAGCAAAGCTGGCTACGTGACTGTGAGCTTAGCACATAGCGGATCCGTGGAAGAGTGAGGTTGGAGGGTGAACAGGTGGAGCACTGGCACCAGCAGTTTCAACAGTTCAACCTATTTACTTCCAAGAGGTAAGCTATGACACGATTTCATTTTACTGTATGCTGTCATACTTTTCACTGACACTGAAGTTCAACTATGTCATTTGTCATGCAAGTGTCAGTAACTGGAGATGTGTGAGTCCAAAAAGATGGTGTGCTCAATAGGTAAATTTTGGGATGGACTGAACAGTTTATTAAAACTCTACATACTCCTGCTGCTCTTGGCATGATGTTTACTCTTTTGTTTTAATTACATACCAGAATACAAATAACAGATAAAGGAATACAGAATCCATTTTTCACACAATCCTTCTGATTACAATTGAGTAAATTTATTTTAGTTTACTTTATTTATTTCTTATTTATTTGAGACATTATTGATTAAGAGACATTATTTATTAATTAACATCAACATGATGTGCTGAATGCAGATGTCCTGTACCTTTTCCGCCACAGACGCCTCATTTCTTATTGACCAACATGCATTACTTTGTTCAAAAGTTATATAATCTCTGAATGAATTGCCAGCCCATAACCTCAGACATCGCACTCACAGTTCCTAAAAGTTTTCTTAGTCTTTAAAGATTTGGATCCTATCTATGGCTACTATCTGTACTTAACATGACATGGTTTTGTGACCATTAAGACTTGTTTTGTTATGAGTTTACAATTTGAAAAGTGATAGAAATAAGCAACATTATCAGTAGAATGTCATTTACACACTATTCTACGAGGGATTCTTTAAAAACGCCTATAGTTTCCATCAGTACACTTTTCGTTATGCACTGTAGCTTTCAGAGTCTCGATCCCCTGCCACCTATGCAGCGGATAATCAGGTTCAGCTAGGTAGAAGGATGAGCACGGTCATCTAGGGTAACCAGGTGATCTCTGACACATTGTTGTACCTTTAGCCCTTAGATTAAACCCCTTTCCTCTGACCTCAGGCCCAGGCGAGTGTCGAGACGCTCGAATGCATTTATCACTGGATACCATGAGCATGGTGGACGACAGCTGCCTCTCACCCAGCAACTTCCACGAAATGGGGAAAGGTGGGGGCTTCGCTGCAGGAGGCCGCGTCCACAGCATTGATGTCATTCTCGGTTTCAGTAAAGACCAGGACCCCCTGCTCAGTCCTGCTGGGGCCTCAGGACCTCATAAAGTGGACATAGAAGGCCTGGCAGAGTCTGGGAAGCAGCAGGAGCCCTCGTCACACCCGTCCTACAGTGGGCACCTCTCCTCTCTGAGAAATGGCAGCACAGAGCAGCAGCAGCAGCAGCAGTACCATGGTGAGAGAAGCTGATGGTGATGCTGGCCTCCATCCTGGAAAAACAGAGTTTATTTTATTATAGCATTATCACCTCTCAGAGCACTTAGTTTCACTTCACCGGGTACTCATTTTATTTTGGAGGAGGTCCCCAGTAGGTGCACATCAATTGCTTCAGAGCTTAAGTTTATTAATCATCTGATTTTTTGCCTCAAAACATATGTGATGGTCAAGGGTATTGATTATACAGCAGCGCCTTTGGTCTCGGAAAGATGAGTAAGATACAATTGAGTTTAGTGCACTGACATTAGGCTATTGAGGTCTCTGAGCACTACTTGACCTCTGAACATGACCGTTCAGTCTTTCATGGTCCAAACAAAAGTTTTTTTTCAAAAACCAGAATGAACTGGTTAGGTTTAATAGTATGAGGCTTGTCATGAAAAAGATTAGGAAACATATCAAGCAGTATGCATAAAGACCTTTTAAAACGTTCAATGAAATATCCACTAAAAGAGATCACACAGACATGTAGATATAGACAAAAACATCCACAATACACTGCAGGTGTATATATTTACTTGAATTTTAGGATCTGAATCTGATATTTTTTTCCCATTACCAAAAGCTTATTGAATAGAAATGAAACCAATTTAACCAAACAACGGAGCATCATTTTAGTAATTAATTATCCAATTCTCTGAAAGAAACAAAGTGTTGGGAAATCAGTTCTGTTCTTGTGTGTTTACAACAGCAGCCAAGTCTCTGTGGACATGAGACCTGTGACATGCAATAGTCAATTTTTTTGTTTCATTATTTGAGCCATTGTTTGTTAGACAGTGGCAACTAATTAATTAGAAATTTGACCAATTTGAATGCGGCAATTTTAGTACAATTGTATTCTACGTGTTGGTGCAGCTCCATTTCATACCGCTCACAGGCAGATCCAGAATCAGTGTGTTACATACTGTTGCTGTGTAGAGCCTGTTGCATTAGCTGTGTGAACTGTGCCGGCTGAGATTGAGAGATAAATCACAGAACAAGATGGTGTAGGGGGGTTTATGTCCCTGAGCACAATCCCATCCCCTTGTGGAATTCCCCTAATCTTCTCTTCTGTGCAGATTAGATTGTACAGTAGTTCATTCGGGTGTTGTTATCGTTCTATCTCAGGATCAAATTTATCACGTTTAATCTGAAGCCATTTTCACATGCAGGATCTGGCAGGTGGTTGGTGATTTTGGGGCAGAAACAACACAAATATCATTTCCATGAACTGGAGATGGATATATCCTCATAGCCTCACCAGTAAAGTGATGATAAGTGATACAAATTTAGTAGCTCAATCCAGGAGGACGTTAGTTTTTCTTGATTAACGTACATCAACACCAATGACATCACCCTTTTGTATGTAACTATCCTGTGAAGTCAGCCCAGTTCCCCCTGAATGAGCAACTTTTCAGAGTTCGGTGTCAGTCGGCCCCCCTCTCTGTACTGAGATGTTCTGCTGGCTGATAAACAGTGGGCAGCCTTCAGACCGGCGGCTGTGATGGGCTGACAGGCCAAGAGCTGGTCACTGAACCAGACCTGACCTCTGCCTTTGTCAGAGCCTGGCCTTTGTCATAGCTGCTTAATGAGAGGTGGATAAATGAACCCCCGAAAATCCTGCTTTGCCTTTGCCTCTGCTCCCGTTTGCCAGTTGAAAGGCCACGGTGACCCCCTCCTTTCTCTCCATCAACACATCCTATTAACAGAAACAAGCTCACATTTACATACATATACCCTCTGTTTTTACTGAAGCAGTGAAAGGACAATGACTTGTCAACATGTATTGAACAAATACAAACTACAACCTACTATAATCAGAAAAATGAACAATCAAGTCTACGGTAGTTAAAAATGAAGGCTCATTATTGACTTTAGAAACTTAAATGTAACTTACAACGGCTATAAGTGATATTTGTTTGATGTCAGTGCATCAAATGACAATGTGAACACAATGTGACAATTTGAAAGGCGTCCCTCATAGTGATAAACCTTTATAGAGCTTTTACATCAAGTTTTAGGTCAACTTTTAGCAACTTTACTGTTTTGATTCATTCTCACCTCCCTCATAGCGTTGCATTGAAAGCTCTAAAAACCCACTGTACACTACCTGCTGAGCATCAAACTGCAGACAGACACACAGTTAGCGATTAGCTGGTGAATATAGTGGACCATTTCATTTGCTAAAGAGCCAGATATTTGCCCTCATGAGTTGGTAGAGGCCAAAAACAGAGCCAAAAGAAAGTGAATATTGCACTTACATTCATCAGGTGGACAGGAATACGACTCCAAATCAATATTAATGTTGCTGTTTCCTAACAAGTTCAGTGACAAATGTCTCATAACCTTTTTCTGAATCCCCTAAGTAGTCAACTAATCAGTTATTTCAGGTTTAAAGTCCATGTACTTGCTTTTTCGCGACAACTGAGTAAACTGAAGAAGAAAGTGAGCGTCGACTGAATGCTCCGAAAACAGCTAGCACATGGACTATATGGTAGTTAGTTCATAACTACATCGGACAAGTATTAGTGTAGACTTATTATTTTATGCAAAATTCTGAATTATTCCACTTGTGGGAATAATTTGGCCAAATAATTGTTATTATCTATTTTGATAGAAACATTTATATTTCATACAGGAGACTGCGTTGAGAATCCTAACGCCTCTGCCAGGAAAGTATTTTAAAGTTAACATACTTTCTGTGATTTACAACTTATGCAACACAGCCTGAATGACCTATGGGATCTGATTCAGGTCTGATCCTGGCAGATGTAGACTCTCGTAAAGTAGCTGCTTCTCAAGTGCAACTGATCTGATTGCCGGATCATCGTCTTTGTACTTTGCTTAACTCAATTGTGTACTAGTCAGATTAATATTGATTCGGCACACAATCTTGTTTTGACAGTGTTAGACCTCATTCTTTTCCAGGTGATAGTTTATCTTTCTCTCTGGTTTTGACAGTGATATACAAAGATATTACTGAAGATTAGGAGTGAATGGGAGGAAGAACAATTGAGAGGAAGGCAAAGGGAAGTTGTTTGTCTTGTAAGATCATGAGGAAGGACAGTTGCAGTAAAAGGAAGCTTGTTACTAGCTAGTGTTGTTAAATGTCCACAGGACTGTTGACATTCTCATGTTTTGGATGCATTTTAGAGGAAAATATATTTCTTGTGGCTACTGCTTTGATCGTAATACTAATACTTACTAACATATAACTATACTGTGGGAATTGACTAACAGTGGCTTTGCAGTCCTGTGTCAGTGATAACAATGTGAACAGTTGATTCCAAATGTCTTTTTTAAAAGACAGTTTACCTTTGGAGAAGATAAACACTGGAAACAAGTTTTCTAAATCCGATTAGGAATGTTTTTGAGCTTCATTGAAGTTCAGGGGATTGCTTGCTTCACTGACCTACAGTAGCCTATTGTTGCAGGTGTCAAACTAATGTTTGCTCTACTGGAAAGTGGGAACTACATTCTTCATTTCAACTAACCATTCTGCTTTTCCTTTCCTCTAAATTTCAGTTTTAATACAATATATTCAGACTGCACCTACACATGTAGAATACCGAGTATATGATAAACATTTGCAAATAAAAAATATACAAAGAAAATATCAACTCCTGGTTTATTTTTCTTGTATGCTTAACAGATACTGGCTTATTCACAAATAAGTGCGATGAGGAACTCAGTGAGCTGAGGAAGAGCGCTGACAGTGATGAAGGAAAGTCTCCGGAGCCTTGCAAGGACGATCAGCCCAAAAAGAAACACAGGCGCAACCGCACCACCTTCACCACCTACCAGCTGCATGAGCTGGAGCGTGCCTTTGAGAAGTCCCACTACCCAGATGTGTACAGCCGAGAGGAGCTGGCCATGAAGGTGAACCTCCCTGAAGTCCGAGTTCAGGTAAGAGGAACCACAACATCAGAGGCACCAACCTGAACATATCCAAACAAATCTATAGTTATAACAGCCAGCATCACAGAGATCCATATGTACATTGCATGAGTTCTAATATTGATGAAGCTTAAGATATTTTGTCAGTTTACATAAGTAAATATTCAGGGTCTGTGGTGTCAGTGTTTGTTTTTGTTGCTGTATTGTTTTCTCTTGTGTTGGGCTGTTATTACATTGTGTTTTACAGCAGCGGCACAGTAACCAGACAGTTATAGTTTATGATTTGTGTTGTTTATAGCTTTATGCTGTCATGTTGAAACTGGAGGTGTTAATCTTGCCTTCACACTCACAGCACATGTTAAATTGCTGTGTTTCCAAACTTTGAGATGCACTTAAGGACTGCAGGATCGTGCCAAGCCTTTGGGCTTAGGCTATGGCTCTGCTAATGGAGAATAGGTCACCACAATCTTGAAGGAGTGTAATTGTACACACATCACATGTGGCTGCAAGGCTATTGGAGGATGGTGCTGATGAAATGAATAACACCTGCAGGAACACCTGCACACTGCACATTTTGATCTCAACTGGATCTTCGTCACTCCTTTCACGGGACAACACATACTGACAATCCTTGCAGGGCTTGAAGCTTCAACAACTTCCGAAATTCATGTACTTCTTCTTTATATCTATGTTCAGTCAATAATAACTTGATTTTGTCTTCCAGGTCTGGTTCCAGAACCGCAGAGCTAAATGGCGTCGGCAGGAGAAAATGGATGCCAGCACCATGAAGCTCCATGACTCACCCATGCTGTCTTTCAACCGCCCGGCACCAGTTCACACCAGCATGGGTCCAATGACCAACTCTCTCCCTTTGGACCCCTGGCTGACCTCTCCTCTGTCCAGTGCCACACCGGTCCACAGCATCCCAGGCTTCATGGGTCCACCTCAAGGCCTCCAGCCCAGCTACCCCAGCCACAGCTTCCTCAACTCCACTCCTCATCCTCCTCATCCTCCTCATCCTCATCCTCACTCTCATCCTCATCCGTCCATGAGTCAGGGGATGCAGAGCATGGCCCCTCCTCCTTACCAGTGTCCAGCACCGTACCCCGATAAATACCCTCTGGAGGACGTGGACCAGCGCAGCTCTAGTATTGCTGCACTGAGAATGAAAGCAAAGGAACACATCCAGTCTATGGACAAGACCTGGCAACCCATGTGACTAACAAACCTAGCAGTCCATGTGAGTAATGTCGGGAAAGGGAGATGCTGAAATTTTTTTCTTGGGTTTCAAGGTGGCAGACATTGAATACATATGTTCGAAAAAATGGCAGTGACTGTTTGTGTCTGTTACCCATGGATCAAAGGAAATGGATTTTGAACTGTGAAGACTGAGGATTTTTGAACTTTAGTTTGGACTTTCTTTTTTTCCCCCCTTATTTTTGTCATCTCAAGGACACGAAGCAGACAAGTGAACTCTGAATTGTTCAATTTAACTTGTTCTCCCTCCAAACTGTAGGTGTTATGCATTGCTTTAGGTGCTGTCAACTGTCAGGCTCTAAAAAACAATTTGCAACCCAGGAACTGCTGCACACAACATTGTTTCCTTATCGACCACTCTTTAAAACAAACCACATGCTTCCCTTTAACTGAATGCATAGGTCTACCCACATTCGTGAACAGCTTATCTGCTGATAGTGGCAATATTGGCATATTGCTTTTCCAAGGGGTCATTGAACCTGTATGTGAGAAAAGGTTAAATCCTTTTCTCCATGTCTAGCGAATTTTATTTGTCCCTTGTCACAGCTCACGTCAGAGGACAGCAGTTCATGAACACATGCTATAATTTTAAAAAATCACCTAAATGAAGCACTGCTGTAGGTATTATAACTTTTCTCATCAGTTTTTCCTTTATTTGTGTCAACCATCAGATTGATTGATTCGGACAGAACATCACATTCTGATGATCATTCTTTGCTTTTCCCATTTTCATTGGCAAGTTTGTGTTTTTACTAATTAATCCAATTGTCGAATTTTCATGGGTCAGCTAATCAGAGTCTCTGAGTACTTTATGAATGGAGCTCCAGTCTCGGTTTAATGTGAGAGCAGCTTTTTAAAGAAAATCAAGGCAATGTCTCCGACTGTGTAAATGCACGTCTCTCTCACTCATCTCTTGGTCTCTAACAACTGTGCAACTGGTTTTCAGTTCATCTCTCCCACTCATGGTTTATGTTGCTACTTGCCCAGTTTAGATATTTGAGCCTGCAGTTTATAGATAACCTGTTATAACTGGAGGAGGATGACAGCTCATGGTTTTCAGTGTAAAATACATCATTGTATTAGAGTCAGAGATATGATGGCACCTTCTAAGTGGGCCAGGGCTGAGAATATACCAAAAATAATCCTGCACGATTATAATCCTTTTCTGGTTTGTGCTGAGATGCTTTAAGGAAGGAAGGAAGGAAGGAAGGAAGGAAGGAAGGAAGGAAGGAAGGAAGGCAGGCAGGCAGGCAGGCAGGCTGGCTGGCTGGTGAGTGGAGTAACCCTCTTTTTGCTTGAGTGGCTGTTGGAGGTGAAAACCTGTTGGCAGCTCAGTGTTGGGTGGCTGCGTGTACGTGCAGGGCAGCAGAAAGAGCCCTGTGTGATGCGTCACCCCACATAGTTTAGTCTTTGTTCGGCACAATTGATCCAAGTGTATCCTCTTTGTCTGTAACTGAAGGGGGGGAAACGGTCTCAGGCTGCACTAAATAGGCCCTTGTAACCATTTTGTCATGGAAGTTTTTTTTCTCTTTCTCAATCAAAGGAGGAGAAACATGGATTGTAGCTGCTATGGTCATTAGTGACACAATATTGGTCTTTTACCATCTGTTACAGAGTTAAGCTCTAATTGTGTTAAAGGTAGAGAGGATCAATTCTAAACAGTTGCCTATATTTCTTTTGAGTAGAGCTAAATTTATTAGTATTTGGTGTTGACATATTTAGGATCTACAGCATCTCACAAAAGTTATATGGTAACTTTTCTGTCTTGGTTATGGAGCAAGAAGGAGAGAAAATCCTTAATCTTAAAGTGCAATTTCAGAATCTTTTGTATTTTTTATATTTTGTTTTCTAAAAGGAGACCCATTTTCCCCAAGACTGCCCATTGTATGGTTGTGATATTTCACTTTAATGTGAAAATTGTGCTGACAGTGAATACAGCTACATCAGCAGCAAAAACAATAACAACAATATTTAGTCATTTCTGGTTTGTTGGAAAATCTATTGTTGTACTGTTCGGAGAGGGAAAACATAGTGTTACATCTGCTGCTCATGATCAGTCCTCATGTAGTTTTTTTTTTTTTTTCAGTGTTGTTGGTTAGTGATGTTTAAACTCCCTGTTGGACAATGCCAGGACCACAGAGGAAATGAGGATTACCTTGCACATTAAGAGCTTCTTTAGGATGCTACATAAATGTGATTTTGGACCAAGAATAAGCCAAAGGTTAGATAATGGACAAAACTGCACTAGATGTTTGCCAGTTTTAATTTTTTTATGTGAAAATGCACAGGATATTCTTTCCTGTATGGCTGTTTTGTTTCTTACATGTTGTAGTTATATCTGTCTTAGTAATATCATTGTTTCCTTTCTTTTTGATTTTGTCTGGATCATTGATGTCCATATTCTGGAAAGAATGAAGATCTACTGAAAATAAATATAGTTTGATAGAATATGGATCTCCACTTTCTCACTGCAGTGCTTTCATGTTGACCTGTGCACTCATTCCCACATAGTCGCTATGTTTTTTTTTTTTTTACCCCATTAAGTCTAAAGAGCAATCCAAGATTACGACAGTATAATCGTTATCATCTGACATACATGGGCAGAGACATTTTTCTTTCTTTTCCTCTAACACTTGTGGTCTCTCTCTCTCTCTCTGTCATATAAGAGCTCTTTCTCTCTTTTTTTTTTTTACCCCTCCCAATCCTCTCTGCTGTTCCGTGGCTTGATGGCAGGGTGCCAGCCTGTTAGGAAGATGAGACTCCAATCAATCAGGGCTTCCCAGGGGGGCCTCTGACCACAGGGCCCGGCTCCCTAATTGCCCCCAGGCCGGCAGGCTCAGCCGCTGCAACACATGTTCACAGAGGGACCGGTGCCGCCGTGCTAGCTGGTCTCCTCAGCGTGTGAATCACTTTCCTGGACAGATGGAGGCCTGGAAGGACCTCACTTCAAGGGCCATATGGGTAGGCCAGTGGAAGTAACAGGCCAGTGTCCTGAGGTGATTAGATACTGCATTACACAACAGTGTGTTTTTGGTTAAGCATCCAATTATGCCAAAAATAAATACCCACTGGTATTTTAGGAAACCCAGAGGGTTTTTAACAACACTTACTGCTGATCTGAAGGCATTTGGATCTGGATGAGAAATAGTTTGTCTGCTGCGCAGTATAAGGCTTTTGACCTAGTTTTTCAAATTGGGCATCTTTTTCCAAATTCAAACAAACACGTCTTTGCTTGATTTATACAACTGATATATTGGTATATATTGATATTTATTTCCAATATTTTTATTAATATATCTGTTTTTTTATTCATATATATATATATATATATATACATACATATGTAATTTCCAGCAGCTTTCTGGATTGGAAGTATTCAATAACAATTTGAGAAATGTTTTAAAATCTTTTGTAGGGTGCAGTGAACAGAATGTGAGTCTTTTAGCATTCAGGCTGTTGTTAAACGACCTTCTGTTTTTTTCAGAAATCTGCATTTATTCTTCAGAAAATCCAAGGCTTAGCTCTGTGACTCAAATGTAATATATTAAAGGCACAAACTCAGACTAGTTGTTGGCATAAAACAAAAGTTAAACCAGTTATCATGTGACATAACTTCATCTGTAAAGAGGAACAAAAGAAAGACCATATTTGAACTCAAATCTCAGGGATCATGGAAATAGCACTTTACTTTTTATGACTATAACATTTGCACATTTAAGACCAGAAAGACCTGTAGCACTTGATGAGGTCATATCTCAAAGGTGTTTTCAAAGAGCTGAACAACCATAACCCTGTGTGGATGAAAATGGAAAAAAAATGCTTTGGACTTGAAAGGATGAAAGGGGAGACAGAGAATGTGAGGAAGTCAGAGTGGGAGAAAGTAAAAAGAGAAACATTAAGAAAGAGATTAAGCTGGAGTAAAAGTGTGGGAGTGAGAGAGACAGAGAGAGGGGAAGTAAGAGTGGAGAGGAAGAGAGAGAGGGGAGGGAGGGTGGGATGGCTGCTCATCAGAGTTAATGATGTAGAAAATCCCCCAATTAGAGCGTTTTCCTGTGTTGCAGGATGAGTTCAGAGCGGGGTCCTCTGACAGCCCAGGGATTAGTACCCGGGCCAGGCCGGGCCGAGCCGGGCCTGAACAGACACTAACTACTGGACAGCTTGGCACTGCTCAGCTGGGGCCAGGTCGGGGCTATAGCCACAGCCAGGGGCCGGGGTAAGCATGCGTTGAGCCGGAGTGCGTGCTACAATGAAAAGCATGGGAAAAAGAGCTGCAGTAGATCAACATGAACAATTGCGGATGGAGAGTTATTCTCTACTACCCAAAATCCAAAATGAAATAATAGATGCTATTTTTGCAAATTACTCTCTCATAAAGTTCCTGAACTTCTCCCAACATGTGCCTGTTTTACCTGCATAAATACAAATACATCCTGCTAACAATGTCTCAGCTCAGTGTTCCTGACTGATGCATCTCTCTTTGTTTTTTTTTATTTATTTATTTATTTTTTTACAGTATTACATATGTGTTCATCCAAAACATAGCCTAATCTAATGTGGACATCTGGATTGTACAGCAAATCAATCTGCTCTCATGTTGCTTGATGTCGAACAATAAAGATGGCAAAAACGCTGATTCTTGTGGTGCTAAAACACACAAGCACAGTTGTTAATCCTCCTGACCTGATACTTGGGACAATAAATCTGAACATTAATCTGTCTCTTAACACAACAATGAAGCGATTGCTGTTGAAACATGACCAATAAAAGTCTTGTGCCTTTCATAAGGTGTTCACCTGCAAGTATGGGTAGCAAAAGGCTTCATATAATCAGAAATATATGTAGAATAAAGACGTGAGACTGGGGCATTGAGACTCATTCTTGACCTTCGGGATATAGTAGAATATATGTGCTAAATACTCCAAACCCAACATCTGGTTACTGAGCTATTCCCGGAGATTTTGACTATATCTCATGCCCTTCTTTAGCAAAGTACCTTGATACTTTACTTGAGATTTGACTGCAATGAGATTTGTTGATTTTTTTTTTTTTTTAATAAAAAAAATATATATCACAGCATCTCTGTGCTACGCACTATGTACTCTTTGGATTGTTTAATTTTGCTCTCAAAGACTTGACTTGGACTAGCTCCAAAAAAAACAAAAACAGCTCTGCAAGTTAGTGAAGAAATTACAGGTGGCCTAGGGATTATAGGAGCAGAGCAACAAAGAATATATTTCTTAGAATGACCAAAAACAATATAAAATCAGAAAGGTGATCAATTCAAATGCAGTCTCACTGTAAAGGTCACAGTCATGAAGATGCCAGTCTTTGAAGTTAAAAGTTGTTGGGGAAGACAAACGGTTTAGAGGAAGCCCTGAATCACCTCCACAACACGGTTACTGTGTTCATTAAGAACAACAGAGTCCCTAATGACTAATTGATTAATTGTGCAGTCTATTATTTCGCTCCTGCACCCCAGCAGATCTGAAAGGGCCACGGCTGGAGTTAACAGTCTTATTGGAAAGACGCGTTCCCTGCAAAGGATAATAAGGGAAAATAGCGGAATTAATTGGGTTTGATTAAGAGAGCTTTTCAATGGGACACAGCTTTTTCGCATGACATAATTAGAGGTCAGTTGGGGGGAGGGGGGTTGGTAGTTGGCGCCAGTGTTGTGTGGGTGTGTCTGTGTGAAGGAGACAGACAGACAGACAGAGTATGTGTGTGTGTGTGTGTGGGGTGGTGGTGTGTGTTGGGTGGGAGGTGGGGGGTGCTTCGTCACACTTGCAGAACTATGTTGTGTGTCTGATGTGGTACATTTCTATAGGCTCACTCACCAGAAAACACACAGCGAAGTTCACAGGGGGCCCTCTGTGCCCTCCGTGTGTGATTATCATCACTACACTTGCCAACATTAAAGGCACAGAGCTCAGTCTTTTGTCATAGCTACATGGTCATTAACATTGCATTTCAGAGACTATTGTACAGAGGAGGGTGGTGACAGGAGGGTACGTTCAGCAGTGCTTTTGGATCAGCACAAAACGTGTAAACAAACTCAAAACATTTATTACAGGCACGCACACACACATTACAAATGAATAATCCTGTTACAGTATAATCTAAAGAAGGAGGGATTGCATGCAGGGCCATCAGACCTAAAAATACCCAAAACCAGGCTTCGCAGCTGATTAGATTATCAGATATTTCATTACAAGTCTGCAGCTTTTTTTCACAGAACAGTCAGGATTTCACTGATATCTGTTTTAGCAGGATTTTCTTTAAATAATTATGGTTTATTTGTATAAAAACAACATACAACACAATGTAACTGTTTAGATTACAGACCTGGACTACACCATTCACACATTCATACTCCCATTGTGTACAGGCTAATCTGTTTCTGACATACAGAAGTGTCAGACTAAAATCTAATGTTGCTTTTCCTCTTTGGATCATGTTACTGAGCTCACTGGGGAAGAGGTTTATGATAGGGTGCCATAGCTCCATGAAGCTCTTATAATTTCTTTTTAATTTAGCGCATTGCATTTTTTATTGGAGTTACTCTAAAAATGTCCCTATACCACTACTCCTACTGTGTAGGAGTTTTATCATAGATCCGTTTAAATAAATTTCCTTGCTAAAGTTTCTTCAACAGCTTGAAGGGTCCTACTATTGATTTTTTTTGAATAACTCAAAAGGCAATGCAAATGTGTTCCAGCCGGGATCAGTTTTGGTCAAGACACTAGATGTCCTGTGTTGCTTATGCAATCTCTTATACTGTGTCTCCTTAAGTCTATTGCAAAGAAAAGGTTTATTTTATCTCATGGTTTTTGTTGTTGTTTTTTTTTATTTTATTGCTGTTGGTGTCCTGAATTCATACACAGGCACACAAAGGTGTTTCATGTCAAGGCCTGCCCATGTTTGTCAGACTACAGGCAAAAACTGAGATGCAAGATAAGTGATGGTTAAAATAGGTTCATTTAGATATCAGAAGCCCCATACTCTTTAGGAAGTGAAGTATAGGCTATACCATTGCACGACAGGAGTTTGACAATGGAACTATTACGCCCTCTATGTTTGAAACTTCAACATGACAGGAAACCTTTTTTTTTTGTTGTTTAAATTTGAACTGTGAAGTAAATATTGAACCAATGAAAGCATAAGGATAAGGACAAACAGTCCATTACAACAATTATAGAGATAAGATATGTAGATAAAAAAATAAAATAAAATAAACGCCTGTCAGGATTCTTAGTCAAATCAAATTGAAGAAGCTAATTACAATACACACAGATAAAGCTTCTGAAGAATTCTTGTTTAGGGAAGAGTTTTGAAATAAAGGTCAAATTCCCAAAAGAAAATAAAGGTTTGCTGCCAGAAATTGTAAATCTATGAGTGTGATAATTGGCTGATAAAATCAATAACTTTACAAGAAAATGTGTGACATGTAACATGTAATAACATGTTATAATAATACAAACAAAAAATATTACATACATAAGCAGTAATACAACCAAGGTCTAGTCAAAATATTTTGGTGTGAGGACAAATCCATAATAAATGTGGCAGTGTGTCAGACTGAGTTTTACAAAATGAACGATTTACATCAGTATCAGTCATCAATTAAACAGATATTGATTTTGTGGTGTTTTTATGTCTGTTCTATGTTGCACTCAGGTCCATGACATTTTGTTTTTCCTGTATTCATGTTATGCATATGTATGGAAATGACAATAAGCCTGCACCTGGAGCTGAAAAACTTTGTCATGGGATTCTTAACTGGGTAACATTTGATTTCATGTGATGTCCCTTATTTGTAACTCACTCATTTCTCACTTATCAGTTTATTAGGTACACCTAGCTAAAACTAATGCAATCTAACACAACAGTCCTAATGTTCAGTTTGTGTCGAAAAAGTTTTAGAGAGGTGTTGATTCAACAGTATGATCATTTAGGAGGCTTTAGTTTGTAGTACTGTTGAACACTATTGCATTATACAGAGAACGGTCTGTTATTTAGCCTGTCTTACTGGTATAAATGGGGTGCACAAAATAATAGAAACACCAACATCACCATAACGCAATACAAGTCCACAGCACCACATATTGCAGCCTCCAAGATTACCATAAAGTTGAGTAGACACCTCATTAATACCGCTTCAACTAAAACTTAATATTGGGCTTTAACCCAATAGCATTTGCAGACTTGTACGATCTCATCCCTACACGTGGACCTCTGTGTTGCACATGAGTTTACACTACACTGTTTACACTTATATTTTATAGATAGTAACATATTTAAGGTATAGAACAACTTAACTCTTAACTTAATAAATTCAGGTCGCGATTATTAAACTCCTACTGGAGACAAACGTAAGTTGCGTTTCCGTGTTTTTATTTGCGACGCGTACGTCACAGGGGGTGACGAAACCCCCACAATGCACTTTTCCACCTCAACTAAACATTCACCTTCCTCTGATAGCGAATAACTTTCACTTTCTCGCTTTAATTCATCCCACATATCTGCGACGACTGTTGTTCCTGGTGTTTGCCGTTTTAGAGGCTGGCCGGTTGTTGCTGGTATGTTGTCTGTTGCAAATATGAGTTAACCACTAGCTAACTTAGCTAATGCTAGTTATCATTAGCTTTTCTTTTTTTTAGTACAAACATGACTGAAGAAAAACATTATAAACACACCAAATGTATAAGCATTACAGGGCTTTTCACGATCTTGTTCATCGAGCTTAACTATTAAAAGTTGGACGTGTCAGAACTGAGTTGGTGAATCTGTTGTTGCTGTGGAGTGGGAACGCTTGAGTAGGTTACACAGGATATATGTCATGCTATTATCATTATTTACGCTGAAATGCAGACAACTATGGGATATTTAACGAAGTGTGATTATCAAGCTAAGTGCTACATAGATGTCTTTAAAAGAGGCTTTGAAATATCCTGTGAAATGTCATAATTTTCCACCAACATTGTAGACTGTCATTCTAAACATTGTTTTACAGATTTAAATCAGTATGATTAGGATACTGCATAATCTTTCGGCTACCTTCATAATCATTCAGTATAATGTGAATGTTGAACAACACCAATAACAATCCCATATGCAATTAATCGTTTTATTGTGGTCATTTTCAGGCATGTTCTTCACTCTGCTTTGAATTTGAATAATTCATGTCTGACATGGTTTTTCAACATATAAGTTCAAGTCCCTGGTTAGAAATCCCTAAAAAGACACTGTGTTTTTAATGAATGTATTTGCCAGGTCCATCTTCCCAGCCTGTGGGATCAGGGTCTAGGATGGATCCAGAATATGAACATCGCCTCCTCCGCCAAATCAACATTCAAAATGACAACTTGAGTCCTGTTGTGAGTAATGCCTTTCTGTTCTCCTCCTCCTACTGTTAGTTGTTTTTCTTAATCACACCTATGCTGAACTTTTGTCTTGTTAGATGGTTTACAGTATTGAGCAAAGGTATTAGGAACTAAACGTGAGGTGAGGATAAACCACAATTGTTTTTTATTTATCAGTTAACTTCATACAAAATTCAGTGAAAAGAAAAATCCTAGTTTCCTAGCTACACTTGTGCACAGTCTTTCATGGTACTTGGCAGGTTGGTTGTTCCAGCATCTTGGAGAACTTGCCACAGTACTTCTGTGGATTCAGGCTGTCTCAGTGTCTTCTGTCTCTTCATAGAATCCAAGAATGATTTGTCTGATATTGTGATCAGGACTCTATGGAGGCCTGACCATCTGTTGCAGGTCTCCTTGTTCGTCTTGTTGAGGAACATAGCTCTTTATAACTCTGACTGTATGTTTGGGCTCATTGTCATGCTGCAGACCGAATTTGGAATTTTTTTTTTTCCGGACCAGTCAACTCCCTGATAGCACTGTGTGATAGATAAGAATCTAAACATCTAAAATGCCTAAAAGTTTTGTACAGCAATATATATTACAACTGGTTACCACGCTTCCATAAATTCATAAGCAAATACACTTTAAAGTAATATGTTGGTTTTACAGAAATTGATACGGAGTCATCACAGTCGAACACCAACTGGTTCCCCGTTATCCTCACCCAGTAAGCTTGGAGACCGATTTATCCCAACCAGAGCGGGGGCCAACTGGAACATCAACTTCCACAGGATCAATGTATGGACATGTTGTGGGTGAATTTACTGAGCAGTGTGTCGGTGCTGTTGTAAGAGAAATATAGTATTCATGTGTAATTCAATATTCAAAATGTTAAAAAGTGTCTGGGTGAAGTTGTTTATAGTGTATAGTTTGTAGTTCTGTCCGACTCAAATCAATGACAGTATCTTTGTGATTTTGATTAGGAAAATGAGAAGTCACCAAGTCAGAACAGAAAAACAAAGGATGCTTCTTCTGATAATATCAAAGGTAAATAGATTTTGTAAATGTCATTTTGTAAATTCTGTTTCTTGCTTATGTGCATCTAGAATTGTGGTTTTATGCGTCAATGCTTTTACTGTCTTATGAATCAAATAATATTTGTGTGCATGTAGCAGATGGGCTGGCCTACTCTGCTTTACTGAAAAATGAACTTCTGGGAGCAGGAATAGAAAAGATTCAGGACCCCCAGACAGAAGACAGACGTCTACAGCCATCCACCCCTGAGAAGAGGAGTCTCTTCACTGTATGAACATTTCATCTCATACTTCTTAAATATTGGATTATATAGCACATTTATTGTCATGTCAGAACAGAGACATGCCCTTAAGGTCCTTAGCAGGGGCAGAAAAACTAAGTCAGAGTAGAACACCACTATTCACTCAGTGCACAGCTTGTCTTCTGTGTTTTATGTTATTTTATTGACGCTGGTGGAGAACATGAAGATGTCTGCCTTTGTGTTCTTTGCAGTTTTCACTCAATACAAAAAGGTCATCTCCAGATGACGGCACCAGCATTTCCCCCTACTCCCTATCACCTGTCAGCAACAAAAGGTAGAAGCACTTATATTGTGGTAATAATATTTTGGTTTATAGATCTTTTGTTATTGATCACTCATCAATGTTGTCACCATGCGAATGAAGAGAAATGTACATATTGGTATCAGGATTTTATAAAGTCTGACTTTTTCCTGCTACAGTCAAAAATTGTTACGTTCACCGAGGAAGCCAACTCGCAAGATCTCAAAGATCCCCTTTAAAGTGCTTGATGCTCCAGAGCTGCAGGACGACTTTTACCTCAACTTAGTGGACTGGTCTTCTCTCAACGTGCTCAGTGTCGGGCTAGGCACATGTGTTTACCTGTGGAGTGCCTGTACCAGCCAGGTACTACACTCTGTGTATCTGTACACCTAATTTTGGAAGTTGAATTAGAACTGTTTCGTGTTTATGCTTTGCTCTTCTTGGCAGCATTAATCACTGTCCGGTGGCAAAGTTAATCTCTAACTAAATTGTCTTTTCCTCAGGTAACAAGGCTGTGTGATCTGTCAGTGGAAGGAGACTCCGTCACATCAGTTGGGTGGTCTGAAAGGGTAAGTACACATAACTTACTGCCATCAGAACTTTCGATTCAGTTAGTTTCTGTTAATGAAATTATTCTTCACGTTTTTAGGGCAACCTGGTGGCAGTGGGGACTCACAAAGGATACGTTCAGATCTGGGACGCTGGTGCTGGGAAGAAACTCTTTGCCTTGGAAGGACACACGGCTAGAGTTGGTGTGAACATTTGCTTTGTTATGTGGGTTATAGAGTGGCTTAACAGTGATACTCAAGACACAATAAAAACAAATAATGTGAATCGAAAAGACTGGACACAGTCAGCATTAGGCTGAATTAATGCTTGACATTCTTGATAGTTGCCTTCTTACAGCAAAATGTTTAAAGTGTGACTAAGTATAAATTAAACTTGACTCTGTGCTCTACAGGAGCGTTAGCATGGAATGCAGACCAGTTGTCGTCGGGAAGCCGTGACCGTATGATTCTTCAAAGAGACATACGGACGCCTCCACTGCAGTCAGAAAGACGGCTGCAGGGACACAGACAGGAAGTGTGTGGCTTAAAGTGGAGCACTGACCATCAGCTGCTCGCATCTGGTGGCAATGACAATAAGGTACAGTTGTTACATTTATCAAACCTGCCTCTTCTCATCTTTGTTCATTTACTCACTGTATTCATTGATGAGGGTGACGGTGTTTGTCATCTCAGCTGCTGGTCTGGAACCACTCCTCACTGAGCCCAGTGCAGACATACATGGATCACCTGGCTGCAGTTAAAGCCATTGCCTGGTCCCCCCACCAGCACGGCCTGCTGGCCTCTGGAGGCGGCACTGCCGATCGCTGTATTCGATTTTGGAACACGCTGACGTCGCAGCCGCTGCAGTGTATGGACACCGGCTCACAGGTCTGCAACCTGGCCTGGTCCAAGCATGCAAATGAGCTGGTGAGTCACTTCAGATGCACACAGCTGATGTACAGTCCTACGCCTGTGTTATAGTGTTATACTTAGTGTTATACTTTAATTCGTTATTTTGTCTCTTAAGATATTTGCACTTAATTTATATTAATTTGTAAAGATGTTTTACTTTTTTTAAGGACACTGCTTAATTCTATAAAACATCCAGTACAATTCAAACATCCAAGGGTTATAAATACCCTTAAAGGCTTAAAGGCACTATATATCTTTCTTAATTGGGATATCACAGCATATTTCTATTAACACTTGAAACTATGTGTGAGACGATTGTAGCCACTGTCTAGTGCTAATGTTCTTCAAAGTTGTTCTCAGTATTTGACTGTGATACCGTAGAAACTTTACTCGTTTGGTCTGAAAGGAGTGTGTCCTCTTCCTGTCGCACAATGTAAAATTCACTGTAGAGTTTCTAACTGAATGTGGTAATGTTTTACTGATATTAAATTACACAAAGCACAATTTACACAGCACAGTGAATTATAATTATTGTCTCTCTTTCCAGGTTAGCACCCATGGCTACTCTCAGAACCAGATCTTGGTCTGGAAATATCCAGCTCTCACTCAGGTGGCCAAGCTCACAGGACACTCCTATAGAGTCCTTTACCTGGTCAGTGTGTGTTTGTACGTGATGTCAGTGATGGTCGTATTAATGCTAAAAGCCTGCCATCTTTGCCAGAAAGTCTGGTAGCAGCCTCATAAATGTTTAAAGTTTTTCTTTAGGCAATGTCCCCGGATGGCGAGGCAATAGTGACAGGAGCTGGAGATGAGACTCTACGCTTCTGGAACGTATTCAGCAAAACAAGGTCAACAAAGGTGAGAAAGCACTTTGTTTGGGAATAGCATTCAGCACTGTCCCCGGATCTGCAAAATAATTAACCAAAGTTTCTGTATCTTTTTTTTTTCTTCAGGAATCTGTATCAGTTTTAAATCTCTTCACCAGGATACGGTAACTTAAAAAAAATTCAAATTTGAGTGGTGCCTGGGTGTTATCACTCGGCAGCTCATAAACATGGTGCTAAGGACAAACATTGCAATCTAAGGCATCTTGTGGCATTTTTTCACATAGGAAATGACAGCGAGAACAACTGAGCTATTTTTTTTTAACGCTAATAATTGTTTTGGGAGATTCTTTTTGACGTGTGTGCCTTCATGATGATTGTAAAAACATTTTTACTTTTTAAAAATGTATAAGTGGGTTGATTTCCATTTGTTTTGTATTCACAAGAGATCATAGGCCTTACTTAAAAATATTGTGATACCGTTTGCATTGTTGTGGAATCTGAACTGTGGAGAGAGTATTTTCAGTTTTTGTTTAACTCAGGTCTAATTTATTTAACGCACTTGTTATGTGGTAAAACATTCAATGAACGAATCATCTGTCATGGAGGAATGGAGATTCAGTGGAGAAAAAGATGACTAAAATGTAAAAACTAAACCTAATCACCTACTAAGGCTTCTACAGTATGTGTATGTTTACTGTGATCCTTAGATTACTAAGGTTGAAGAGTGGTTGGCTGAAGTAATGCAGTTTGCCACTGTGGCCAGAAAGTCTAATGCTGTGCATCTAGACATATACTACATGGTTGATTCTCTGTAGTAAAGGAAGAAATAAAAGATGATGGAACTGAATAACCAGTGTGTGACTTTGTGTATATTTGATTTCTTCAATTACAAATACCATTACCATTTATTTTTGGACCTAATAAAATTTAGTTGCAATTATGTTAGATTAGATTGTATAATGCTGCATATTATTGCTGCATAGTGTATTTTGTCCACACCATTTATATCTGTGAGGGTTAAATAAAAATAACACTATAATGCAGGTCAGTTTAACAGCAATGCTTCCTCCAGTATTATTCAGATGAATCAACACCTCTCCAAAACAGTTTCATCAAAAAATGAACATAAGAAATTTATAAGGTAGTTTTTATTGCATGACTGGTGGATCAGACTACAGTAGTTTTGGATGTATTTGTTTATGCACATTATATCTGTGTATATGTGAAAAAGGATACATTTTCACGACCTATTTATTTATTTATATTTTTAGATTTTTTTATGTGGCACCATATTCAAATAGTTTTTCTCGAAACTGTATGAAATTAATGGGGAGTCACTATTTTTATCAAGTGGAATTACCCTATGAATAAAACAAAATACATAACATTGTAAATCTATAACAACAACAACAGCAATAACCGACTACAACCAGGGGCGGCGCTGCCACAACGGATATACTGACCGGAAATACCGCAAACGGGCGGGAAGTTGAAAATTTGAGAATTTCAGGTTTATAAAAATGCATTTTTCAAGTTAATTTAGGCTTATAAAGGAGAGATTCATCTTCAAAAACAGCAACGAAAGTCAAAGGATTATAATTTGCCAGGTTAAATTCGATCAACGACACAAGCAAACTTCGCTAGCTGTCAGGGGTCGTAGCTACTAGCTTGTTGTTATTGTCTGTCAGAATGGCGGACAGAAATCTTGTGCAGGAGTTGAAGCGTTGGGCGACAGAGGAGTTCAATCTGCCCCCGGACAGCCTGCCAAATGACAGCTATTTTAAAACGTGGGTATCAGTATGTCTATACTATCACAGTTAATACTGAACAGTAGAGGTCCTCACAATCGATGCTCACTTTGCAGCGTTGAAGTAATGTCGGTCATTTGTTTTCCAGGCTCTGTGTTGGGACGGGGAAGTCAATATGGAAATATGTCATCCAACACGTTTTCCAACAGAGGTTAGCATTCACACTGCCTTGCTGTTTTGTAACCTTTTGATCATTTACCTATGGTTAGAGTACTGCTGATTTTCTTGTATGTCATCCCATAACCAACCCAGCCCCTGTTTGTCTGTTCAGCATAAAGAGCATCGTGGCATCTGATAAATGTCTTGGTCTCTAAACTAAACTTCAGTCTCTCCCTCTGTGCTCCCTGTGACTGGGCAAATAATGGATTACAGCTTCTCGATTGTTTCTGTTTTTCCAGGAACGTGAGGATCATGCGTGGCAATCTTCAGTGGTATCCTTTCACACTCTGAAGGAAGGTTTTAAAGGCAGCAATCCAAATGTAGAAATTGTCAAAGTAAATGGGAGGCAAGTGAGCTAAATTTCAAGTCATAGCAAAGGATCTGACTACTTATGTCAAAATGATATTTCAGTTTTCTCCTTTTAATAAATTAGTAAAAGGCTGAATACTTTCTGATTGCACTGTACAAAGATGCCAAAGGGATGCTTTTAAACAGTGTCACCATTCTATAGTTTGTAAGTTTATTTTCAACTGTAAAATGCCCAGGTAGAACAGAGACAGTATCTTGCTCAAGATACTTTTTAGTTTTTTTTGAATACTTATGTTCTATCAATCAATCTATCAGTGTGTCTGCCACCACATGGTCACCCAGCTCGTCCTGTCATTGCATGCAAAGGACAGTATATATACAGTGTGTGCTTTCTTTGGGTGTTCTGGTGCTCCCTGGTTGTGCCTGGTTGAAATCTTAGGGACCTTTATGGTGCATCCCATTCCTTCTCTCCCTTTCTCTCCACCTTAGGACAATTATCTACTAGGCTATTTTATAAACACCCCCAAAAATAATTATACATATGTTTTATTGGTATACTTGGTATCACTCAAATATACACTGAATCTCCTCAGCTACCATGACCACTGTCAGCTCAACATTTGTTGGGTAATTTCCTTGACACTATGATTTTCAAGGTACAAAGTTCTTCAAGACAAAGAGGTAGGCTACAACTTGTTTTCCTTCCCTGTTGTAGTACTGATTGATTAATCTGAATGATCACACTAATGATACACAATGTGCAATTGTTCATTTCAGTAAGAAAGCCACTGATTAGATGAAATTTGCTTCTGTCTGGTGCTGTTTTTGCTTGCTCAGGTGAAGCAGGCTGAGGACCAGAGTGAGGCTGCTAAGCAGAGAGAGCTACAGAGGAAGATAGAGCAGCTGAGAGCTGAGATCAGTCACCTGGACTCTCAGATCAGTGGAACAGAGGAACAATTGGCCACACAAGGTTAGTCCATCTCATACAGTGAGGGCTGGGTGTCATTTGGTAGTTGCAGTATTTACAGTATTCACTTAGTGTTATACACTTTCAGTACTTTATGTACACAATATAAAAGGGTTTCATAGTTCTAAAATATGCTGGGTGATCTCGCACACCGTTGTTTTATACTGTCTTTAATCAACAGAGCAGTCTATCAGTCGTACCTGGAGCCAGGTGGAGGAAAGCCAGCGCAGAGAGCTGCTTCTCCAGGCCTTCAGGCAGCGCTGCATCTTGGGCTCCAAGATGTTATCTGACGATACACAAAAGATCAGGGGGCACTGCCAGGCACTGGAACAGATGGCCAGGTAAGGCTGAAGTTAAATAGAAACTAATAAATTTAACTTATTTATAGACCCATAATAATCACATAGCAGTTCAGATTTTAAAAAAGGAAGTGTTGTGTATTTCAGGAAAGCAGAGGTAGAAGTTCTGTTCGATGATAAGTCTTCAAGCGGCAATGATGGTGACAACCTCAACTCCAAAACCACAACAGAGGCGCAGGTCCTGGTAAGAGCTGCCGAAATCTGGTCTGTATTTTACTGAGCAGAGTTTAAAGAGTAGTGTGTTGCATCTCAGTCATCCAGGTTGTGGTTATCCAAGAAGGGTTGAATTGAAGAACTGGAAGTTGTAGATACTTGAAGACGTTTCACATCCAAGAAGCTTCCTCAGTTCAGTTTGTCTGGCGATTGCAGTGTCAGTGTATATACACAGTGTGTGTGGACAGAGGAGACAAAATAATTCATCAAAATGACATACACTGAATGCTGTCTTTGTTAGGAAACTGCAATGAATTACTGCTGGTTTCACCATTATTTATCTTGGTTTCTGTTTCTTTTGACAGCTTTTTGGAAATTCAGTCTTCCAAATTTGCACATTTGGAAGCAAAAAAAACAGTTGATAAAAAATGATTTACACAAATCTGAGTAATGCAGTCCAAGATGCCTGTAATACATCAGCTGTTGATTGAAGAAAATGATCATAATTTCTTTTATTTTCCACTGTCAGCGTGAAGTGAGAGAGCTGTGTGAAGCCAGGGTCCACTTCTATCAGTCTTTACAAGAAAGTGAACTGAAAACGGCGCAATCTGCAGCCAAACGGTAAGGACTATACTGGATAAAGTATTTGAGAAATCAACTAATCACAAACTGTATTTCAGAGTATTGTCAACTTCTTTCTTGAATTAATAGCTTCTTTCTTCTCTCCCTCTCAGTATGACTCGTGAGCAGAGGACTGCCATGTTTCAGTACTGGTTGAGTGCTGTGGAGGTTGGTCTAATTTTGTCAAATTTCACTAAATATTTTGTTACTTGTGTATATAATGTCTGTAATATTCACTTTGAATTAACATGCTGTTGCTTGTCATTGCATCAGAACCTGTTGGGTGATTATCCTCCAAACCATGTCCTCTCAGCATTACAATATTTAGCTTCCAGAGAACAGAAGGAACTAGAGAACAAACTGGCTTCTGTGGATGTGACCCACGATGTGACAGCTCTGCGGTAAGGCATACCACCATATTACTATGATGTTCTCTTTTCATGTCAGACTATTTCATTCAAAGTTTTCAGTGTTACAGTATTTGGCATGTTCATTGCAGGTTCCGCTATGAAAGCAATCACCTGCTGGACATGTCAGCAGAAGAGGATAATGAGTTGCCACCGGTTAAGACCCTCTTACAGGTTCTAAACACAAACACTCACATACACTTTAATATGAAATTATAATATAAAACGAGGACACGTTCATGTTTTCTGACATCTGTGACAAATGCATTTTTCTTTTGTTGGTTCTGTCTGGGTTTCCAGGCTGCCTGGGAAGAGGTGGAGCAGAGTTTGGTGGAACTGGCTCAGACTCGCTCCAGAGTCCAGCAGCTCAAAAACCAGCTGCTGGCCCGCAAGAAGGAGGCTCAGCAGGAGGTGTCTGGTATTGCAGATGAACTCCATAATGACACCTTGGCACAGTGAGTCCACTTACTGTAGAGTTTATTGATCAGGTCATGAAATCCAGACTGAGATGTATGCAAAAATGTAATAAATCCTCTGAAACATTTTCTATTCTGAGTAATGGGGCATCAGACACCTTCAGACACATTACTGTATGGATCCCACAAATATTTTAGTCTAGTAATTTCCTGTGATGGAAAACAAAAGTCAGGAAAATTATTTTAAGAGTAGGAGGTTATTATCAGTTGTTATTAAGTTAAGATTGAACATTTAGTGTTTGCTCTTTGTCATAATACATTTGCATTTAATTTCTTGAACCTTCTCTGTGTTTTGCTATCAGGTCAGCGCTAGAGCTGGAACTCCAGTGTGTGATGCAGGCAGCAGCCAGAGATCACATCAGAGACCGGTGTATACAGCTGGACCAACATGCCAGAAGCCGACAGGAGGCACTGAGAAACCTCCGCAGCCAGTGGCAGAGCATCCTGGACTTCAGGCAGCTAGTGGTGAGAGTGAATTGACAACCATTTCCTTCTTGTTTTTATATCCATTTAGATACATTATATCAGTGTTTATTCAGAAAAATGTAGTCTATAGGATTTGGTTACGTCTGCTTTTGACTTTCTGGAGATAAACATCTTGAATTGCCAGATTTCTGAACTTAAAATGCAGAGCTGTCAATATATCTGCAACATATATCGTGAAACATATTGTGTTGTGTCTCTGCAGGTTCTCAGACAGGAGCAGATCAGAGGTCTGATTAAGGGGAACTCCATGGCCAAGACAGAGCTGATCCATCTACACAGACAGGTGTGGATGTTCTCCATTTGTGACACTTAAGTAGACAAGTATTTACTTTGTGCTGTGGTGAAAGAGATGTTTTTAAGCTAAAAAAAACAAACTTTTGCCACAAAGTATCACATTTCCGGGAATTTCTTGAGGATTTCTCTCCCTCTGTTTTGCTTCAGTTACAGGAATTCATCCAGGGTAAGTTGGTGCCACAGTTTGAAGATGTCACCACCGCAGCAAACGGACTAAGGAACTCTATTTCTAAGGAGGCCAGACAGTTTGGAGTGGTTTCGCTTCTCACTCTGGACCGCAGGACTGTTGAAGGGTAAGAGAAAGTTGTCTATTTTGTATATAAGCAATCTAATTTTATTTTTGTTCCAGTTTAGAAAAAGGTTCCTAAATCAACACCCAAACTGAGGACTTCATATCTGAGTTCATATTTCACTGCCAGAAACTGAAACTGTATTTGGTAATAAATCGGAAAGGCTTACACAAAACAGGCTGCCAACTTTTTTTTTTCCCTCAGTTGTGTTGAGTTCTTTTGGATTTAAAGATGAATTACAAATTCACAGAGGGAGGGAGATGAGAGAAGCAGAGTAATATCTGTCAGAAAATGATCCTCCTTCATCAGTGGTACACCTGTGGCTCCAGCTGCAGTGCACTAAAGCATTTGACTTTCATTTAGAAAGTGTATCACAAGAAGAGACGTTTTTAATCATACTCTTGATCAAGTGCTGAACAAAAGTAGAAAAATGACATTTTTTCCTGTTTTTTTTAATTTTTTAAATTTTTATTTCAAGAACTCAAAGGATCCCTGCATCGTGGTTGTCCATCCATCGCTTGCAGTCTTCAACCTTCAGCAGAATGTGTCAGAGCCTGGCTTTCCCACTGTACAAGGTGAGAGTTGACATATAGTGCTGAGAAAGTAAGATCTTCCCCTCCTTTGTCTTTTTGCCCAGAGCAGCGGTATACATGCATGTCAGTCCTTCGGTTATATCCGTTTGATTCATAATTTACATGCTGATGATTCAGTTCAAAGCAATTTCCTTTTAATTGAACTTATTTTTTTTATGATTTTATTGAGTAACTATTTGTTATAATCCTATAATAGTTAAACTTATTGAATAATACAGGAGAAAATTATGTTTTCTTTTTATATGGAAAAAATATGATAAATATAATAAAATAGGTGAGCATTAATATGCATGAATTACTTTATAATAGACCAAAAATGTATTGTAAACTATAACGACCATGTGAAAATGGATTTTGAGATTGAATAACATGGTAATGGTATTAGTACTGTTCTGACTATGTGCAAAAACACAACACAAGAGACCTGTTTTCTTTTTAAATCAATTGTGTTATTGGTTATGATAAAATTGCTCTGTCAAGCAGCTTGTCCAACCCATAGTTGTGATATCAAACCTCACAGTTTGAATGTTGTACTATGTCTTTTGTTTATTACATCATTGGAATCAGCTCATCATTAAAAAACAGTCTGTTATTTATATCCTTTGGCTCCAGTGACATTACCATCAGAATCTAACATTGCAACTAACCATGCATTTTAAACCATGAATTTTGCTTCCCACCCTCATGAAAATTCACTGCATAACTTTGCATGTGAGATTTACCTGTGGACACTCACTGGATTCGTATAAAAGTTGTGTTAGAAGCTCCCACACTTCATACTGCTCCTTAAACTCCACCTGCCTAGAGTGGTTTTAATTAACCAGCTGACTCTCACTGCCATCGCTTGACCCCAGTCCTCTCACTAACAGAGCTGATAAAAATAATGTCCATGAAAATCAGTCTTACTGCACAGAGACATAGCAGCAGTAGCCTCGTATCTTCTAGGCTGCTGTGAGTTTGCTTTTTAGGGACATCTGCTAGTTTTACAAACACTACTGTGTAACTTTATCTTTTTTATATGGAATTACTTGTCCTTTTCCCCTTTCTCTGACTTGTAACACAGACTAATTTTTCTCCTTCTTCTTGCTCTTCAGGCTCCAGAGGAGTTGTGTTTCCAGGCGCGTTCCCAGCAGCTTGAGTTACGTTTTCTCCGTCAGTTACTTCAACTTCAGTCTACTGCTCTGCAGAAACTACAGAAGGAAGCCAAAATGCTGCATGCATCTGATCAAAAAGGTAATCAGAGGAACTAATCAAGAGAGGCTCTTATCAGGCTCAAGGGACACAGTGACAAGTGCTGCATTTTGCTGTTTGTATACATGCTGTCTTTAATGCAGACTTTATATTACCTTGGCAAAAATACATTTTTAGAAACTATCATCAGTTTTGGTAACAACAAATCTACTGTTTTTCCTCACTGTGCTTCTTAGCCTTGCTTTCCAGAGTCGTGGAGGAGGATCGGAAGCTTCTAAAGTCTCTCGTCCCAAGAGTCAGAGGCCTCACCAAATGTTGTGCTCAGGGCCTCTCTTATGGGGACCAAGTCAAAACTGCCATCTCTTACTGGTAAGGCACATTCCTGAAGCAGATAACCTACTGTACTGTAAAACAGTTTCAGTTCATTCATTGTTGAGATCTGGGGATGCCTCTACCTTGGCACAGCTTTACAGTGAAGGACATTAGGGAAAGCAGCACAAAACTAGTCTGTCTAACTATGTTACCTAAACCACATCTGCAAATGTGACATGTTCTCATTCAAACAGCCTGCTCTGAATATCCATTAGTATTCTAACAACTTTACTTGCAGTAACTGTTTTACAATGCGAAGGATGATGTGTTTACCATAAGTCATTTCGATAACTGTGTTAAACTTCAGATATGTTTAACACCTATCTGATTATCTAACTACTGGCACTTCATTTGCTTGAACGGACTGCATTGTGGAGATAAAGTGTCATGCTATTAACAAATTGTGGCTGGTCAATAATTCAGTATTATTGTTTGTGTTTCAGTGAAATCATACTTTAATGATATGAATGTATGGTGTACTGTTTTACTCAATTTTGACATAAATGATTTTGAGCAAACTGCAATTATGAACTATGAACCTAAGTTTTTCTTGCCGATTTTTTTTCTGAACATAAATGTGTTATTGTGGATTTATGCTTTTGCTCAGGTGTTGAGTTTCTGGGTTTCTGGTTTACTTATTTTTTGTTTGGTGTGTTCATACTTGTAGGTGGGATCAACCAGTCCAGCATGTCCTCCCTGATGTCAATAGAGGAGGACTGACTTTTCAGCAGTGGCTACAAAGATGGAAACTAGCTGCCAACGCCTGTTAAGGGACACCTCATAGTTTGAAAATATAAAGGAGATCCCGCTCAGCACCTTTCAGTGGCAAAATGTCCATGATATAGTTAAGGATTGATTACCAACCAAGCAAAGTGGGCAACTGCCTGGGGGCCCCAGACCATGAGGCCACTGTTTCATCCATTTTTACTGGTTTGGCAGTTTGATTAGTTACAAATGTGTTATTTGCATCACTATTCCTTTAGTTCATTATTAGCTAATTGTCTGGTCCTGTCTTGTGGTGGTGCCCTGGGATAAAAATTTGTAACACATTAATTATTTTAGTTTATATTGTCCTCAAGAGGACCACATTCCCAAATAAAGATGTGTTTAATCTAATCACAAACTGAGACTGTAAGTATTTCAGCTTGGGAGATTTGGTTGCACAGATCTTAATAGAGACAGCAAGGCACATGCTCAGAGGGTGGTAGGTGGGGGTCAAGGGGGGCCCACAGAAAAGTTTTGCCTTGAGGCACCATAACAGGCTAATCTGGACATAGCTGCAGTAGTTAACAAATGCACAAATACGCTGCAGTGTAAAGCAGAGCTGCAATGATTAGTTACTTGTTAAATGTTTTGATGATTAATTGTTTTAGTTATTCTTCTAGCAAAAATACCAAACATTTGTTGGTTCCAGCTTCTCAAGTATGAACATTTGCTGCTTTTCTTGGGCTTACACTCAAATAAATAGTGTATTTTTTAGGACTTGGACTGTTGGTTGGACAAAACAAGATATTAGATGATGTCTCCAGCTGCTGTAGGACATTTATTACTTGTTTTTTGGTTTTATTATTTTCAATTCATTGAAAATGAAAATCATTAATTGCAGCACTACTGTGAAGCAGTAGTGGTTGTAACTAAACAACACTTTATCTAAGATGTTTATTCTCATCATTACTCCTCTTGATATTTTACCATATGAATCTCGTTTACTAATAAATAATTTTAAATCCAAGTATTTCCTCCTGTCTTCGTTGAAATGCATTAAAATGCAATGAAGTTGTTGAATACTGCCTCTCCAGCTCTAGTGTTGAAGACCAAGCTGAGTCCATGCTGCATTTTGCTCATATGCCTCCAGTAAGATGCAGATTATCATTAGCCTTGTATCGATTTGTCTCACAGACGGCTGAATCCACCGTTGATGTTGTAGTTGCGGGTACAGTGTGAAGTATGTGGCTATCGGTTTGCATGGAGTAACGTTGTTCCTTTGTAGCAGTGAAGGGGGAGTGGAGCAATCTGATTCTTGTGAACTCAGCTCCTCCCATCGTTGCGGCTGCGCAGTTCAATTTTTCACTCCTTTTTTTTCAATTTTTCACTCCTACTCTGGCTTCCGGACGCCAAGACAGACCGCTGCCGCCGAATTTAAAGAGACAGGCAATAGTTATTTTAAATACGATAAACGGCAACCATTGTCCCTTTGCTTATTTCCCGACGCTTCTTGCCTTAGCTTGTTTAATTCGATGGTGATGTTGAATCAAAGTCGCAGCGAGTAGCAGCTTGTCTGTCATCACCCTCCACTCCGTCCTTTTCTGCGCGGAGCCGAGACTGTCCAGCTAGGCAAAGTAGGGTTGCTCGCTGGCAGGCTGGCTTCCCGACCGAGAGGAAGGTTTGTCGGCTAGCCAACAACTGGAGGTAACACCGAAGCTTCCCTCTCAAGTTGTGGTAGCGGCTCTCAAGCCTCCTGTCGCCGGGATAATGGCGAAGATTCAGGCGCACAGCACCGCGAAGCAAATAAACCAAATTCAAGACAAGCCTTACGTTATAACACAAAAGCAAGTGCAGCAGCAGCACTTCCAGAAGCTGAAGGTAAGAAGACAACGGACACGACAAGGGAAAAGTCCCTCAGAGTCAGAACCATTTTGTTCGTCGGATCATTGCATTGGATTTGAGGCTTTTCTCTTTCTCCCCTAACGTCGAGAGTAGTGAAAGGAACGGCTGGCTAACGATAGTTAGCTCGCTGGCCTGTTAAAAGTAATTCATTGCTAAACAGCCGAACATTGACATTTAAGGTTAGATGTGGAAGCTGTGTTTCATTAATGAATGTCTGAGTGACAGTCGAGCGGCACAGTTAGTGGTAGTTTCTTATTTACGATGTCAATAACAGCCACTGTGAGCAAACGTTAACTCAAACCTCGGTTGTGGGAAGTTCCTCCTTGTTCGTTTTTTCAGCCACCCTGAACAAAGTGGAGGACGTCAGCCAGGCTAGCCAAGAACGGCTATTTCAGTTCATTAGCAGCTTCATTACACATTTCTTTGTTATCGCAGTGTTTGAATATTATTATACTGTTTTTGCCAACACGACACTGTTGGCCAGAGACCAGCTGTGACTAAACCTATTGTATAAATTTGTATGTGGGTAGGTGTTGTAAGTGTTAGTGGAGTTATTATCGTCAGTTGACTGGCTGTTGGCTAACGTTAGCTACAACAACCCTCTTTAGATGTGGACTATTTCTGACAATGCTTTGTGTGAACACGTCGTTTATCGTAACCTAACCTAGCTAGGATGTTGTGATTAAAGAAAGATCCAGTGAACAAAAGCAGCTTGGCGTTTCTTGTATTCACCCGTTTTATTTATTTATATAGCGATACTTGTACAGCTTGTACAGCTAACTAGTGCATTTGTTGATACAGCACTTCAGTTGACAATGAAGAAAGCAAACATTGCCTATTTATATAACTTCATGTTAGAAAATGCCCACTTAGGAAATTCAAATATTTCTGTTTGTATAGTGGCACCACTTGAAATTTGATGGTAGCATCTGCCAATATATACCATTATTAGTGAGCCACAATGCAGCATTGATGTATGGACCAACCATTGTCCTGCTATACACGTTAAACTATCTGAGAGCTCTATCTCTGTGAGATCCTGCTTCATCAACAGCACAGCAGGATGTTTGTCAAAAAGCTTCTCCACAGCTCCAGATGAGGCTGATTATGCTTTGTGCTGCATTAATGATCTTTTGTTTTTTCCTTTGTGTTTTAGGTTGAAGATGCCTTGTCATATCTGGACCAAGTCAAAATTCGTTTTGCAAATGATCCTGGCATATACAACAAGTTTCTCGACATCATGAAAGAGTTCAAGTCGCAGAGGTATTTATGCCAATTTATGCAAACAAAGAATATACAAGTGTAATACAGAGATGCACAGAAACAGATGCTACTTACCCACTATCAGTCTCAAGAGTACCAGAAGTTATCGAGTTTTAGTTATACATTTTTAATGAGATGGTTCCTCATACATACTCTTGAGATAGTGATGGTGGAGCTTGTGTGTGGAATTTGATTAGGTTGCAAAACATCACTACCCAGGGATTAACCACACATTTTAGAGCTTTTATCAATAAGTAAGAATCTGCAGATGGCTTCCTACTGTAATTATGCAATAGTTCATATTATCTTGAAATGAATTTTAATTGTGGGATGACAGAAGTTATAATGAGTAATTCGACTGCGTTACTGCTTTTTAAACTAAGCTGTAAGACTGTCTTTGATTAGTAGTTAATTGTTGACATCTTCTATCTGTTCTCCTGAATAGCATCGACACACCAGGGGTGATAAACCGCGTGTCACAGCTCTTCCATGGACACCCAGACTTAGTCTTAGGCTTCAATGCCTTTCTCCCACCGGGATATCGGATAGAGGTCCCCAAGAATGGAATGGCTTTCCTCCAATCTCCGTTCTCTACACAGGTAAGACAGTCTTGTCACAGTTGAAGTTAATAAATCCTCAAAACTAGTGCTTTATTAATGTTCACACTTTTGAAACTTTCAGTGGATCCATCACTACAAACTTATGGCATGCTGAAAATAACTCTATATTTAAGTCCACAGAACTTTAAATTCTTAAGATGAAACAGGTGCACTTGTTCTGCACCCAGAAGAACAGTTCAGTACTCTGTCTGAAAATATTACTCCAAATAAAGCTTCATGTGAAAACAAGGCAGCTAATTTGTCAGTTTATTAATTTTAAATAACAGTCACAGAAATGGAGGAGATTCTTTCACTCTTTTACCATTGGAGTGCCTCATTTTCCTGTATTTGATTTGAAGAAACAAACGCATTCCAACCTTTAAATAGAATTTTAGTGAAGATCCGAAGGTTTGAAAAAATTTGAAATATGCCACACTGAATTACACATATGTAGGGTTAGAGCGTTATCTGTCTTGGACAGTTTGATACAAATATACCTTGTCTAGAATCCAATACAAAAATGATTGCAACGAAAAGTTTGAAAACAATTTGATACACTGCTCTTCAAAACTGATTAGATGCAGTTTGCTTCAGTGGAGATCCAGTTTCAATTCCGTTCACACTAGGTATGATTTTATATTTTGTTTATGCGTTAAGCAAAATTTTGCGCCCTTTAGCTGAGAGTAAGTGAGAAGGAATGCACAGGCTAGTTTCAGTTCTGTCAGTTTCATATGCAGTATAAATCCATGGTTTTATTTCAAGCATTAGCAAACAACAAATAACCAAGAACCAAATGCCAGTGACATTTTCTTCTAGAAGAGAAAATGTCATTGACATTCTTATTTGAGAAGCGGATGGCTTGACTAAGGAATTTGATTGGGCAGCCGGAGCAGAAGTGGAGGTTGTTGCATCGAAAATGTTTTTGACAGCAACATTGATTTTAGAATTTGTCACTGAATATAGTTCAGATGTAGGAATTTGTATCAAAGTAGCCGCATCTCTGAGTGTCACAATGATTTTTTTTTTTTTTGACATAATAGTGTGGTCATTAAAAGTGGCTTCTTGGATGTACACATCTCACCCAGTATAAGTCTAATATTACTGAAGTGAAGTAAACACAAAATAGTGCAAAATAATATTTTTTTTTTTTTACAGCTTGAGGCTTCTTGATAGGAAATGTAATAGAGACGCTGCGTCCATAATCACTCTCTATTTTTACTATCAAGTTCACTATATTTATTGTTAGACCAGTAGTGTATTGTAGTAGTGCATTAACATTGCTGACCACCAAATTTTAACCACCACCTGCATTTGCGTTTACTAGCAAATTTTCTTTTCAAAATTGTAACTGAAGTAAACAAGAATTTGCTACAATTAATGCTTAATGCACCTCTCGTCATCTACCTCGTCATCTTCTTACGGTTTTTCATCTGTGCAGGTATCCCCAGGCCAGCAGGGGAAGAGTCTCACCACTTCTGCAGTGCCTGCAACCTCAGGTAGTGCCTCTGCCGCCCACATTGAAGCTGGACCTGCCCAGACCAGTGAAGCCAAGGCTGCCTCATCAGAGTCCCTACCTTCTTCAACCTCAGCAGGACCTCCAGAGCCTCCCAGCAGACTTTCTCTTCCCCTAACTAGCAGAGAGAGTCAGAATCAGGCCACCACCTCGTCTGTATCCCCACCTGCCTCAGAGACAAGCCCAGTAGAGTTTGACAGTGCCATCAGCTACGTAAACAAGATCAAAAACCGCTTTCTGGATCACCCGGAGATCTACAGAGCCTTCCTAGAGATTCTTCATACATATCAGGTACTGTGGAAATAAAATGTGGTGACTTAAGTTACTTTTAGTTGTGTATTATAACATAATAAAATATAATATAATACAGGCAATGTAGG